CATGTTTTAAAAAATGAACTCCAAACACCATGGTACGGCATCGAAATTCAAGGGGACAGAGATGGTCCCTAGAGATGGCAATCGGGGACCTACATGATGAAGCTGGTACTACGATGCAGAAGATGTTGAAGTTGGTACTAAATTGCAGAAGATGCTACGATTGGTGCTGAACCGTAGAAGATGTTGAAGTTGGTCCTGAAGACAATGTTGAAGATGTTGAAGTTGGTCCTGAAGGAGATGTTGAAGTCGTTCTCGCAGAAGATGTCGTGATGGCTCCACTCCTGGTCGTGTGCAGCAAGATGCCGTCTTAACCGTAGAAAAACAGGCCTTCGATGAACAGAGATCTGGATGTAGGAAGATCATGGGAAAATGAACTTCGAAAACGGTAACAGTTCCCGTACGATAATGAAAAAGGAACTCATGCATATTTCAACGATACGATGGGAATGGACTTCAGCTAATACAAGATGTTCGATGTTGTTGAAGAGAACAGACTTGTTCCTAGTCCTAGTTTCACTGCACTAATAGTTCATTTTTCCAATAGCAGACCTCCCCACTGGCTTCGCTCAGTCAATCTCTGCTCATACGTCATCAAATATTAAAAGAGTGCGTACCTGTTCCGACGAGCACGCAAGCTTCTGTGGAGCGACCTTACGCACAAGTCTTGCTAAATAATGCTGGTCTGCTTACGGCTGCGTTTCCGAGCAGAAAATATACTTTTCCTTCGTATTCTTGTGCCGCAACTTATGCACCTGAAAAATGCTATTACGGGAGGAGAAAGTATTTGTATTTCAAGTAAGGACTCTTTCCCAATTGTGTATTATTTCGACGAAAAGTTATTGATCCCAAATTTCTGCTGTGGTAGTGTTCAACTTCAAATGCACGGCTACTTGCACAAATTTTTATCGGCGAAGCGGACGTCGCGTTGATGCAAAAACTAAAGTACCTATCACTATCTAATCGATGCCTTGCCGTCGAGCAGCTTGTAACACAATAAATTGGAAAGATTCCGGATTAGGTGCTGGAAGACAAAAACGCGAATTCTCAAACTCTTAGACGTTCTGCAAAAAACTTCTTCCCATCCGCGTCAAAACCGAACAAAATGTCGCCAAGGTCGATGCAAGTGTCGTGGAGACCTGGAGGGGGAAAATGAAGAAGGATAGCGAGTCCATTCGGATGGCCAAGTGCAAATCTACGTGGCAAGTTCAAATTTTTGTTATTTTGTGAGGTCCACGTTTTTAGTGGAAATAAGTATACTACTAATGACTAGACTTCAGCTATCATTATGCTTAATATTATCGTGTAGGAAGCTGACCATGAAACGCTATAATTGCTGTAGAAAATATACCAGACTGCGTAGGTGGAGATCTATTTTTGTGCGTGTGCCGCAGGCTAGTCGGGTGAAAATTGACTTGCGAGTTCTTGGCGGCAGCAAACCTGTAATCAGTTGGCGTTCCTGCTCATTGGATGGTAATGCTTGACGAGGTTGAGGCGCAAGGAGGAAAAATAAAGGATATTTTCTCACTGGTTACCGAAAATTTAGTGTTGACTCGACTGCCTGCACTGTGATCCAGTAGTCACCTTCTAGTATCAACATCTCCTTCATCACCTTTTGAAGCCAAATTAGTTCGTCGCAGTCGTACTATAGGGCAGGCAAACAGAAAAGTGTAGTAATGATACCTCCTTAGAAAACGAATGGATAGAGTGTTTTTTTGTGCATGCGGTGTAGGCTGGAGCTGGACCGTTGATAGTCGACTTCTAGATTCTTGGAGGCAGCAGATCTGTGGACAATTGATGATGTTCAATGGTGGAAACAGCTGGGTTTCCTACAGGAAGGAACGAAAAAGAATTTGTCTCGTTTATGTTCAACATGATCATATGACCAACTTAGTGTCGCATGATATTGCTGAACAATAAGAAGATATGCATCTTGCTGTTGCTTCAACATGCAAAACTCAAATAAATTAATTCCTCGACATTTGCATTTCTATTTTCTACAATATCATATAAGGCTCTCTGCACCTGCTGAGGAAGAAGCATATAAAAAATAAACATAAAGAATGTAACCGGGGTACCACGAAACGCGTATATTAATTTCGTCAGGTCCTTTCGTCGACTTCGTTTTCGTATTGTTTTGAATTTCTGTATGATAGATCTGTGATTCTTTCTGTCTCGTCGTGCTGCTCTTTGGTACTGTATATCGATAGCTGTTTTGGTTATGGCGGTTCTTGCGAGTTCTGATACTTCGTTACTGTTCAACGTGCAGTTTCTGTTCCCTGGATACGTCTCTGTCGTTCAAAAGAAAGTTATTTTCCTGTACAAAACGTGTTGTAACGATATTTGTATTTGGTTTTGTAAGTTGAGCAAGAAAGTGAAAAATGTTATACTGTCTTCAATATTACTGTTTCTTGTACTTACTTGAATCTTGGATTTCGATTTCGCAGAAAAAGAGATTTGTCCTAAGAGGATGGGGAGTGGGAAAGCAAATGAGCAAATGCACACAGTCAGATCGAACTCGAAGGATCTTTTATTATAGATGCACAGGTCGTTTTCCAAATGTCTGGTCAGTTACCTTACTTTGAGTTAAAATTTATTCGACATTGAAAACCGAATCTTAAGCTACTCTTTTAAAGCAGTACCAATTACAATTTGTCAGTCGGTAGTTAGAACAATATCAACCAAAAAAATGCCTCAAAACATTCATTGTGCTCAACTGCAAATCAACATTCCTGAAATTTCCGGCAAAATTGAAAGACCTGACAACATTAGGATGAAAAAGAATGACTTAAGTGCCTACAAAAAAGTAATGAGCCGAGAGAACCACAGCCAAATCGCATGAATCATTCACTAAAAAAGTCCTTACTCAACAATCAGTCTGAAGACACACTATGAGCATACGAACAAACAAGAAAGTAGTACAAAATAAGTCGCAGAAGACTCGACAAAAGTCAACAGAGAACAAGAAGTCACTGTGAATGTTGAACCCGTTTCTTAGCTGACAAGATGCATCTCCATCATTACTGACCCAGCCTTTCCCGGTCATTTCCTTGATTTTTGTCACATTCGACGATTCGACAACACTCTCGAAACTGCCAAGCTGCGATTTGCGTTTTGGATTTTTCATCAGACCTGTACGACGAAAAGAGGGAATCAGAAACATCCACGCCAGAGGAAGAGGCTGTGGCTGTCTATTAAATGGAGAGAAACCGACCTCCCACTCGAGGAACAGGACTGTCCGCTCAGATTTCACATCATATGCGATGCCTTCTTATTTAATAACGCAATGCGGATTTTCTGAAGGGATTCGCGTTCTGGCAAGGGAGCAGCAGCTACATGTAGTGCTAGCGGGTGCTACTTGTAAGAGTCATCATTCTGCGTCTCTGTGGCACTCAAGAACCTTGAGAGTACAACTTAAACTACTGTCAATTGAGTAAATGAACACACTTGTTCACCAACTCATCACATTGTTTTATCACAGCGAGCTTTTCAGAATCATCGTACTCTTTCTCATTCCTCAGCCTTTCCCTTTGGGAAGCAACAGCAAGATAAAAATATAACTATAAAAAGCGTACAAGATGAACAACAACATTCTTCGGAATGCGAATGGTCATAGAAGTCCCGTGTACGTCGTCGTCCTCATGATCATGAAAGTCCTGATAGTGATGGACGACATTACCGTCCGATATGCCGTGTCCTTCATCTTGTTGCCTCAACATATTTAGTAGTAGAAATATCTTGGTTTCCATGATTGAAGCATCTATGCACAAGCCATGACCATCGTTGACGAGATCCAAAAGCCTTTAGCCACACAAGAACGACGTCTCCGTGCCGCGTTTTGGTAGCACCAGATGAGTCGCTGTCGCATGATGGTGCTGTACCCGTATTTTTGAGACTCCACGTTGTAACACCTCTGGAGATGACGACGCTGGTCCTGTGGGATAATTGTTTAGTAGAAAGAGAAAATCAGTCAAAAATAGAGGGTGTGTAGTAGTAGAAAAGTGAGCAGAATATGCAGGAACAAATTCGAGCCAGCTGGACTTGCTAGAACAAGAACAAATAGGATGTTTAAGTTTATAATAAACGAAGAGCGGAGCATCAGCTTTTACTGCTAGCACTAGGTAGCGGCAGCGGCAAAAAACTTTAGAAGGAGTAATACGATACATAGCCATAGGATACAATTTCGATAAACTGAAGTAACCGAGTGTCCAAGCAAAAAATCTTCTCAGATACTGGGTTTTGGTTTTTGTATTTGTTACTCGCGTATTTCCATTTTTCGAGTACTTAGGCTACGACAAAACAAGTGTTTGATACCTGTTGGCATTTTCTGCGATCCTTCTCCCCCACCTAGGTGGGCGTCCCGCGTGTGCAGTCGAGTGTGGATGTATTTTCCGTCTTCCTCGGGGTGGGGTTGTAGCGCATCCGGATGAGCGCTGTTCCAGTGGCCTTCGGTTGAAATATGGTGAACTTTGGAAGCCTGAAAAAGATACCCTCCAGGAATACCGAGAGTCGAATGCCCTATCGAAAGAATTTTCATCTTCGGGGCTCCGCTTAGTGTACTGTAAGTGCTTTTCCGACGGTCGCTCGGTTGCTGCTCGTTGCTGTTTCCGCCGCCCGATCTTGCTGCTCTTGGTGTTTCTCCATCTGCTTGCACAAGTTTGCTTACAGATCCGCCTATTTGCTGTAGTGCGTCATTTTTACAACCAGCTTTCGCTTGCTGCAGCATCTGTTCTTCTTCATCGTCGTCGTGTGGCACGTGGCTAATGCGTATCATTGCTGGTGCTGTGAACGCACCTGGCTGCAGAGCACATGACTTACGTCGCGACGCCAGCAAGTCTCCCCCGTTCTTTGCACCTACGAGTTGTGCTCCCCGAGTGACTACCCCTGGTGAGCCGGTCGACTTCTCTTGTTCAACCTGAATGGGCACGTACCGTGAGTTCTGGTGACCCGGGAAAAAACCGTTGGGCAATCCAATAGTCATGGAACCCAATTTATGTGATGCTTGAGACCTTCGATCCCTCAGCGCTTCCGCGTCGCGCTCTCCTAGAGCGTCATGCAAGTTGTAAGAACCCAACTTAGGGGGCATCATCTTGATGTGCGTCGAACAAGAACAACAGCTACCTACTCTAAAATAAAAAACCAAGAAGAGGTAGAAAACACTTCTACAACGATCACTGAGCAATTAATATATGACGCTGATGTGACAGAGACAGTGACAGATAAAGATAGAAAAAAAGCAAGTCAAACTAATGAGACAAGAAGGTGCCCCGCGTATCATGAGGAATGATTGTATACTAGTGCTAGTGCTACGATGTTGATGATATTATGAAAAAAGAGAAACCAAATTTAGGATAGTTGAGGAGAGGGGGGCGGGCTGACTAAAGTAAAGCTGTGTGCTGATGACCTAGTAGTTTTTGTAATGTCTAAGTAAGTATGAAATGAGTAAATGAACTAAAGGATCCATGAAATTATCGCGACTCCATATTAATTCATCATGGACAAGTTAATCGACAGGCCAGCACAACTTCCCTGTCTGACAGTGACGCCTCTCATTATACTCATGTACTCTCCGACGAGAGTGAAAGACATGATCAATAGCAATACCCGACTTTTACACGTATCAAGAACAACTCTCTCTCTTTTTTGGGTCTTAAAATCTCGTTACTAGAAAAAGAGCTCGCAGAAACAGAGATTCTCGCCAAAAACACTACTGAGTCTCTGTCACTCGTTGCCGAGCACAGATAGTCACGACAGAAGAATCATGCAAGTTTTTGATCACGCTCAAAACGACAGATCCTTTTTGCAGATCTTCTAGTACCTGTGAGACTGAGATCTTCGACTTTGAATTTTGTTTCTTTCCGGATAGAAACAGCGGAATTGGAAAAGATTTGATAATTCTACCTCTTGCTGCTTTGGTGTTCTCTCTCCTGTAATCTTTCCTCCGGAAGTGTGCCATGTAGTACAACTAGGTGATTGGACATTCTCACAAGTCCTAGTCGACTAGGAGTTGTTGTGACGTTTGCGACCGCCTAACGTTCTGGTCATACAACCAGCCGGTTGCTTGGACCAGTAACTCGTTAGTTTTCGTATCTTAGGCGATTGGCTTCCACTTTGGAAAGCGCAAAAAAATCCCCTAAATTGAGGACAGACACACAGACATTAATGGAAGAAAATGCTCATGCTGTAGCTAGGTGGACTTACTATAATATATTCTTGCTTGTGTCACCATCTTTGTCATAATCAGTTCACTTATCCCCGTCCATATGGTGCCACGCGACAATAAAATTTTCGAAAGTTCTCCTGCTGAACTGCTCCTGCTGTAATTCTCTGGCTTCTTTGTCATGATGTAGGTGTTCTAGATATACTTTTTTTCATCCTCTTCGCGATCTTATTCGGCTTCGGACCATGCTTTTGTCCGTCTTCAATTTCTTCATAATATGCTAATGGAAATACATAGTAAATATCATTGACATGGTAGTAGATGATGAGATACATGATCAGTTGCCTTAGAGCCTACCTGAATCGACAGGAAGGACCTTGAAGTTGAACGTCTGAAGAAGTAGCGAACATCGTCCTTCAGTCTTCGTTGTTTGGCCAAAATTTCCCAGAAAAACCTTGCGCTTGTAGAAAGAATCGCCTCAACTAATTCTTCGCGAAGCACTTGCACCACGCGCTACCACCCGCTTTCTTCTTTGTGACGACGGCATCACGGGTCGTTATTGACGCCGGGTCATAGGCATACGGTGCTGTAAAAAATTGGCATCAAGGTATATTTGACCAGTATTGTTGCAATAATGTAAGTAGAAACCTCCTTTCAAATTATCAGAATCATATCGACACGGTACAGCTCTTCTTTCTGAAAAACTTCTACGTCATTCTATGTACAACTACAATGTCCTCGAATACTGAATTTCTGACTGTTTTATGTAGTGCATCTATCTCACCCTTACGTCACACGAAGAAGGAACAGAACAACGACAACATTATCATACGTAACTAAGAAGTATTGATGCAGGTACAACTGTATCCTGGATTGTAGCCGGTATCGACTGCTGGCGCCATTGTTGGTTCCGGAACATCGTTATACTCAGGCGCGAAATGAAATCCTCCAGGAATGCCGATCATCAATGGCTGTGCCTGGATACCTGTATTCTCCTTCATGGTGGTGGTGACGAACACCAGCGACTAAGTCTTTCTCTTTGAACAAGCTGCTTGTTGAGGTCTAGTACGGGCGGCCGCACCAAAAACAAATATGTGACCGATCCACCAAGTCACGAGAAAGTGCTACTAGATTGACTCATTTTCATCTAGCAGAAACCGGAAAACTAGAACATAAAAAACAACTACTCGTCGTACAAATATTAAACCTGCTTGCCCTGCTCCTGGAAGTTGTAACAGTGGCTGCCCGTCGAGTCCCATGGGAGGACCTACAAATGATTGACCTGGAATCTGTACTGTCGCACCCGTATGAAAAACCCCAGGTGGCACGTTGTATCCGTCAGTTGTCATAAAAGCTCCATAATAAGGGCTGGAAGATTGAGAGCGGGTAGTGTCGGACTCGGAAAATTTGCAACAATAATTTTTGGTGTTCGTTGTACTTGTAGTATCAAAGGAAGACGTTGTAGTACAAGAACATATCAAGTAGTACGTACTTCAACATCAACAAGAACAATCTTCCTTCGAATATAATCCGAAGTTATCAGTTTTCTCTTCAGTCTGGTAGAAAATCTTTTACAGTGAAAATGGGTACCCTTGTTGCACTTGGTCGTAGGCCACCTCCTGCATCTGCGGTTGCTGTTCGGTCATCTTTGCGTCCTTCTCCTTCCTAAAACTTCTACCTAGTATGCGACTAAAAAGTAGATAACAACTCTGGATGCATGCTAAGGGGGAAAAATGTGAGTGGAGCTACTGTCTTGACGAGCAGGGATTGTTGATGTTCCATGAATAATAACATTAACAGCTTTGATTTTAGAATTCAACAAGTCTCGTGGATGCAGAAAGGCATCATCGCTCGATCTTCTACGTCAGCTGTGGGTCCTTGTTTGTAACTCTATTCATGCTAGTCCTAGTGCGCACTGCGTACTTGTTCCTAGGTTGTAGGCAGAGTCAGTAGTACATCAACATTTCTTTTCTCTCGTCCTTGAATTTCACGTCTATCTCTTTGCTCACGAATTCCTGTGCGCTTCCTGGGGTGAAACACGAATCTGCCACCTTTGATGCCTGGCTTCGGCAATTGCAATTCGTGTTCTAATCCTTGATAAACACTAGTTGTAAGCGCAGCTCTTGCAGCTCTTTTGCTTTCTTTTTCCAGCACCAGGAGTTGCTATAACAAAATACTAATAGGGGACGATAGGTTTAGATATTGGCCATTTCAGAGGACCGGAACATCATTTCTGATATTTTCAGGGAAATGGCGAGGATGGGGATTCTCGTGTATAACATCACAACAACTACACGAGGAAACTCTATTTGTTTCCAGGGACTCGTCTTGGCGCTGGCTCCTTGCTTGTGCTTTTTCCTTTTCGCGTAAGTACTTAAATGATTGTCGTACATGCAAGACGTTCGACTTTTTGTTGATTCATCATGCTCATGATGCATCAATGATCTCAAGAACTATCATTTCTACTACTTCAAGAAGAGCTCTACTATGCGCCTTCACATCCAAATGCATTACAACCTTATTTCAGTAGAAGTGCAAAGAACAAAGAAGAACAAGAAACTCTAAATCTAATCTCGAACTCCTATATTTTTTGATATCATGAGAACCGCGATAAATGAAAAGAGTGACTAGAAAAACAGAAAGAATCGATGCATCTATAAAAAATACACGTCCTATGATCAGATACGCTACTTTTCCCGCATAGACCTCTCCAAGAGTAATCGGATTTGCTCCTCTTCATCAGGGACGTCGGTCTCCGGCGTCTGCCTAGCCGCCGCAATAAGAGACAGCTTCAGGGCTCGATTCGTTAGAAGCTCTTCTAGTCTTTTGTTGAGCCACCAGCACCATGTTCATGTTGATGATTCGAGTGACGTCAAGATGTTCTTGATTAACTTTAACAACTACCCGTGGTGGAACATATTAAATTTCTGTATTTGAATTTAATGAACACCCATCAGCATTACGGTTAACATAACTTTAATTCAGCGTCCTCTTGATCTTGTTCGTCCGTCGCAGGGCCTTCGACGATTCTTGTTTCAGTTGCGTCAGGTGGACGATTCGTCGATTCAGGGTATCTACTTTCGGCGTCCCCGAATGTAGTTGCTGCTGAGCCCGAAGCAATTTTACGCGTTCGGTCGATTGTGCGAGGAACAGGAAGATGAGCGCCACCTTGGTGGTTTCCAGCAGCACTGAGTGACGCCGCGGCGAATGGACCAACTGGATCCTTCACCCTGCTCGATACTGAGTCGTTGTGTGAAGTCGACGTGCAACCGCTACTATTCTTCTTCTCCTCGGCTACTGCCGCAGTGCTAGATTCAACATTGACCCGATCAAGAATATCTGTGACTATTTGCTGCTGCTCTTGTGAATCTGTATCCAAGACGATGATGTCGTCGCAGCTGCCGTTGGATGGAGCGCCCCTGCCGCTTTCTTTGATAGGCAACAAGGGGCGAGGTGCAGATCGTGATGGTGAAAGTGACGCAACTACTTGTTGAATAGTAGAATCTAGTTTGGGGTATTTTTGCCGCGGTGCATCGTCAGCAGGTATGCTGGGCTGATGCCGCTTCGGGTTTCGTCTTTCCTCAACGTCAAGGAGTATCTCGCTCGTCTCTCCTGAAAGTGCGGCGTTCTCGTCATCCTCATCCATGGCTTCCACATCTTCGTCATCGACATCAAACACCCACTCTTCGTCTGGCATCGGAGCGAACTCTCCCCGCAGGGATCGGCTTAGCGCCTTCTCAAGATCGGCGTCCCATTTTCGACGCTCCTCCTCCTCACGTTGCGCCGTTCTACGACTCGCCTCGAGGACATCCTGCATTTCTAACGCAGCAACCCTCTTTTCGTTTTCAACTTGCTCACGGCGCTCCTCTTCCTCTCTCTTGCTCAGATGGAGTGCCCGTTGCACCTCGCTATCTTGACTTTCGGAGTAGGTTGCCCCCGGGAGGCGCGCTCCTAGGCCTGCTACAACTTGTGCATCCTGCTTCTCTCTAGAAGCAGCTGTTGTTGTTGTAGTTGTTGTTGTACTATGAGTCATATAATCTTTATTATGCAGAGCTAGTTTTGCTTCTTGTTCTTGCTGCTCTGTAGCATGATGTCTGTGCACATCAGCAGTGGAGGAGAGCCGTCGGATCACGTCGTCGAGGTCCTGACTGCTGTCGATGTAGTCCAAAGCAAAGTTTGAGTGACGCCGATAAGGATTTGGATTACGGATGTCACCAACCCCAAACTCACGAGACCGCGCACCTCGTGCTTTTTGTTGGCCCACGAGAACCTGTTTACCTTTACTTTCATCATTTACAAGAGCGTCCTCGGAGGTTGCAGACTGAGTGATAACCCAAGCCATCAGCCTTTTGTCGTAATCAAGCGCCTCTTGCGGAGTCAGCTTACCTATTTCAAGGTCCGTTAGCGGTCGACATTCCTCCTGTCGACTAGTATTCGCCGAAGCGTTCGCTAAAGGCACAGAGGACGACGTTGACGAGACTCCCGCGCCCTCCAATCTCGAGTCTGCTTGTCGCTGTTTTGGCTGCTGCATATTTTCGCTTTTTGGGAGCGAGAGATTGGTATTGTGCTTCTGAGATGAAGTAACTGCAGAAGCCGCAGCGCTGCCGTTTAATTCTCTCGCTCGCACAGAAGGGCCTCTGCTATTGGACGAGGTAGCTGAAGAAGAAGACGACGCCGCTGCACCAGAGTCTGCTCTTAGCCCGGCTGATCGCGTCATAGAAGCGCCTTGTTGCGTTCGCTGTTCACAATTTCCCAGACAAAAGCTGCGGCAGAATGGACACGCAAAGATCTCCACCTTACCTTTCTTCGCCTTTACATTATTCAAACCACCACCGCGCAAAGACTCGCCCGCCAGTGAAAGCGCCAAAGACTTGACCAGATTCCTCTGACACAACAAGGCCGAACCGATGCCACTATGTAGATAATGCCGCCGATCAGTGGCGCCGCCTGTGTAGCTTGGAAGAGTACCATGAAACAGAGGCCGCGGATTACACGACGCAACCCAGACCAGACACCCGCGCCCCGGCTCGCGCGGCATGTCGAAGATACCACCCGCAACGAAGAACCAGCCATGTCCTACCGGCGGCAGCTCCTCACGCTTTTGCGTACTGTGTCGCTCAAAAGGGTCGCGCAATGGCTTGTAGAAGGCGATGGTCTCGAGTGTGCCGTCTGCGCTCGAATCTGCGTGGCACATGACAGCATAAGAAAAAGTTTTTGTCAGATTATGAGTGCCATTATACTCCCGATGCTTCCCCTTGCCGCCGACGCAGGCTGTTCTTCCAGACGGATCCAGTGTTTGCATGATGGCGTAGCGGCTCTCAGCTCCCCTCGGCACTGCCGCACTTTCGAGCTTAGCAAAACGAGTCGCATACGCAGCAGCGATCTCATCCAACTGCTCATCTCGTGGCTTGTTGGCATTGTATGGGTACACGTCGCCAATCTTGACCGGATTCCCGTTGAAGTCCTTCCCATGGATCAGCCCAAGGCCTGCCGCCGCCTTTGTGCCACACATCAACATTGGCCCTTCCGCGGCTTTGTGTCCTCGTGTGCATGCGCCTATCAAGCTGTAGCCGCGCGCGTTACTGCCAGCCGGCCAGACGCTCTGCGCAAACGCTTCACACCCTCGCGCCATTTCACTAATCTTATCGCCAAACGAAGACCCGTGCGCAGTTCGCGCGTACCGCTGCGGAGCAGTTGGTATTGCCGTAATCGTACTCGCTTGCCCTGGCCCTCGCGGCGCTGTATAGTTGCTCATTCTCATTGAAGAGTAGGCGCCCACCGCGCCTTCCCTTAGTAGTATCCCCATGGTCGGAGACGAAGACGCCGCGCCGGTTTTCGTCACTCCCGCGCCACTTCTACAGGATACCTCAGGGACATCCGGAAAGGGCAGAAATACTGACCGAACTTCGTTCGTTTCGTGGACAAACATCACTACCGCACTCGAAAACACTGGGAGACCCATCTCTTCAGCCAGAAACTCAAAATGCCACCCGAGCGCGTCCCAGTTCACTCTCTGGCTTCGGGTTGCCTTCGCATAACAAGTTGCGTTAGAATGTGCAATAGAAAGACCAGTCAGTGCAACACCTTCCTGAATGATCCCACCCTCCATCAGAGGTAGAGGAGCTAGTAGGCGCTTGCTTTGAGTTTGATGTCGTTGCATATCCTCTTCATTCGGTTTATCTTTAATATAAGTACGTAGGCGGAGCAATTCCAATTATTTATCAATTGCATTGCAATAACGTGTTAAATATGGGCGCAGGAGTTCATTTTCCAAAAATAGCTGGCAGAGCCGAACGTCGCCACCACTGAAAACTACACTATAACTGGTAGGCGTGGGATAGCATAACGTGAGCCCCTAAGAATTACCAAGAAGATGCATTTTCCTAACCTTTCCCTCTTGAGTGGCAGCGTACTTTTTTGCTTCCCCAACGCGCGCCCTCGCTCTACGTGCTAGGTCTCCTAATATTGCCTCGTACTGGTCCCACCAAGCCTGTGAAAAGCTGACGAGCGTGAGACCGCGCAACGGCTCGCCGAGATGAGCGCCAGCAGATGCAGCCCTACAACTAGATGTAGATCGCTGGGAATGACCGGAAGAAGTGGGCTCCGATGTATTCGGCAAGCGAACGAGCTCGAGCCCCGCCCAATACAATCGATCAAACGTTTGGTCATACTTCCCAGCATTGTCCGACCGGCGCACGTTGCTGTCCCTGTGGGAATCCTGAAACGCCGACGCACTAGCCGACGAGGACGAAAAAGAGGTCGCGCTGCTGCTACTTGCGATGGCATTGGTCGGCCTCTGGAACGGCAAAGCACACGCAGCGCCGGAGCGCGCTATACAGGTGCGCTCGCCTTGTCTGCAAGCGGTATCGTCCGGGGCAGCCGAGCGAGGAGCTTGCTTTCTTTCGTCGTCATTTCTGGGAGCTCGTGTCTCCTGCTCGCCCCGATCTAACACTGCAACTGGTAAGCCAAGACGCTGATAGTGAAAAGCTACCGCCCGTCCTCCTTGCACTTTCCAAGCATCCACATCATGGGAGTCGCAAGGCTGCAAGCATTCACATTTTGCAAAGTCGCGACAAGTGACGCGGGCAGAGCTTGCCGCGATTTTCTCACCGCGGAGAGTGGAGAGCTCAGCCAGAGCAGAGTCGAAGACGAGGCGCTTCTTGCCGCAGCATTGAACGTTCAGAAGATGACTGGACGGCATATGGTTTGTAGTACAGCATTTACGAGCGTTAGAAGTAGAAGCCTGATGAATACCCCCAAGGAGAAGTGGGAGGCACGACTGTGAAAATATCTTCGTGTGAATGTCGACCACATGTACAAATATACAAGTTGTAGTCACTCATCTTCCTCCAATAACTACAAGTACTACTCATACTTACACTCATCATTTTCAATCATGTCGACTCCTCTTCGTAGTTTCTTCTGCTGTAGCAGCTCCTGCGAAGATTATGAATTTATTCGAGTCAACGTCTATGACCACGGATCTGCCAATATCCTCCAGCATTCTGAACGAAGGTCTGAGCCGAAGAGAAGTTTCTTTTGTGTTGACACAGACAAAACCTTGAAAATAAACTTAGGTTCCCGACGATTCGATAACTTGCTGCGTTCTTGTCATTCATTTGCACTCGTCATGTTTGGAGTCCTTGACCATAATGTTGCGAATTACCACTAGCAGAGATGGGGCACAGGTACATCGCTATAGAGCACGAAGACGAACAGATTCGCATTCGCCTTGTCAGATGCTGGTGGCACACCCGATGTTACCATGGTTTTTCGTTGTCCTTCGAGAGAGACTCTTGCACTTGCTTGGAACACGACGGCTGACCCATATTTTTACTACAATTGTTCACCAGAGTATCCTCCGGACTCTGATGTTCACAACAAATCGGTCTCCTCCGCGTTATTGATCGGATTTGCACGATGAGACTTCGAGTCGCGCACAAACTGCAACTGCTCAACGTGATAAATAGTCATTAGTACAACTGCAGACACAAGCCACAGTTATTTTGATGCAATTGCAAATAAAGAAAACGAAATAGAAATTGCAAGTGTCATACCAATCACATCCTACCACTAAAATGGCGACGTATGATTTCGTTGCAAAAAAATACAACCGCCAGGTCCTCAATACTGTGAGGCAATTACTCTCAATGTCTAACAAGGACATCATGTGAGCGATTACGGATTACAATCATTCTATTCGATGTGGAATCTTAAACGTCATTGGCGACGTGGTCAAGCTCTTCATCTTCCACCTACTATTTTCAATTATAGGCTGTATTTGATCCGTATATTGATGTATGCTTTCCGAAGTCAGTGGCTTTTCAACGCAGTTCTGCATCGTCCCCTTAGACAAATCGGGCAAAAGAAGTCTGCATCCATTTCCACACCTCATGCGCGCCGGGCGAAACGAGAACGACCGGCTTCATCTCCCGACAAAATATCCGCACAAGATTCGCGAGCCGAGCAGATATTAAAGCTGCTCTTCATGAAGCGCGCCGCCGAAGGAAAAGTCTGAAAGCAAGTGCGGCTGACCCCGATCTATCTTGGAAGCATAGTTGCCGTCATCCAGATGAAAGAGCAGATAATAAACCGAACAGGCAAATGTCGCAAAAACTGCAAGCGCAACCCACGGAAACGCAATATGAAGATGGGGTCGCGTAACGACGATGACATCAACGACATGCACATGGCTTCTACGTCTTCTGGGCAGTGAAAGTGAGTGTTGCTTCTCCTAATTCTACTAGTTCTCGGTCTCGCACCAAGTACCAACTTAAGAAAACCTCACTGCCCCTCGATATCTGATCTAAAAATTTCAAATTCAATGAACCCATATCGATAATTCTTCTGACCCAATGCCCAGTTTCCTTCCCCTGAAAAGGTCCCGGATAATAGCGAGTCTTCATCCTTGTCCAGCATGCCGTATTTCGCTAGCAGCGGCTCGAGCTGTCGTCTGCGTTCGGCCCGCTCTTCCTCCGATATCTCTGGACGTCGCAGATAGCTATTGTACCTGTTGTATATGTAGTTGCAAAAATTTATTCCTCTGATTACTTGCAGTACAGAAATCGAGAACACGATCAGTGGCACCCCGGAAGCGAGAGTGACACCATCGCTTTCTAAGTAATCAAGATCCAACCACCACGACACTCTACCGCATCAGTTCAAGAGTGTATCGTCTAGTACTCGAGTAGCATCATGAATTTGTCCTCCCTTGTTGGCGTCTCATCCCACTGTCGCCACAAAGTTTCGCGTTTTTCTGGTGGAAGGGTCTCGACCAACAAATTTTCCCACAGTTCCTCCAAATTTTCAGGTGGCTCCAGATTGATTTCTGGCGTCGGACCACTAGAGGTAGAAGCGGAGACATCAGCTGTGCTACCCAAATCAGGATCATCGTCTTCATCACCATCAACCTGATCGTTATATTCGACGTTAATGAGCTCTTCGTCTTTTTTATTTGATCCATGGTTGTATTTTCGAGAAGGTGCGTGATCGGTCAACGTCCTTGCCTCATGTTCACCGCTGTTCAACATCATACCATATGCCCTTCTAGCTGACCCGCGTTTGTTTTGGACATCGTCCTCAGGGTTATTTTCCGCTGAAATCTTTCGGCCACGGTGCCTCAGCTCACTGGACTGCTCATCCGAGGCATCTCCATTTTCCTGTAACAGAGTCGGACGCGCACCACCGCCACCTCCTCTGCTGGACGCAGGCGACTTGGCACACGCTGTTGACGCCAATAGCTCTTCAAGCGTCGAACGGATCTGAAGTATATGTAAAGGTAAAACAAGATGAGTATAGATTAAGACTGAGTAAAGCTAAAGGTTAACGTAAAATGCAAATTCAGAACCGAAGCGTATTTCGCTTTCGGTATACTAGGGTTTATCATCTAGTGGATGTTACGAGGAGGTACCTCTACAGAGAAAGAGAACAACTAATTCAGTACCAGGACCAGCTCGATACTTAATTGTACCAATCCCTCCACACCGATTTCGACATCGATTCGTTGCCATTGAGCATCTGTTAATCGGGCTAAACGGTCTAGCGAGCGTATTCGTTGTTTCTCCAACTTTTTTTGAGCTTCTAAAATTGCGTTCGCATCCTCAGGTGCACTTTCTGCCAACTCCGCAAAAAACACAAGGAAGTCCTCAGCTCCAGCCATGGAGCCTGGCGAAAGTGCAGATGAGGGCAAGCACGGGGCTGAGGCTATCATTTTTTCTTACTCTCAGTGCGAAAGTTCTCGAGAACAACTTTGAGTGGAAGAGAAAAATCTAGAAAGATACTCGCTGCTCATGCTCATAGAACAAGCATGAAGAAACGAAGAATCAAAAACGTAATCTAAACTTCTGTTAGCACAACTACAAATAAATTGCTGCATAAGCTGCAACTACGTATTCAAACTGAGTCATCGCACCAAGACCATCACCGATCATTTCTCTTGGCTATTGGCAACCACGATTACGATCAACAGGCAAGAATATCCGCTGTTGAATTTGAAAAGCCCCTAGCGTGGTGGTATATCCCTGAGCAGCAATAGCAAACTCGTGTGTCTGCCTGTCAGTCTACTGCGTTGCCAGCAAACGCAACTCGCCTATCCCGTATATTTATAGAACAAGAACAGTCGTCACAACAGCAAAACTACCTATCCTACTTCTTTCAATGAACATGAGCGCTCATTATGTTCAGTCGGTCCTCACTGCGTCTAGGTCTACAACTATCAAAATATAAGCTCAGTCAAGGAATATCTTCGTTGATCTCAAGTGTTAGGTACTGAAACGCCACATGTTTTACACAGAACCTCCGTCTATGAAAACTTGTCCTCGTAGAAGAAGAAGTGGCTCTCCAGCACCAGAACTTAATTCCTTTTCCTTTACTCAGAATTAATACCTATGTCAACTACAAGAACGGTAAACATCAACTTCAATCTCAGACTACTAGAACAAAAATCGAAGTAATTGGCCTCACATCGACCTTTACCATCATTCTTTCTATCAGAACCAGAAGTGACTCCCGACTCTGACAAGGGCATGACTATCAACAACTGTTATAGATCCCTCATCGCGGCTTCACGCGCATCTCTTTCCGAGAAGAAGACAGGATATCGGTCGCGCCTTCGCTTGTTGACTGCCGCAACATCTTCTTCGTACGCCCTATCTTCCAAAAATGCCCGCTTGGGGTTCATCTTTGCGTCGCGTGCTTTCTCCTTGTTTTTAATCTCTAGTGCGGTATACCTGCAAAGGTTGTAAAGCAAAAGGGACGATACTTTCAGGGGAAAGCGAAATGAAGGACGAGGAGGAAAAAAAGTCGATCGGAAGTCAATCTGCAATACTTATTCAATAAAATTACTTCTTCTATGATCTAGTTCTAGCACCTCTTTGATCATCTAAGAAAAAATAGTCGACAGATTACGGTGGTCTTTTCGCTGCGAATTTTCCCTTCGTGTCCATCCTGTGTTTTCTAAGCTCTCCCATCAAGTCTATTCCATCATTTTGCACTGTCGCCTTGTTCTCAGCTTTTAATGCTGCTACGTCGGTCTTGTCTCGCATTGTACTGAAGGTCTTGTTCAGATAGTTCTTCAGACTCAAGCTCTCCGCATACTGGGACTCGAGCGTATGCAGAAAGCTTGGGAGCTCTCTGACACTCGATGGAAGCGACTTCCGCCTTCGGTCAACTTTCACCTTCAGTGAGACTTTCCCAAGTTTCGGCGGCAGTGGTTCCAGGTACCTGAGAGGGAACAATACCTCAAATTGCTGCAGCACTTGTTCAAGAAGTCGTAAAGACTCTGACTGAGTCTGAGGCTAGCCGCGATTGAAAATAGAAAAATGATCTCTGTCTCGTTTCCTAATCACAAGGTTGGCATTTAATGCAGAACAAATCTCAACAGGAGTACGTTGGCATAGTGTAGGCGCATTCGTCGCTCGCAGCTGCCATCTTGATCCCCGGTCGGGGAACCTGCTGATAGCCGACATACCTGAGGTATCATGAGATAAAGCATGTGAACAAAAAAATTGAAAAGCGACAGTGAAGTGATGTATTGTGAACATTTTTGCCTCTATCTTGAGCTTATAACCAAAAGTATGTAGTAGATAAGGCAATACTTCGCAGGCCTGCCGATGTATTTCGGTATATTTTCAATGGTCTCGAGGACCGGAACCTCATCTATTCTCCCTTCCTCTTTTCGGTCCAACACTGACGCAAAACCGGAGTAGTCCTGAACAAGATGATGGTTTTTGGGGAAAGCACAAATAAAAGGGAAGCAAACGGACAGAGCGACATCAACAAAATCAATACTTGATGAGAAAGCATCATGCAGTATCTCTTTTTGTTTTTGATGCGCGATTTCATAAATATTTCATCTTTGATGACTAGACTGTAGAAATTGAAGTTGTGAATAAATCCTGCGAGGATTAATACAGTACCCGATAGAACCGCGGAACTGGGTGGCCCTGTACGTCGCAAAGGGCTGTCGTGCCGTTGTTCTGATCCACCTTGTAGTACTTCGCATTGTCGTAATCGTAGGTGATTTCGACACCTACCTTTCGCTTCTGCATTTTCACGTGTTCTGGCTGGCCGTTCTCGTCCAGCGCACTCTACAGCAGGACAAAGTTCTACTAAGGCAGGTCAATTAAGTGGTACTACAGGTCGAAGTTCTCTACTCAGTTTGATGTCACTGCAGTTGTGATGTCGTTCTCTCGTCGATTTCGTTACAACATTGAGACCTGCCAAGCAACTCGTGAGGATGAATTCTTCGTCTTAGTGGATGTCAATGCGCCGCCTGCAGTTTCCAGTATTTTTGTGGTTACGACCAGTATCACGTAAGAAAGTAACAACGTCGCAACCTCGGAGAGTACAAAAGCTGAGTGGTCATTACACCGACCAGCGGTATTTTTGTGCATAAGGGGACAAAAATCTAGTGCCTTCCTCGCGAACGGAAACGCAGCGATCGGATCCGTTTTAAGAACCAAGAAACCACTTGTCAAACCTTGTCTACTACTCGCAGAAGTAGTCCTCGTTTTACAGAGGAGGCCACACAGTAGCCAGCGGAAGGAATGCTATAATGAAAGGCTTCTCCACCCGCAGCAAGAAGCCGTTCGTTAACAGGAGAGGCTCACAAAGCTGAGCCTGCCGGTCGGTGAGAGAGTCCTCGTCTCGTTGCAACAAGTAGATATCACGCAATCTGTTCAACTGTGAGTTTTCGAGGTCATGATTGCTGTCACGAAGAGTAAGGCTAATCAAATATGTATCTCTATCTACTTCAGGATGAAGAATGACTAAGTATTTACGAACTACTTATCGCCCTATTCATGCAGAGCAGGCGGTTTTTACCAGGACAACTGCAGATGACAATGTAACAAAATACAATCAATCTCTATTGGCGCGTCGGCCCACTCCAAAATACAGTACAAGTACAACCACCTATTCGGGAACTGATATGGTTGTAGTCAGTCGTCGTGCAAGTTGAAATATTATTGTACGTCGGACTGTCGAATAACTCAATTTCTAAGCAGCGCAAACCTGACATGACCTACCGCTACAACTATTGGATTTATGAATAATCAGTCAGCGAAAAGCATAGTTGAATCAAAATTTTTAGTTATCAAGCAAGGACGAGACTAAAACCGTGGTATGTCTGGAAGGCAGTCGGAGGTAATCACAATGTGCGGGAGGCGGGTCGACAGGGTTGACTCTGGATGTGCACGGTCGACCGACAAAAGTTTGTACATAACATCCGACAAATTGCTCTCATTCTCGACTATTCTTGTAGCTCTGACATATTGTACTACTACTAGTAAGTCGTTTGTTGTATCTTCATCTTCACGGCAATGATTTTTCTATCTCTTGTTGGACCCAACATGATGCTAAAATTGCCCTCATCTCAAGCTCATGAGCACTTCGGAGGCAACAACTACGACAGTCGCGGAAAACAGATTCAGAACCGACGATAGAGAGATGTGGCGGCAAAACGATGATTCGATCTTCCAGCTTGTTCTTGTTGGTCCAATTATTGTAACAGGCGTCCATCAAAGCCGCGCCAAACGCAGATTGATAGCTTATCATGTGCGCGTGGCTCCGCCCCCGAGAAAGATCTAGGTATATTCATGAAATAGATCATGGCTTGTCTTTTGTATGAGCCGGGAGTGAAACAAGGGCAGCGCCTTGAAATCTCTTGCCAATATGTCTTTCATGCAAATTTCATCTGAACCATCGAGTATCGATATAAAATTCAGAGAACTACAAGAACTGGTACTAGAACTATTATCTTTTCTTGGTTACGTTTTCTTCGGCGAACTTACATTAATACAAGCAACCTTGCTACCGTCTCATGCAATTCTGTTTCAATGATTACGAGACATTTCTCGCAAACGCAAACTACATCCAACTTCTGTATAATTACTCTCACTAGTATGGCCGGGATGATCAGCACTGCGTAAACATATCTACTCCGATTCCGAGTTGTCCCAGCTGCCACAGCCAACATCAGCACCAATTTCTATTATCTCATAGGGATACTAATTTAGGCGTCGACTTATCCTGTTGTAAAAAAAAATCGTGATATATTTACTACATTATTTAGCTCTATATAAACTATTCCCATGTCTTGTATTCCCTTTGTCTTCACCCACCCTTCGCCAGCTCTAAATCTGGCCGGAAAAGAATCTTATGACTCGCACGCGAAGTCTTCATCAAGGGATTTGCGTAAGGTTTTCCGTGGCACCTCCTTTTCTCCTCCGTGGTCCACAGCGTCTTCGCGGTCGCCACGCTCCACAAAAATTTTGCTCCGCCGCTTCTCCGACAGTTTGGGGAGTAGAAACGAAACGAGCCAGTCCACGTTCAATGTAGGCGCTGCGAAGTTGCGACTCAGTTTCCGGTGGTGATCCATATGACCCGATGTGGAGACGAATATCGACGGCAAAAACTCCGAAGCCCAATGCAGAATGGGTGTATGGATCAGAATGTTGCACAAGCTAATGGTAAATCCTGCGGAAAAAAGTGCGGGAAGACTCGGCTTGAAAAGCACCGTTCCGATCTGCAAATTTAATGGGGAGGGGATAGCAGAGGTGAAGGAGCATGATAGGGAACTGGGCAGTAGATGAGACGAGGCCCATTTACGTCCGCGATGTTAACAAGAAAAAACTCAATCGGTTTAGGCTGCAATATTAACCTCCTCGCGAATACGTGCAAGTATTTGTCGAAACGAATAACGACTAAATCAAAACTTTGTTAGTACGAAGATCGGCAGCATGTAGGCGATGACATACTCGGCAGCCGAGACACTGTTTGCTGTTACGGGAACGACAACAATGTTAAATCTGTGATGAAAGCGGTGTGTCCAATACAGACTCTTCGTGTGCATGGCCATATGAGCAAGGTAGTACCCGATGGCTTGGATCAACAAGATCGCGAGAGTTTCGATCACTACATGTGACAGGAGTATGAAAGCAGGAGAGGGCGAATAAATATTATGGGTTATCTTGGCGTGTAAAGGGTAAAAACTGAAGTTGGTTTGGTAGCAACGAGGACAAGACTGAACGGTAGAAAGTAGTGACAATTAACAGATACCATGATGTTGTGACTGTAAACCACTGTCCGCATGAGACGGGCACTCATCATCATTTGCAGTACCTCTGAGGCTGCTCGGAGAACTAGAAGAGCTCAGGCAGTGACACATTCATTCATTCATTCAGGGGGCGAAGCGCGGTAGCCCGCGGGCGTGACACGACTACAGATATCATAATTTGGCCATAAGATCGAAGCCACGGCAATAGCTGTAGTCCGGCACACCCCAAATATCAAAAGCAACACGACTTGGGTCACAGTCGAGGTGTGACTTTCCGGCAAGGAGACTGTACCTCAGGTACAAGACGAACATCAGAGGAGCAACCACAAAATGGTTTAAGAAGTTCGCCGCAACGCCTTTCATATACAGACCCGGGCTGTGTCGAAGTAGCTGGCGTGAGGAAGATGAACGACGAGCTGATATTGTGTTGCACAGACCAAGAAGAAAAGATAAATTGCGTGCACTTGCCGTCGGAACGAGAAATAGACAAAGGAATCAAGAAAAGAGCAGGTACCTTCCAGGTTTCACCAGGAGACGTCGCTTCCAAAGCGAATGTGATGATAATCGTCCAGACGCTCAAGCGGGTGATCTCGAGATACATACGCCAGAGCAAGGGGTCGTTCCCCATTTCAACGAAATGACGGAGCATCATGGCGCTAACATCGAATGCACCTCCGTCTTCTACGAGGATAGACCCTTGCATTTGCGAGGACAACGATGAAGACATGATAGATTTCAATAGAAGAACAGCGGATGAAGTAGTGGTCGACGAAAGGTCGCCCCTAGCTGTTTCTTATATTGCAGGAAGGGATAGACCTAGAGTATAGAGGTGAAAACTAACTACCGGCTGTTTTTTATCTTACAGCTACATGAAATCATATTTAGGCTAGGTTAGGTGCGGGTCCACTAGATAAACCAGCAGACTCCAGTGGCTACTGAAGAGCCAAAACAAAGAAAAAAAAAATTAAAAGGCTACGACTTACGGGTAGTATTCGTGCATATTTTCGATTTCGAAAGACCAACTATATTTATAATCATGAGCCCATGTTGAGTGAAAGCAGGAGATCAGAATCATCTGTTTTTATGCGTGAAAAGGCATTCAGTAGCTGTACTACCTACAACAACTTCGACCAATGAATAGGAAATTTAGATTTACAATAAATTGAAACTCTTTCATCTTGCTCTTGAGTGTTGATATCTTTTCGTCTTCCTAAAAATCTACGAGTTTTTAGAAAAGAAACACAAAGAAACGGATGATAGCGTCGTGCACGACTATCTGAACAAATGACTAGCATTGCCGATACTACAACTAGCCGATGGAACATGAAACAGAAACAAAAACAAAAACAAAAACAAGAGTACTTACATAGGAATACTTGATGAGGCAAGGATGTCACGTCAAATTAATTGGAAAAACTTGATATCCCTACTTTTTAAATCACACCAAATTTACGAGCACAACAACTGCCGTGACCACAACGTCAACGTCTGGAATGAGGTCTTAGGATTTCGTCAAGTCCAAAAATTTTCCTCATCCGAGAGAAATAGGAGTGAATCCCGAACGGAAAAGAATACATAGTGGTACGACATACTATTCGTCACACTAGGTGTGCCTTTGGTCAGGGTCTCGGGCATGTCAACTACAAGTCACAAAACTTACACGGCGGATGAGGGAAAAACTTGGGGAAACCGTAACGGCGCAAAACTAAGATAATGCGGGTACTTTTTCAACTTATATAGATGCAGTGACCTGATCATCCGTGCGTCTCTTTTTGCCAAAAAATGATCCACAGATAGAATGTTTCCGCGAGAGATTCTAGTGACATACATGAAAACAACCTACTTTTTCAAGTTCACCAGCACCAGGCCAAGAACACAGCTACTTCACAACTCGTTGGTCTCTCACTTTTCTTTCTGACTGAGTCTGCGCTACTGAGTCAGAGTCAGTACAAACATTCTCTCGTTATTTTTGATACAGCAGTACACTAGTAGAGAGTCCAACCGATGGTGAATAATTCAACGAACCAGTTAACGGCACACAAACAGACTCAGACATCTTGCGGTTGATAGGAAACTAAGGAGGAAATTGACCGAGAGAGGCGTGGCTGGCATGCCAAAAATATCACTTGCATGATCATGAACATCATTTTCGCGCCTCATCCATTCTTGGACCTGGCAGGGCCTTGGCATAAACTGTGGTATACGTTATGAAATCAATCGCTATGCGCAACCTCAATTCCTTTCACGACATCTTCGTTTCCCGCGCCCATCTTGTTCCACCACTCTTGTTCATTAACTTTACTTACTAGATAAATCATGTGGGTGCGGTTTTACAAAACTCAAACCTCACGTCACAAGAACCCTTTACGTAAACGAGCTGCTAGAGGCAGAGTCATCACTGCTATCAGAGCTGCAGGAGGATGTGAAGTCCCCAAACGAATTCGGTTGTCTACGCCGCCTCTCGCGTCCACCGCGCCTCGAATATGCTTAGAGGGATAGGGAATGCATCTAATAGATCACCTGAGACCTTTTCCTTCTTATTTTCTTTGCCCAGATGGCTTTGAAGATGCATTTCCTACTCTCATAATATGAATGGTTGTCGGGATAGTTTCCGTTCCGCCAATCATAAAATCCTCCATGTCCATCGGCAGCATGTCCCGACCCGTCCCATGGATCACGTCCTCCTCCCCAGTTCCGAGAGTGCCAAGAATTGCTACCGTCCGCGGTCCGCCTTGCTGAGTTCTTGCTATCCCACGACCCGGCGGCAGCGCCTTTTTTCCACCGCACGCCAGCACCCGTCTCACTGTACAGAATGAGGAAGCCTTCCCGCAAAAGTAAATTCGTGATCAACAGCACCATGCGGTGTAGTCGAAGCGTACGATATTGCAGAGGGACAGCGTCAATTTCGTCAGCGTACTGTTCTTCGATCAGCTTCGGCATCTTGTACGCTAGAAAGGCGCTCACCGCTTCGCTCGGACAGAAATACGGCTCTTCCGCGTGTGGCATAGTCTGTCTCTCGGACAAATACGAGAAGATGAACTGCAGAAAAGCAAATTCGTATCGGGTCATTGGAACTTGGTCGTTATCGTCTAAGGGATCTTTCCAAGCAGCATCAAAAACCAGTTGAAATTCAGTTCGCGCCAAACTAGGTCCGTCACCATGGAAGTTTGAATGTAACACGAAAACCGACGGCTTCGGCGTAGTAGAAGTCCTATTGCCCTTCGTGGACGTACTCTTTGTATCTTCATCCGCGACGAGACGCTCATTTTTCTTCGTTTTCTTGCCTTTATTCTCTCCAAGAATGTCCTCGTCGTCTTCTTCTAGCAAGTCTTCGTCTTGGTCTTCCTCTTCTTCTTCGGGTCCACGCTCGTTTTCGAAGTCATCGCCGACTAAGTCATTGAGCTCTGCTAAAACAGGATCTTTGGTTGAGACCTTCGATTTGCTTCCAGCCGACTGTGTCTTAGACTTTCTGCCTGTTCTCATGGTGGAAGTACTTGTTGCTTTCTTTTTTCTGCCACGCTGTGTAAGCGACGCGGCTCGCGATCTGGCTGAGCCCTGTGTTGCGGCGGCCGCACCTCTCCTGCGACTGCGAGAGGCATGTGCTATAGTGGATGATGATCCTGCATTCGACGAGCCTCCTGAGGCCGGTGGTCCTGCTGTGGCAGCATTCTCCTGTTGCTCCTCGGCAAGCTCAGCGGCCAATCGGGCCTTCTCGCGTGCCTGGAAGATGTCACGCAATTCCTCTTCGTCTAACAAAGGCGGGGAACGAGCAGTACTAGTGCCAGATTTTGCCGAAATCAAGTTGGACGATACAGATCCCGTCGGATCATCCTCTCCGGGTACCAGAGACTGGACACGCGAGAAAGCAAACCAGGAGATCAGCTTCACATCATCAAATTCACCGCCCAAGTTACCAGCCTTCAGGTCTTTCAGCTCTATCCGTTTGGAGCCTCGATTCAAGAAGTAATGCTTTTTGGTGGGCATCTCGTCCAGATGCCCATAATACGCGGAAACTCTTGCGACCAGGGATTTTAAATAAGTCACAACGTCAATCTTGCGATAGCGAGCGGCCATCATCACGTTGGAAGGCAGCAGGCGACGTTGAAATGCCTCATAAACGTCATCCACGCCATCGTCGTTCAACCGACTGTTGGACCAGCTATCATGGGGAACGTAGTCGCGCCTAAAAGGAATTTTTGAAATTGGAGATGTTCTTGATCAGTAGAGATTGAGATATTAGAGTTCAACATTATATAGTAGAAGAACTTGTACTAGGTCATCTACTAGGGACTTATATCACAGCCAGCTGCCATGCATGGCTCCTTCATTGATCAGTTCACAAGGAAAAAGCAAAAGGTATTAGCTCGAGCAACTCTTAGTATTAAACGAACAAAACAATTCGTAGCAGTTAAATAAAAGAGAGTACAAAACGTCCATTGCAACGCCGAGATTTGCTGCCGCACGTCGGCGGAAATCCTGTTGGGTGAAGCAGCCCACAACTTTGGACCGCAAAAGAGCGCTTCTGGCCATCACTTGCCGAAGCGCGTTCGCGATAAGGTCACACCAGCGCTCCCCTTGCAAACTAAAGTTGATGCTGATGCTTAGCTCATCAGACACTGTCTCCACACGGTGCCACATTCCACTCGGAAAGTAAAAGACGTCGCCGGGATAGAGCTCAATCACTTCGAGCTTGTTGTGGTCGTGCGGCTGAACGACAGACCTTCGCGGATTCTTGTCCGACAACGCGGCTAGTGCTGTACAGAAGGTAGAAGAAGTTGCATTTTGACTACTCGCTGCTGGGGGAACGAATCTTTGTGCTTGTTCTTCACGAGTCGCTGTCGGTGAAGACCCTTCAGTTTCGTCTTCGACATTCATCGTTCCAATTCCGGGAACCTTCATCTTAGAAACTTCATCTCCTGGTATGCCCTGGGTGGTCGCTATGCTGGCGCTCGCGCCGAGTTCACAACGACCCCAAAAGTAGTCGTCCGTTGGTCGGTAAAGTGTTTGTCCGCAGCTTTTCAGCTTGTCCACGTAATTGGAGCGATACAACGAAGAAGCGGCGGCAGCACCACCACCACTTCCGCCTGTGCCTTGTTCCCACGATGAAGTACAGGCTTTCGACGAACTGGAGCAAGACGGATAGGAATCATGCGAAGACGATTTGCCACTGTTCGGCGCCGACGGAAACTTGCGAGCGACGCTCTGCTGGCTGAGATAGTTCCGGAGCTCATTTTCCCGAGTCATATCTCCTTTTTCCGTGCAGTCGTAATGCGAGGTCATGCCCAGCATCGGTTCCGACGTTTCGCCGCGCTTGATGTACCAGCGCTTCACACCCTGTAGCTGAATCGTGAAATTTTCTTGGAAATCTGTGTGCCAGTCTGTGAGATGACCCTTTTTGCTAACAAAAGTCTCAATCTCCGATGAGCGCGTGGTTTTCAGTTGTTTTTGCATGCTACGCATGAAGAACGCGGCTGCAGAGTCGTCCTGCGTTAGGGCTAGTACCTCGTCGCCGGATGCTCCCTTTAACGCATTCAGTATAGAAGTGGTAGAGACGATCTCGTCGACACTCCTAGCGCGTCTCTGCCTAGACCGCGTCGTAGTCGTTTCGCTGGGCTCGTCAGCTCGTGCGCTCACGGGTTCCGATGCTGCCGCGTCCTCGAGATTCCCCTCACGAGACAAAGTCGCGCCGCTTATTGACAATCCCTCATTTTCTTCGTTATTCGCAGAAAACGAACCTGACGCAGCGCGCCGCTGCCTCTTTGAAACAGTCGAAGATGCCTTCGCTTTTGCCCGTCCCCTCTTTTTGACGACAGTCAAGTCTTCGCCCCCATGGTCGTCTTCACAGTCATCATCGCAATCCTCTTCATCGGAGCCACTCTCGTTTTCCTCCAGTTCTTCTGCGTCACTTTCGTCGGACTCAGAGCGGTCCACCTCATCCTCTTCCGCTTCGCTATTTTCCGCACCAGGGTCCTCCGTGAACCCTGCGAAGTCGAAACCCAACTCCTTCATGAAAACGGGCAAAGTGTCATGTTCCAGCGATTCTGGTGCACGAAAGTAGAGCGCGCTCGCACCTGGCACCTTCTGAAACATGTCTAAGGCTTCTTTCGGATCTGTCACCTTCCTAGAGAAGAGCGGCAGACGTTGCTGGGCTCGTTCTCGCTCCATCTTCTCCTCATGAAGAATACGTAGATGCGCTCGAAGCTCCATTTTCTCACGCGCGTGATCTCCTTCGACTCTACTATTCTCGTCGTCGTCGTTGTCTTCGTCGTCACTAGATGAGGGCGGTGCAGTGGAATCCGAGTAACTGCGCACACGTCCACCTGCAGACGACGGCGCTGCGATGGGACTCCACATTGAAGATGAAGACGTCGTTTGCGCTTCCAACTCTTCTCCTGCAAGTCGTGTCGGCTCCTTTTTCATCGCCTTGTCCGCAGACGAGGAAGAGTTGGTGCCCTTTGCTGGTGTCGCCTCTTTGCCATCAGTTTTCCTAACTGGCGGCCGTCCGCGTCCACGAGTTGCGGCCGTCTTGGCCTTGGCCTTTGCTGTCACCTTCATCGCTGTTGCTTTTGCCGCTGCTTTTTTCGACGTCTCAAGAGCTTTGAGCTTTTCGGAGGATGTCAAGTTCAAGTCGGTCTTGCGTTTATTTTCCATGCGAAATCGAAACTGCTTCGCTAGCGCAAGTTCCTGCATCTCCTTTCTCACTGTGTTCTCTGCACTGCGCAGGTAGTCTCGCAGTGCGGCTGTGCAACTTCCGAAGGCTATATCCTTGCTATTCTTGCTCGATGAAAAAGACAAAGGAGATTTTGTTCTAGCATTCTTGTAGTACTGCAGCTGCAATGCTTGCTGTTTGCACGAGTGCTCCTCATTGATTCTGTTTGGATCTACCCAAACAAAAATCTCCTGGTCGCCGCGTCCGTTTTCCGGCACATTGTGCAGGAGGTCTTCTAGATTCAAGTCGAACATGTAATCGCTTACTAGACGGCGAAACCTACGTACAAATCGCACATTTTCATCGTGGGCCAACGCTGAATCTATCACAGCATCATCGAGTTCACTCCCATTCTTACTTGTTTTTCCGTCTGTTTCATCTCGCTTGCCCTTCTTCTTTCCTCCTCCCGAGCAAGAAGCCGAGGATGACGAGCCAGCTCGAGCTCGTGAACTCTTGCCCTTAAGCACGCCACCAGAAGAAGAGGCAGCTTCTGACTGCTGTTTCGCGTGGTCTTCTGACACAGTCCTACTTCTGCCGCGACCTCTACCTTTTGGAGCCGCCTTCTTTGTGGCTTTTTGGTCTTTCTTTCGTCTTCGATTTTCTGCCTCAGACTCGTCCTCTTCGTCATTGTCATCTTCCTCGATATTGCTGCAATCGTCATCATCGTCAACATCTGATTCCTCGGAGTCTTCTTCCCCTGGCTCTTGTTCTGCTACCAAAGGCACGTATCTGGCTACTGTAAAGCCACTGGTCAGTGCATTGCCGGACTCCAAATTGCGCAATGGCAAAACAAGGGCAGCAGAATCAGTAGCTAGATTCAAGTGCGCAGTGGCGCCGCTCGGCGGTCGTGGACGCTTCGGGTCGTCTAATACCAGAAATTTGTAAAGCCCAGTGCTTGCCAGAGTTGGGGTGATAACTCCGAGTTCTTCCAATTTCCCAGTTGCATTCTCGAAAATGCTGCGGCACTGATTTCTCAAAGTAGGACTTGAGGGGAGATGTTCACTTGTTGACGATTTGGATTTCTCCATCCACTCATGCATAAGGCCTGATTCTTGATGAGGTTGATCAACATGTTGCAAAGGCGAGTGGGTCACTTTAGCACGGATGATCGGATTGTTCCGAACGAGGAGGCCCATTTTCGTCCAAACTGTTGACAAAAAATCGTCTTGGACACTGATAGGATGGAGCAAATTTTCAACGAAGGCGGAATCTTCCGCCTCTGGGTCTATTGGGTGTTCATCTTCGTCTTCGGAAAATAGGATATCACTGTCCCATTGGGAATCTTCGTCTTCCGACAATCTGCTAGCCGCTCCAACTGATGCATCTCCACCCTCGAGTAATCGATCGGCACCATCGACATCATCTCGACCTTTATTTTCACCCTGCAATCCTGTCTCTTCCGTTGCTCCAGAGCTGCTAGCTGGGGGTCGCTTTCGACGTTTTGCTTTGATCATTTTGCTAGTTGTAGTCTTCTTGTTCCCAGCGCTCGACTTTTCATCGCCTTTCGCGTCACTAGATTTTTTACCTCGCCGCCGTCGCATCGCCCTTTTCGTGCTGCCTTGCTGGGCTGCAAACAAAGCTTCGTTATGGGCGTTGGGAACCAGGAGGTAGTGCGCCAATTGCCGCCCGTTCTTCTGAATGGAAGCGCACTTCAGTCCGAATGTGTTTGCGGTGACGCGGTGCCCTAGGCCACGTTCGCGAATGAGAATCGTTCGGGTCACAACTGTGCTTTGCGAAGACACAGTCCCTCTGCTGGCTGTCGTCGTAGTCGCTGACATACCATGAGACGAGGAACTCGAAGATGCCGAAGATGATGACGGCACGATAGCACCAGTCGTGTCTTCTTGAACCTGGGAAGCCGCCTTAGCACCCGCCTTGGCGCCAGCTTTCTGGCGGCCTGCAGCTTTCCGTGGAGGCATATTTAAAGGCAATAGTAAGGTGACCTGACAAACTCAAACGAAGAACTAGATGTCTTTTTCACTCCGACTTCTACTCGGTTTACTAATACTCATTTACTTCATCGCTGTAGGGAGGAGAGTGCCTAGTTTAACTTTAACAATGTGTCGCCTTATTTGAGTTAGAACTGTTGTCAGCTTCTAGTTCGTACTCTACCTTGTGCTCTGCTGCGCATGAATGAATGGGGTGAACAAATGTCGGCAGGGAACGATTTCGCAAAGTTTGGCTTTGGCTTTCTTCATCCTAGCAGAGGCGGCGCCTTTTGCTTCTATATTAGACAGATCTTTGTTCACGAAAGAGAGAACCCTTTTTTATCAAGCTTGCTTCTTTTGATCGTCGATGCTCCCACCTGACTCAGTGCAGCACATCATCTGGTGATGATCATATTCATATCATTCCGTCCAGCTGTGCTTCGCCTAATTGAGGCACATGAAGATTGAGCTTCGCGATGTTATTACGCCTTCCTTTCTAGGATCTTCGTTCTTTTTGAGAATCTAGGAATACCAATCGATCTTTGAAAGTTATTTCGCAAGAACTGAAACAAGAGTGTTTTTGGAAGTGCATCCGGGGCACTCGTGTCAGGCCCATGAGGATCTCAATACACACAGCAGCTCGTTAAACCGCGGTGAACAAGAAGAGGACAGAACGTCGTGCAGTTTGATAGCAAGATTGTAGTTAGAGATTTCGATTGAACTCTTGGAACTTCAACGAGCTGATGGCGAATTTTGCTCTTATACACCAAGCGCGGTAGTTTTACAAAGGATTCATCGTGTCACACTCACATCAAGCAGGAAAGCAGGCGCACGATTAAAACCATCTCAAAAAATGGAAAAGATGAGGAAACTTCATGAAAAGTGGGGGACTTTTCTTCAGGCCGATACTTGTGGGTCTGCGTCTGCCTTCTCAGCTTCGCCCTCTTGTTTCCTCGGCACGATGATGACATGAAGGAGGATACGGAATAAAGGATGTTAGCTACGACTAGGCGAATGAATGTACATCTGCGAAGGTCATCCGTTACTCTTTCTCACTCAATTATTACTCTTTTTTGAAACACTGTTCCAGTTCAATCGTGAGATGACTCAGACTCTTTGTCTTCCGGTTCCGCTCTCTTCATTTCCAGATACATTTCGCAAACTGCATCCGCGACAACAGGGAAGTTGAGGAGGCGGAGCTCTCTTGTGGCCGCTTTTACGTCTTTAGCCAGGCAGTAATTCTGCGTCACTGCTGCACAAAGCGACATGTTAGTCGTGCGATGCCACATTCGAGAGGGAATGAAAATTCCCTCCCCAGCCTTTTGATAGACTTCCAATGCCTCTGCATTATTCACGAAGGGGCTCGTCTTAGAGAACTCCCAGCGCTTGGGCCCGCCTGCGAGAAGCACATTCCATGCTGAGGTATCATACGGGTCTTGGTGCCACGAAAATCCAGTGGAAGTGGGACCTAAGAGAAACCACCAATTGTCAGGATGGAGCGAACTCGCCGCAGACGCAGTCGTGTCGGTAGACACTTTCTCTTCATTTCCGCTCTCATCCCCGTGTTGTTCTGGCGCGCCCTCTGCATCGTCGCCGACGTCAACACTTAGGAACGAGTTTGATCTTGATCGTAGTCTTATCGTACTGGTACAACGCTTGCTGTCACGAATCGCAGGACCGAGAAAATCCCAAATTCCAGTTTCTTTGACAAAATCATTCAAGGTCGTGGCTCCAAAAGGGCAGACTTTTTCCACGTTTGGATCCCAGATCGTGGGAGCGCCTCGTCTCTGGCGGTTCATGTTAACTTGCGGCCTTGAGGCGCTAACTCCGAAAGCAACAGTATGCTCCGCCATGGAAGAGTCATCACCGAAATGAGAAGACTCCAACATCGTCAGATAATCCCCCATGGGCATACAATGCGATTCATGTTCTGGATTCTCCAGGTCACCGACGGAAGGAGAAGTAATGGGTTTTACAACTTCGACCTTTACTTCTCGAATCGGGCGGATCAACGAGGCAAGATCTTGCGCTGGCGTTACACCGGTTACTAGAACAGGTTCATCCACATTCTCCCAATCGATGGTGTTCACTTCGTTCCACGCAATCTTGCGCACCACACTGCGAGGAACACCACTGGTTTTGTCGATTGCAAATCCTTGCTCTGAAGCTTCGGCTAAGAAGGCAGTATTTCCAAAATCCCACTCGGCGGGAAATTGAAGACCACTATACGCACCCTCTTCCGACTTTTGACAGTGCAGGTCAATTGACGAGCTCGCGACATCCAGATCTGGTCGAACTTCGCACAATTGCACGACCTGATCTTCTTTGAAAGCCAAAGCATTGAGAGGCGCTCGCACGTGTCCTCGTTTCCCTTCTACCGGAAAGTATTTTGTCACGCATGTAGTTGCTATTTTCTTGATTTTTCGTCGTGGATGTCTCCCACCCTGAAGCAACGCAGGAACCCAGTCATCGACAGCGAACAATCCAAACGAGGCTTTATCTACATCTTCGTCCGATTCCAAAGGGTGGTCACGTGCGCGAGGGCAGGCTTCAGATTTTTCAAGCAAGATGTCCGTAAGACCAAGCAAACGCTGTGCACCGGTTTTGGTCAGCAAGTAGGCATGCAGACAACTGCTAAATCGAGGAACTTCGAGATCATCATCGACATCCACAATGGAGTTATCATCACCAGCCTCCTGGCGGCTACTATCCTTTTTCGTCGCAAGCTCGTGTCGACCCACATAAAGCATATCCCAGGAGGAAGAACACCGAGTGGAAAAGCGACTCTTGTCGTACTGATCATTCTCGGTTCCGCCGGACCCGGAGATGCTACTCTCAGTGCAGGACGCATCCGAATTATCGGCGCGAGAGGCAAAAGCTTGAATTTTTTTGCGTAGATTATTGAGAACGCGCACCCACTGGTCTACCACGAATTCAAACCGCGTATAGAGTACAGGGGCCCACAAAACAGGCACAGCGTCGTCCTCTAGAATCAACGTTGGCTCGTTTGAGGGGACTTCGACTTCCTCTCGCGGATTCTCCTTATGATCCTTCGTGAGATCACCAGAGTGCATCAGATCGATGCGATGACGCTTCGCGTTGGAACCAGATGCAGATGACATCTCAGTTGCACCCTCTTGGAATGCGCGCAACGACGTGAACTTATCTCTTTCACGCCTTTTCTGCCCAGAGAAATCGTTTTCGTTTTCCTCACCTGTAGCCTCTACCGCGATAATATCTTGTTCCGGACGATACGTTGAGGAGCAAGCGCCACCTGTTCCACCAAGTATGTGACGCCACGCTCCCACATGCGACAGAAAACATCCGATCTCAGCAATCGATGTTGGACGCGCATAGTACGTTCGCATCTCATCCTCAGGCATATGCTTAAGCCCGAAGTCCTTTTCCCAACTTTGTCGCGTCTCTTGCAGTTCCTCTGCCGTGTCGCCAGAGAGCGCGCGATAGCTACCTTTTTGTCCCGCATCTGGTTCGTCGAGAAACTCGCATTTGATTCCCAACTTTTGCGCAGCGACGAAAAGAGTCTGCGATTGAAACTCTCGTCTATCCCGTCGACTCGGAGTATTCAAGACAAGGATGCGCATATTTTCAGTTCCAGTAATTAGACTCCAACTTCGGGTTCTTGACAACAAAATGTCGTAAACAACAATGTGTATCTCGTCAACATTCGTCACTTCATATTCAGTGCAAAAGCAAATTATTTAATGTGTTTTGATTCGCTCCAGAATCTCCCAAGCTGCGGTAACAAAACTGAAGCCCTCACCCTCTAAACTTCCTTGGATGGATATTATTCAAGCAGCATTATAAATAGCTGAAGGGAGATGCAAAAGAAGAAGATAGTGCTTAGACGTAAAGCTAGAAATAATCATGGTGGTGTGGTTCTAGAAGGAAGTAGATATTGATGCAAGCAGCTACCCCTCTTCACAACATCAGGACACCGACAACATCTTTGTTGTAGATCTATTTAAGAACAGCACAGAGTTGACCAACCATCACCTGATAAACTGGCATTAGGGCAATGAGCAAACCTTTACTTTTTGCTTTTCTATGTTAACCATATGGTGCTTATGCTTCTTCGAAGGTAAAAAAATCACAAAGGTCTAGGTAGGAGTCTGCGTGCTTGTTTTTTCCTGTCTTTGCCGAAGTAGGCGGTCCTTAATCAGAGCGTAGTTGTGGATCAATGTCTCTGATACATGAGAATCTCCGACGATCCTCGCAAGAAAGAGTCGATCTTCCCGACCCTGATCCACGAGAGCAGAAGGCGCAATCGATTTCGATTCCAAAGACGATTCTTCTGAAGATTCCATATTACCAGAGATCAGCGGAACGCATTCGACAACTTCAACTGGTGCCAGAGCCACAGGAGCAGGAGCGGTGATGGTTTCTATTTCAACACTTTGCGAAGGTATTTCTTGTCCCAACCGTGAAATTCTCTTTGGGGTAATCGTAGATGAAATGGGTTCTCGTGTGGGTCTTTTCTTCGGTAAGGCAGTTGGAGTTCTACTTGAAGACTTCGCCTGGGCAGTAAACTGCGTTGCACTGCTAGCTGTAGCCCTCGTTGGTGTCCTGGTGCCCGAAAGCCTGAAGACACGCCGTGCACAGGACTCATCTAGTCTCGTCCGGTGCACTAGGTGTTCTTGTCCAAGTCTAACCATATCGCGCTCATCATAATGACTTACTCTATCTTTAGTGAATTTTTCTGCGCCTGCATCCATCTCAGACGCACTTCCTGCTGAGGACGAGGCTCCTGACGCGCCACACGAGCTTGCATGATCTTGGTGTTGCGTATGCCGACCCTCTACAAGAGTCGGTTGAACCAACTTCATCATTGGCGCAGCTTTTCCACCAGCAGGAGTTGTCAAACTCGAATGATGAACTTGAGTTAGTTTTTTAGGACTAGCCGCAGCTTTTCTTTTCGCATCTGGAACTGCATTAGCATTACTTCCGGAAGATGTTGAGCTTTTCACGACAGCTCCCGCTTTTCCCGATGCGGGCGGACCGGCAAGATGTGAAGGAGACGACACGTTGTTCGGAACGCTTTTTGTTGATGAGGTTTTCGGTTGATTTGACTTTGTCGGACTTGCAGGAGGTTGGGTCACAGCCGACTGTTTCGGTTGCGGTGGTGGGACAGCAGTCAGAGTACCTTTGACGCTGGGTTTGGAGGAGGTATCTGGCGCTTTACTAGTTGGCGAGAGCGACGCTGGATCTTTGTTGCTTTTCAATCTGCTCGTCTCGTCTTTCATAGAAGGTGACTGCTTCGAAGAGGCCACAGGAGAAAGCGTAGCGGCTTCTGCATCAACGTACGGTAGTCCAGTTGTTGCCGTGTACGCTGCGGCCGCGCGATCTTTCTGCTTCTTCTTGCTCAGAGCTGCATAGTTTTCTAACAAAGCTTTGAGGGTAGTTCTTGATGTTGTCTCAAGATCGGCTACGGCTTTCCCTTCATCATCGTGTTTGTCTTCCGCCTCGCCGTCCTGTGTTCGGGGATTGTTTGCCAGCCTCTCCGCACATGCGCAAAGACTGTCCCAAAGCGCTTCGTCTGCCGCTGCGGCAATCGACGCTGTCGCACTGTAGGTGTAGCTTTCAAACGTACCGTCAGCGTTGGGGTGACCTTTCCGCGTGTTTTTTTCTGCGTGCGCAAGGGCAATGCGCCTTTTCCATTTAAGAACCTCTCGCAAGGCAGACGCTGCTATGCCAACAACGGCTTGCGACTGCGTCTTCAGGGTTGCCATTTCTTTGGACATTCTTTCCACTTCAGTCTTCAAAGCTTTCTCGCGCTGTTCGGCCGACTCGCTGTTGGCTTTCAAAGCCTCGTTCTCCTTCCGAAGAAGCTCCACATCTGCGTTTTCTTTTTCTTGCTCACTTTTGCCAGGAATGCTTTTTACGAGATGAGGGTCCTCCAATTCAGAAGTACGTTTGCTGTCTATTCCATTTGCTTGAAAATGCTCCTGCTGTAATGCCTCGACTCGCTCCTCCAGTGCCTCACGTTGAGCGCGCTCTGTCGCGACTTCCCCCAGCAGCGTTTGCATTCGCCGACTCAAAAAATCAACCTCGCCACTCAGACCCTGAGAACTTCTTGATCTTGACTTTGATGTATTGCCGGAAGGTTTCCTTTGCTCCAGTTTGCCTGATGCTAGCGCAGAGGACCGCAGGTGGTCTTCTTCAGCATGCTGGCCATCTCGTATGGCACCACTAGCGTAAGAAGAAAACCTGTCTTCAGCCTCTTCTCGTATTGCATGCACAGCTAGTTCCTGAGGTGTGGACCTACTGTTCGATGCTCGTTTACTCGTCTCTCGCTTTCCTGGCTGAAATTCCGTACTCCGACTTTCCTGGCTTATTCTCTCCTTTTTCGCCGCCAAGTTGTGCTTCCTGGTCCCAGATGATGTTGTCGATGCTCTTCCGTCCACTCCGCCTAGATCTGCGTGGGCATCTCCGCAAGCGTTCGAAGGACGTCCCGGTCTCTGAGTACCATTTTCATGCGTACTTCTACCTGAAAACGATCCCGACACGTCGTCTCGGCTGCCTCCCTTCTTCAAGTTCTTAGAGCCAGTAGTTCGACCTGAAGAACCCAAACCCGATGTCCTGCTAGTACTAGAAGTGTTCACAGCAGCACTGTTGTTCCTGGAAGAGCTACTCGATGTTCTAGAAGTCCTGGAGGTACTAGTGGGCAAGTCCGGTCGGCCTCCTGCTCGTCGATCTGCTACAAAACGCGCTGCTAGTTGCGATTCCAGCTGACTCGCCACTTCTGCAGCAGAAAGACCATTCTTTCGGAGCGTCGATAGCAGTTCGGACACGACAGGATTGGCGTGCTTTGCAAGCTCATGCGCTGCCATTTTGCTTGACGCATAGTTTTACACATGCAAGCCTGTATGTAGTTGTGTGATCAAATAAGTAGTCTCGTCAAACTGGTCGTGGTCTTCTGTCCTTCCTGTAAATGAATGTCGAGAACAGGTCTACCTTTAAGGGGTCTGAAAATCGGTATGAGAGGGTATTGGGATGGGTGAAAATCCATGAGAGCTAGTAGCTAGAGCAGAAACATGTCTGGTTAATCTGGCTGCACTTATAGCACGACGTGAATCGTAAGCCACCACTTCCGAGTGCTTCCTCTAACAGACTCACATCAAAAAGAGGTAATCTTACAGACCTCCTCGTCTTACAGATTCAGATACACCGATGGATCTTCTCGGTCATGATGTTGGCAGGCAGCAGAGGAGATTGAGACTCTTGATTTTCCCACTCAACAATGTTGACCCACTCCTGACGACAGTAATGAAGCTAGTTGTACTTGTTGCACTAGTCTCTTTACTTGTAAAGTTTTGCCTTGGTTTTGATTTTGAGTTTTGACTTTGAATTTTGATTTTGAGTTTTGATTTTGAATTTTGAATTTGCATTTTGATTTTGCATTTTGAAGACCAAGACACGCGGAGGCGGAGACAACACCGCAAAAACGCGCAACGTTTTGCTATACTCATGAACTTAGAAAGTTAGGACACAAATCCTGGAAGTTACTGATAGGACCCGAATGCTGAAAGATAGGGCGCAAATTTTGAAAGTGAAGCCATGAACTTTGAAAGTTAAGACATGAACTGCGAAAGTAAGAGCATGAGTTTGGAAAGCTAGGGCCTGAATTTTGAAAGCTGGGGCCTGAATTTTGAAAGTTAGGATATGAACTCTGACAGTGGGGACATGAATTCTGAAAGTTAAGACATGGACGCTGAAAGTTAAGACATGAATTGTGAAAGTTAGGGCGTGAATTCTGAAAGTTAAGACATGAAAGAATTTGGAAAGTTAAGACGTGAACTATGAGCGCTAAGATATAAACTTTGAAAGTACGGGCATGAAATGAATTGTGAAAGTTAAGGGATGAACTCTGAAAGTGAGGGCGCGAATTTTGAAAGTTAAGGCGTGAACTTTGAAATTGAAAGTGAAGACATGAGTGAGCTTTGACACTTAATACATGAACTGTGAAAGTTAAGACGCGCACTCTCAAAGTTAAGGCGTGAATTTTGAAAGCTAGTTAAAGCGTCCGCATACTTTGGCGCCCCGCTCTCCTCTCCCCCCAGCCCTGGGCTCACGCAGTTAAGAGAAGACTTGTGAAACTCAAGGCGTCCGCTTTGGCGCCGCGCTCTTCTCTCACCCAAGCCCGTGGCCCGCGCTGCCCGATGGTGCGAGGCGGCGGCCTCATCCATGCAGCCGCGCCGCTTGCTTGCAGCGCCGCGCCCCACAGGCAACGCCCTACACCTCTGAACCCCCGCGGACCCGCGTGGCCTCTGAATGCCTCAGACCCCAGCGAACAAACCCCCAAAGCGTGGCATGTGCCTGCTTATGCCTTCCACCTGAAGATAAGCCCGCAGGCGCTTCCACCCCTGCCAGGCGTCCACATTCATATCCTCCGGAGGCAAGCGGCACGCTCTAATAAGGCTCGCCGCCCCGCGGCAACGCGCCCGATGACGCCCCGCAAAGGCTGCCGCTTCGTTCTCGGGCTTTTTCTCAATTGTGGCGCCTGTTCAAGCATGTCCGTGCCTGTGTTTTGTCTAGCTAGTGTCTGTGTCTCCGGTTCCCATCGTATCCTTCGCCTGGGGAACCACACCAGCGGGGCTAGCCTTTTTACTTGTAAAACTTTGCCGCCGTTTTGACTTTTTGATTTTGAGTTTTGATTCTAGACTAACTTTGATAATTTTCGACTTTAGGTCGTTTTGAACTTAGATTTTGGGTTTTGATTTTAGATCTTGAGTTTTGATTTTAAGCTTTGGCTTTAGGTTCCGACTTTAGTAGAATAATTTATAATAGGGGCGGCAGATCCGGGATGGGATGGATCGGATGGACTTCCCACCATTTCAGGTAGGATCAGAAGACTTAGGGAGGCCCATCCGATCCATCCAAGTCCATCCTACGCCCGTTTTATAAGTTGCGCTATTTTAGAGTTTGAATTTTGAAAGTTGAGCCGTGAATTTTGAAAGTTAGGACATGAATGGCGAAAAGGGGGCCACACGATCAACCGACAAGCCGCACGCACTGACACCGCTGCACCAACTTGCCGAGGCTCCCCTAAGCTCTCCCCCCTAAGCATGCGGGGCGGCGACCACCCTTAAATAAGGCCACGACCGCCCCGGGAGTCGAGTCCCCTCCAAGATTCATCCCGGAGGCCTTTCGGAGCGAAGTGCAAATACTTGCCCACTTGGCCAAGCTGGCAAGCTACCGATCGCGAACAGGCCACGCCCTGTGCCGTCGATCCGCGGGCCTTCATGGCCTCAGCCCTCTACTTGTCCCACCACCACCAAGAAAAGAAGGCAGCAAAGGTCTGGAGTGAATCTGTCCCCCCGTGAGGATACGGGGGCGCGCGGTCTTGTTGCCCTGGTGTCGGCGTGTCCTCAGGCAGAAACATGAGAGCAAGCCGAGCCCCGTCGCCGGCCGTTCCTCTGAGAGAGGACGCGCGGGCTTCATGCGAAATTTTGAAAGTTTCAGAAGGTGCCGAGTATCCGAATGAGTGCACATCTAGCAGGCGAATCGTGCTCCCATCGAGATCGAACCCTCACCCTGAGGAACCACACCAGCACCAGGAGGCTAGTTCTTTAATTCAGTCCAGGTGCATCGTTCATCGACTTTGCGAGAAATAGTTCAAATCATTTCCGGTCAACATCATGGTGGGTAAGTCCTGCGACATGCCAGTTCTGCTTCCGTGGTTTCTCTTTCTTTTTGCTTACTACACAGGAACTGAGACTCCATGTTTATCCTGCCACATTGGCAGAATAAGAAAACGCAAAACAGCACTTCGACTACTGCTTCGTGTTGTTGAATAAGTATATGGATCTATCAAGTATGAAGGTTTTTTGACGGGTCTTAAGCGAGAAAACCTAGTCAGGCTGCTGCCCATACCTGGCATGCAAAAAATAAGCTCAACAAACACCTGATATATTAGAAAAATCTGTAGTATGATCAGAGAGGCAAATTGTTTGAGACATGGGTGAGATGAGTAAATAACTGCCAGTGGTGAATCATTATCGTGTGCATGTGGCTATTACAAACCACAGACTGCTCATAGGAAGGATGAACATACTAACTTTTATTACTGCAATTTGTTCATGGAGTATCTTATCTGCTGAAATATTTTCTGCGGTTGTCGAGTTGTTTTTAAGAATAAACAGGGATTGTAAAGTTAAGCTATGATCTCGCTGAGGACGGACCGACACCGATTGTGATCATCATCTTCGATCCAGGGCTTTTACAACTGACTTATAAATATTTTGTCTTTCTCATATTGAAAGGTGAAATTCGCAAGCAGACGAAGACGACGAAAATTTTTAGCCGTTAGAAGGTTTCAGTCGTTTTGCAGGTCATTTTCAGCTCGTTGTGCAGATAGTCGTACGTGATATTCGCAGAACAAATCTCAAACTGAGCGTACATCGAGCCACTTTTGCACTTGGTCTTACCTGAAGTGTGAGATAACATAATAATAGCTCGCCCTGTCGAGTAGTTTGTTTCCAAAAGAAGGAGTGACGGTCATCTTCGGTCCACGACGCAAGAGCATATTAAGGAAGTTTTCCACTGCCACATATGATCATAATCAAGAATGCAATGGAAAAAGCAGATTAAAATTATAATATATCTAAGTACAACAAATAACTACATCAGAAACGAGTGGTACCGAAAAGATCCTGAACTTGTCCTGGTCCCAGGCTTAGTGTTGCCTCACTTCCATCGCGCTTTTTCTTCAGGGTGTGCCCGGAAAATACCACCTCGAACGTCGACGTGGAAATATTAAAGTGCAAAGTCTTGCCGGGGACCGAATACGTCCTGTAGCAGTTCACCCTGCAAAAGTAGCATAAAAAAAGGAAGTACGTAAAAAATTCTTTAACCAAAATACAAACAGGCTTATCATCTTCTTACAAGAAAAATATAGATGAAGTTATTTCTCGCTGTTACTAGTGGATACAACATAAAAGTACAGTGGTACATCTCTTTCTTCCCCTTCATGCCACTTTTGATGGTGTCGCTGATCCTTTTGATGATGGCTTTCAGATTTTGCTCCTTTTGTTTCGCCTGCTCGTTCACGATCTTTCCATCCTTTTTCGCTTGCGCAGCAGCCGCTTTCTCCTGTTTCTTTTGTTCGGCCTTGGCTGCCCGAGCTTTCGCTACCTCCGGATTCATCTTACGTTTCTTCATAGCTGGAGCAGCCACCTTGTCTTGTTCCTGCTCGTCTTCAATTTATCTTCGACGACTTGACGAGCGTTGTCCTCGACATGCTGGGAGTGATCCTTTGATCAATTGCCACGTCTTCGTCCTGGAGATTCTCCTCTTCATCTGAAGATCCGCTAGCGACTTCGTCCTCTTGTTCTTCTTCTTTCGTATAGTTATTGTCCATCTGAGGACAAGCTTCATCAGCGAAAAAGTGACTCAGAACAGGAGATGCAGTGGATTTCTGAGCCAGAGCAGTAGACGAAGGGCCCCCATCGCCTCCACCAAGGAGGGGGGACGAAGCAAATTTCGAGGGCGAAAAGTCACTAGGCATCGTTGAAGATTCTGCTTGCTTGCTAGAAAGACACTCTGAACCGGAAGATTGCTAGATGGAAAGACTCCCTCTTTGCTAAAAAACGTCCTTCCTAAATCTCGTTCCTAAGTTTAGATATAACACAGACGAGAGGACCATCACAATAAATATGTATCGCGAGGCAAAGTGACCGCGTCGTCGATATTCAAAAAATAACAATGTTCCATCATGATCTCGAATGTTTATGCACCGTGGGCCACGATCATGATGATATATCTTCATCTTCTTGATCCCGAACAGTCTGTCATAGACTGAGTTCAACAAAAGCCCGCTCACAGAGATGGACCGATGGTAGTTGGTCCGAAACCGCACTTCACTTCTTCAGGACAAGAACTACGACAACATACCGATTGAGTTATACGGGCACGACTCAATTTCATGTACTGCTTCATGTCAAGAACGAATCAATTAGGGCAAAATTTTTAATAAAGATCGAACTTCACGGCGAAGGCATGGAATCTTTTGTATTATTGTCCACTTCGCTGGAGGACTGCGGATCATTTTGAACCTCTCTAGCCCTAAATGAGCACGAACGATTATAGTAGAAATTTATACATTTGTTTGTACCCATGACGCAGGCGCAAATTGCCCGCTATGCTAGTAGTGTTCTTACATCGATCTTTTGAAGGTACTAATAATTCCGATCCGTGTCAAATGATAACTTCGTCGAGACTTGTGTTACGTTCTTCTTTCTCCTCTCATCCTTTTCTTCAGCGTCTTCTTCAGTCAGCACCACCTTTTTCAACCATCATCATCTTTCAAGAACAAAACCGATAAGACCACACAGACGACCAAGAGCGTTCTACTTGTAAGAAAAGACACGCGCTGCTTCCGAAGTGCGAGATCATCAACATCCTTATACTGCTAAACTCGCTGCTCCACTAATTCGCCAAGGTATGCAAGTGTAAAGACGATAACTTTCCCACTAGTTTTGATCATGTGCTGCAGGTGATAAGAACAGGATAGATCGATGGATACAATCTCTAACATAGTCATAGTGTGAATTCTATCAAAGCATCTGCTCGTTAGATTTGAAACAAAAAACATCCTAGGCTCGCGATCGGCGGCGTAGTCTAGTATAATATCATCTATTATTTACGTCTAGGTACAACCTCTGAGCATCCCCGTTGGGATCATTATACTCTTTCCAACGACGCTTGATGTGTCCTCTCCAGCTGCTCGCTAACCCCCACTACTGCGTCCTGTCGCCGCCGCTTTCTTGTCCTCTACCTTAGAATCTTGCAGAAGACGAGTCCGTTTCAGTTGTGCATGATAGAGAGATAGATAGATAGATACATAGATACATAGATAGATAGTGTTACTCTAATGCCACGAAGTATTTGTTACCTACGCGGTGTTACTTACTCTTAGAAAATCACTACCTCCAAGAGATGAAAATAATTGGATGTCGCAGGCCTTAACTGATGGCTTGCAAGCAAAAAATGGCTTTCGCCAGTTCCATTTTTCTGGCAAGAAATGCAAGTAGTCCACATTAAGCGTTCCGCGTACTACCAGATCGTCCTGCTGCATGGAGATGTATTTCTCTCGACTGTTGTACTCGCGATCTATGACATCCTCCGCGCTCTTGTTCCGCGCGAAAGCCGACCGCTCAAAACGCCATCGGAACTCCCAGATATCACCTGTATCTGGATCCCATACTTTTACTGGCTCATCACCGACGCAATCCACAAAGTGCTGGTGGGCGTAAGGAAGCCGAGTCATGTTCCAAACCAGCGTGTGGTTCAGAGCAACCTCTAAAGGCCGAAAGAGAACCGCAAATCCGATTGTCTGCACAATGTGGTCGCCCCAACCATGGATTTGCAGCATGCCATGCAAGTTGTTCAAGTACTTCACATAACGGGTCATTAGAACAACTACCAAGAAGTAGAAATATTTCTATCTTCTACCCCTACAAGTAGAAGATCTTTCTACTAGATCTACTTCTACATATTGGAGTAATCCGAGTCAATATGAAAGTCTATCTTTATTACGAAGGCGCATTCATATTTGATAGAGCGTGTCCGGGGCGCCCGTGTATCGACTGTTCGTGATAGCATTGGGCATGACGCAGGCACCAGATAGCGCGTTTCCCTGAGGATATTCGAAGGTGATGACGACAACCTGGTCAAAAAGTGACTGAAAGTCCTTGGACTGCTTTCCCCCGCTATCCAGTTCTTCTGGCGTCTCGTGGGCTGCCAGGGCGTACTCTCCATCTGTCTTGTTTAATATTTCACCTCCACCAGCGCTCCTAGCAGACGAACTCATGGCATTTTTCTGTTTCTTTCCCTCGTCTGCAGCTTTTGCACGTCGTTGTCTCTTTGTTTCCTCGCGTAGTTCCCGCGCTGGAGGACCGTTCAGCTGTTGCATCGGAAGACTCAATTGTCGGTTAGGGTAGTTGAAAAGCTTGTGCTCCATCAAGTGTCTGTGCTGAAGAGACCAGAAGTTCGTGATTTCCCACAATTGTTGCAGTGCTGCCGTACGCGCAGACCGATACAAAATCTTGTATCCCCATGCCATCTCCAGATCAGCAACGAACTCGTTCACATGATCTACAAAAAGTTCTTTGGCACGCGAACGCAACTGTTCTCTACTCTGGTCGTGTTGATCTCCTCCCTCAGGACGCCCGGTAGTACCTTTTCCTCGTACATTTCGTGGAGGTTCTTCCCCTCGGCCTACACCTGCCCTGGACGCTTCCGCTTCCACTTGTTGCAGAAAGTCTTCTAGATGATTCCGTAAAAAGTGTCTCCGACTCCGATCCTGAAGCACATTGTTTTTATGCTCGAAATCTGTGAACGGATCATACCCTTTCGCGTCATTGGGGAAGTAAGCGTCTGTGTCGAGCCACCACGACAGGTGGAAGCGTTGCATCACGTTCGTCAAGTAAAATGAAGGAGGAAAAAATTCCAAAAGTTGGGCAATAAAGTCGTTATATCAAAGCGTACCATCTTCACTCCAAAAATCCCCAGAGAAAAAAACAAAATCTCCTGCTACTAACTATATTTATCCTATCATAAGTAGAGCGGTCCGGACCGAAAGTGTATCATTTCAAGCCAGGGATAGCTGCGATGATGGTCGTCCCTGTCCATGTTCGGCAAAATAGGCATCTCTGGCTTCTCTCGGAGGTGCAACCAAATCCGATTTGATGATCTTGCCACGATATCCAGAAGTGATATCCGATTTCTAGCCGTTTCAGCGGGATCGCCGCTTTTCACGTCTGCTCCGACTGACTTGTGCTGCTGCTGCGCCCGACTGCCACGGGGTTGATAAAATATCATCCCCGCTGGCTGCGGACTCTCGCGCATTGCCTTTGCCTCTTCATAAAACTCATCCGCGTCTCGGAAAGACAAGACCCGAGCCTCAGAATTGTGCTCCATGTAGCCGAAATGCGCAAGTCGCTTCATCTGCTGTAGTACATACTCGTCTTCCGCTGCGGCCGTCTCCTGATCTCCAGTCGTGCCCGAATGTAGTTTTGCCTTTGTTCTTCCACTACTTGTTTCTTCTGACGGTGACGGTGTCCTCATAACTGCTTGTTGTTGTTCTCGCATGAAAAGCTCCTCCTCTTCCCTTCGCTCCATGTACGCTTCGACTTGGGTTTTCGGTGTTCCCGCATTGACAAGGAGTGCGTCGATTTCGCGGTCCTGCTTTTCATTCTCGATCTGGAGACCCGAGTCGCGAATTGTCTGGCTCGAAAACCCTTTCATACTGATTTGGTCACGCGCGGATAACAAGCCAGCTTTTGAAGATGAAGAATCGTCGCCAGTGCTCTGTGCTGCTTTCTTGCGCCTCTCCTCTGCTTTTCGCGCGCGCTCACGCTTCTTCCGCCAGGCCGCGAAGTCCGCATTTGCCGAGTTTGCGTCGTCCAGCAAGACTTGCCCGGCCCCACCACTGTTTAAAAACTCAAGTTCGACGTCGCGGTCGATTCCTACGTGCCAAATAACGACAGGGTAATCGAAATAGCGGTTAAAGTTATCCCACAAATTTTGCAGAGCGTGCTGAAGCTCCCACAAATGGTCGTCCCCGTGGTCGAGGAGGTAGTAAATCACGTGTTTGTTCTGGTTCGTGGGAAATTTGGCGTCAAAGGCCTCGCTGCGACGTTCCTCGTACTGGCACAAGGGGCCGCGGTAGGGACAGAAACATTCACAAACCTTCGCGGCAGACGGATCACGGCGCACACAGCGTCCCCGGTTGCTGTTTTCCAGGAAGGTCTCAACGCCGGGACCGGGATGCTTGTAGTAGAAGCGTTTCGGAAGTAACCGGTGAACAAGAAGAGAATACAGAGCGGGGAAACTTTCCAGCACTTCTCGTTGCCCGAAAACGTCGCCGCCACGTAGTGCCAAACCACTTTGAAGCAACTGCTGAGGGATCTTCGTCTGCCTTAGCAAAAAATCGGTGAAGTAGAAACGCGATCGGCGATAGATGGGCAGTTCTTCGCTGTACAGGAAGTTGTACTCCAGACGCTGAAACCCGAACGGTTTATGAGGGGAACAAAACCAGCTATCCAGCCAATGATCGAACGTCGACATCTGTCGTTCCGGGTGGTCCAACTCCTTCACCACATACGACTTGTGCTTGAACACGGCGTACGTGTGGTCGACTTGCAGCAGCTTGTATCCAAACGGCCGCATCATATCGACTAAGACCTGCAAACTGCAGTGCGATAGGTGCTCACCCCACTCCTCACGCAGCACATTTTCGCTTCCGGCTAATGCCACTTGTTCAAGCGGCGGTGGAATCAATGGGTTGAAGGGTAGGTAGTACAGCTTCGGCAAAAAGTGGTTTGACAAGAACATGCTGTGAAGAATTTCGCAGTTCACTGTCTGCACCAGCGCAGACGCAATGTCCACACTGTGTGCAGGGGCTGTACCTGGCCGTGTTTGTGCCCAAGGCATGATCACGGCACGCTCTCCGGCAATCGGGCGTCCACGCCGTCTTAGGGCTAGGGGTGAGATGTTCAATATGAATCAATTACAATTGCTTTGTTGAAACTTATCAACCCTCGCTGATGAGTACGCAAGTAAAGAAAAATGATGTCGTCTCAAGAGTCCTCTCGTCAAAATAAGCTTGGTCGATTTCCTTCTGCTTCAGCGTCAGCTTCAGTTATAAGTAGATGTTAATTGATTTCGATTTGTTCAATTTCTTAAATATTCCAATCCCTGGCCTTGCGTCGCATTCGCCCAACTGAAGGAGTTGCCGAACATGGCAGCAATGGTCCCCGCATACTCGTTCTTTGTCTCGATACATTTGATCGGATCCCACTGGTTCTCTCCCGGGAAGTGCTGTAGTCGTGTCGTGATCACACTCGCACGGTCGAAGACGCGCGCCTTGGTCAGATGCCGCAAATACGCTATCTCTGCCTGCGTCTGCTGTCCAGGATCTAGGATTTGCTGCAAATTCAAGAGGTCCTTTCGCTGCTCTCGCAGCTGGAACAGACCCATCGACAATTCCTGGGCGGTCGGGCCACTGTCGTCTTCAGTACCCGCAGAGCTTTTTCGCTTCACCTCTTCGAGCATCTTCGTCATTTTCGCCTCCTCATCAGCAATCGCCGCGTACTCCCCAACGCGACGCTGAATGTCCTCAATCTGCGACTGAGAAATCTCCTCCACGTTGTTGAAAAGCGTCGACGTGTAGTCGTCCAGCATGGCCTTGAACCCTGCGAGGTTCCCATTGTAGTTGACAAGAGGGTGTGGCACCTGTTCCAAGACCGGGTCGCCGACCTGGCAGCTCGTAGTGCTGTTCTTCGGCTCCAGCAAACTGCGGACCGCAAGGTAGTGGTAGCTGGCGCCGCGACCCATGTTCTCCGTGGGCTCGAAAAATTCCAACAAGTCTTCCGGAGAATAGTTGTGCATGTTGAACGTAAAAGTACCATCCAAATACGGCGTTTTTCTCGGTAATTTGCGGCTCTCTCGGCTGCTGATACCCACCTCTGGCAGAGGGAATAAAGCGCGTTCCTGCGACCGGGCTTTGCAAATCGGGTCATCCCGCGAAGGCTTATAGTTTTCTGGATCGAAGAAGTGCGCATGGAAAGTCGCGAAGCTGTCAAAAGTCGCAGTCTTGTCAAGTCTGCTACTGTAATTTGGTCCATGCTTGGTCGGACTGCTTCTTCGCTCTTCGCGGCTCGTCACTTTACTGGTGTCGAGTAATAAGTAATCTTTCTCCACACGACTTCCCTGAACGGACGCAGCCACTCGGTCATTTCCAAACGCTTTCTCTGTCGACGCGGTCGTTTGAGTCGACACTCCGTCGACGTCTGTTGGCGCAGCCTCCATGATCTCAGTCGTATCCGCCTCCACTCTTCGTCGAAAAAGAGCATGCTTGGGAGTCGTTTCTCCCATGTATTCATTCGTGAATTCTCCGTCTAAGAACACTTCCCCAGCTCGCTTTTGGGCATTGCGAACAGCCTCAACAAGCGGCGGATGTTCGATGCGCATCATTTTGCCCTGAAACCCATTGCCCGCATTCAGCTCCAACGCTTCATCCACAGCGTGTCTGACATCATGTCGGACGACATTCAATGCTCGCGCGGCTTTGGAGCTGAGAACGGCATTGGGCTGTTCTTTCTCTCCAGCCTGAACTTGTGCTTGAGCTTGTGGATCCGAATTACCAAGTAGGCCACTGTCTCTCTCCACCTGATTTGTCTTTGACTCATTTTCATCCAACAATGCCTGATCTTGCTGCTTTTGGGCGATTAGCTCCGACATTACTAGGTTCCGCCGCTCCATCCGCGGCGCCTCCGCTTGAATCGAGTCGTACCGTGTGTGGTTTAGCAAAAACTGGAAAAAAGGAATCAACCCTATTTGCGAATTGACTGGTACCGCCACAGCGCGTCCTGCATCGCGTGCGATCGTTGAAATACCAGCTAGCAACGCTGTCCCAACTTCACGCAGAATGACCATGTAGTTGTGTCCAGTTTGAAGGTGGGCGTTCGAATAATGGACAAAGAAATTCGACGCCGCTTCACTGTCCCTTTCCAGTGCAAAGGGAAACTCAGCCAAGCGCTTCTCTACACCCGCAAAGTCTCTGTTGACGTCTAGGCGGATTCCGGCATTTTTCACAGGTGAATAGTGTGTGCCCTCACGGCCACCAGCTGGACGACTGCCTGGCTCATGACTTTGCTGCTCGCTTGAGGATCCTTGACCTTGAAGGTTCTTTTGTTCGTCCTCTAAGACAATCCGTTCGACAAGCACTCTAAGCCGCGCGTGCCACTGGTCCCTGTCCGATTTCATTGCGCTTGGGTTGCCTCCCGTCGCGCCCCTTGTCGCCTCGTCGTCTTGCACGACCTGCGCCAGTCGCTCCAGCAAATCCTCGTCCTCCGAGGCCACAACGCCCTCGCTCCCGAGAACCGCCACTCGGGTCAAACGATCCACGCGCTCAGTACGTATTTGCGCTCTTTTACGTTCTGTAAAGCTCTCATCAATGCCCAAACTTTCAATAAGGCCTAGCTCAAACGCGGTTTGAATCAACCGGTCACGCAAAGGCACGTGCTGTGGCAGCCGCTGCTTCAGCACATGCAGTACGAAATCCAAACTATCCACTGTCGCTCCACCGGTCGTGCGGAAGAACTCCCGCTTTTCATAGGCAGACCGCAAGAGCTCTTGCACGTCGCGTAAGTACGCCGCCAACTCCTCTGGCATTTCGAAAAGAGCACGATATTGTAGCTCACAAGCGTCCGCAGTGCCACCAAAGATGGGCTTCCGTACGCGAGCACTCGTCAGCAGATTCTGAAAGGCAAGCGGTGACGTGGACGTCCGCATTTGCTCGCGCTTCCAGACGCGCAGCTCCATGTGCCCTTCATCGTCACCAGAAGCCTTCTCCTTATCGGACGCAACGCCACTTGAGAGAAGTTCTCTCGCAGAAATCGTCGAAGTTCCATCATCCTCGTTGTCCAAGGCCAGAAGTCTAGGGTCGATACCTGCAGAACCAGAAATCTCGGTACTGCCCTCAAGCACGGACGTAATTTTTCGTCGTTCCTCGTGGTCTGTAAACAGAGCGTGTGCCTCATTCGCCTCTAATTCGAGCCCACATTCAACTTCATTTCCAATCAAAAATGTTGTGGTCATCCATGGTCATAGCCATAAGGTCCTACTGGCACTACGGCTTTCGAAAGTTGCGAGACAGCACGCAGGTTCTAGCAAATATTTCTAATTCTAACTACCTCTCTGCGGAGGAGAAAATGCTGTCGAACCAATATCAATTATAAGAGGACGAGCCTTAGCATACAGTCCACGGGAAGTGTGCTCCGGTAAGACTCTCACCAGCACGTGAGAACACGCTTTCCTCTAGATTCGCTTCCGCAAGGTCGGCTAATCGGTGCCCGTAGCTTGGATCCTTGCTGGCATGAAGAGGATTCGACATCCGGAAATCCGAAATAGTGCGAGGCTTGTGCGTGTCATTCACGACTCTCACCGTCTCTTCAACAGTCGGAAAAAACATCTCTACACCGTCGTCACGAACTCCACCCGGTGCGCCGCCATCTACTTCAGATGTAGTTGTAGAACCTGTAGGTCCTTCATCACCACGGTCGCGGACCTGACCGTGAATATCCTTCGCTACTTTCAGGGAACCAATTTTGACGAGTGGCGGCTTGCCTGCTATAGAGAGGAGCGCTTCACAGGTGCGGTCTATTTCGTTGCCCATACGATGCAATACATCACGCGCCAGGTACTCCAACAGGGTCTCGGATGCCCAAGTACTGAAGTAGCGCGTACCGAAACCGAAATCACGGTAGGCATGATAGATTCCGTGCAGTTGTTGCTCGCAGTCTTCGAGATGCGCAGTCATGCAATCGCTATCGGTGGACGCCGCATTCAATTCCGCTGCTGCGACAAAAGTCTTTGCAGATCCTCGTGCTGACCCGCCGAAGAAAGACCCTGGGCCAAACAAGCCTGACGACCACAAGTCGAACATGGAGAAGAATTGCACGAGAACGGGAGCTATGGTTACGCTTAGAGCGCAGGGAAATGAAAATGGCCATCTTCTCTTCGATTTCATGAAGGTCTTGGTGATCTTCATGATCATTATTTGTGGTCTTCCAACAAGGCGCTGGCCTTTTCTCCCAAAGTACGTCAATGGATTTCGTTGACTTCTTGGTGCTCTATGATCACCCTGGTGTCCATCAATATTTGGAGCGGTAGCATCCTTGTTGTGCTGCAGGTATGAATTTGCCCCAGCGCCATCGGCAGCCACGCTCATTGTTGCTCCAAGCAAATAAGAGAAGCCTCAGCGGTCACCCTGCAAATTGAATTTCATACCCTACGACCACCGACGTCATGATTTGCAAGTAAGTCCAAGTTCACTTTTGTCATGTTATAGCGCCGGTTGTATCAATCTCAATCAAGCGTTACACTTGCTATGTACAAACATATCAAGATTTGTCTCTTCCAGGGAATGCAAGGACTAGAACACGATAATATTCTAGTTAGAAGTATCTGTAATAGCAATTCTCTCGACTCTCTGCATTTGCCTTTCCAACGTTTGACATGAAGACCGAGTCGTGATGCTGAAGGGTCAGCATACATTAAGGGGCCACCTCTAAGATGCGAACACCGAGTACACTTTGTTACAGCATTTTCTGCCGGTCGTTGTGGCGTTACGCCAGCACACGGCGCAAGGAGCCCGCATTTCCCTTTCAGTCACCTCCTTCTCTACATCATCAATATCTTGCGCGTGAGCGTGGTGTTGTACGATAATCAAATAATGATGGGTTCAGTCCCTGACTTCAGAGGAGTAAAGAAGAGGAATCATTAACGATTGAGTTTCAATCATGGGGTTCTGGAAGAAAAACTGGGAAATTGTAGGGCCTCATCAAAGAATCGGGATACGACGTCGATCTAAGTTTGTTTTACCTAACATAGTGGTGGAGCCAACCTAACTAGGAAAAGACGGAAAGAAACAAAGGGTGAAGACATCACCGCTTATCATACCTAACATGATAAAAGAACAAGGTCCTCGTTGAGGTTGATGTGATTGTACTAAATGTAAGATGATGAAGCTATACTAGTACACAACACTAAGCTTCTTTGCGACCGCGCACTTAGCAAACATTTTCATTTTCAAGAATTCCACTCAAGCGCAAAGTTATGGAATCGGGAGACCAATTCGTAGCAGGAAGCGCTTGAAGATTGACAACTTCCATCAGCAGTGGTGTCACGTGCATTCATTGGAGCTCCCGGTGGAGGTATGTTATCTTTGGTGACCTTTCTACCACAGCTAAACACGTCAGGCGTAGTGCTGAAAACCCCATAGTAGGTTAGGTTTCTCGCAGTCGGTCTCGCATCACGACCGTTAAGAATATCAGTGGTGGTAGAGAGGTCCGGGTAGAGGTGACAGAAACGAATCTCTTTCCACTCACGAAGATCGTAGTCGAAAGCTTTTACCAGGAACTCGGTCCCGCGTTTTTCCACTCGAAGTGTAATCGCATGCGACAGCGGTGCTTCCTCTGCAGCGGCCTTGATGCTTTCTGCTGCACCTTCAAATGAAGAAACTGGTAAGCCTTTTGCTGCGACATCTGTGTTCGTGATTGTTCCAGAAGTTCCTGGTGTAGTTGCTCCTGACTCTGATTCTTTGCTACCAGTCTGGTGCTCACCCGCAGCAGGTGCCTCCTGCTGATTCATGGACATTGTACTTGCTGCCTTGTTGTTGCTTTCTTTCGACATTGTGACGGTTTTTTTGCTGCTAGTTTTAGCGCGAGGGCGAAACTTCAGCGGATCGTAATCGTGCCTTGAATAGTCGCATGCGCCACCGTTGCAGGCTACAACAGAGATGTGGGCCGGCTGGTCCCTCTTTCCAATAACGAGACCAACGGAAATCCAAGCTGTAGGTGAAATGTAGATCAAGAAGCCCGCCTGATCGTTTTCACGGAAGCGGTTGCACTTGGTGCACTCAGGATTATCGCACATATACCCACCTTCACCCGCCTGACGAGTTACATCGTCAGATTGGTTTGCCCCAGCTTCTGTTTCTGTCTGCTTTTGCTTCTGCGTGGATGATGAACCTGGAACATTCTGCCCACCTGCTACGTTTCCATTACCTCCTTCCGCAAAGGACAGAGTTGCGCTGTTCGACGTACTCGTAGGTGTATCCGCTGGGCCACTAATCGCTGGTGAGGCCATAGCAGCAGACGCCCTCGCCTCAGAAGTATCTTCAGTCAAAGCGTCTGCTGCAACCACAGCGTCGCCTTGAGGATTGTTTCCGTCCATCATGAAAACCGCAGCTGCCGGCGGAGGACTACCTGTTGCGACCGCCGGAAGAACGTTTAAACCACTCTTGCCCTTGCTCGAAAGCGATAGGATGGACTGCCGTCGAGGAGCTGCATTTGACACGGACATGCTCCGGAGCTCGGCCAAGAGCACCCCGCCGTCAGATGTGCTTTCCGTGCGAGGGCCTAGATCGGTGAAACCTCCGACCGTATTGCCTCCGCGAGGGTGGTTTCCAACACCGCCTGAAGATTTAGATCGAGCCATGACCGGTGTGCGAGCCACGCTTGTACGCGTGGTACCTTTCCCGCCCTGCGTGCTCTGAGAATCGCCCCGCGGCAGTGCGCTTCCGCTGAAGGTCGATCCCATCAGAGGAACGGCCCCAACTCCTCCACTGTCTAAAGACATCATGGACGCTACCGGGTCAACAATTCCCTTGTCGTGATGTTGGCTGACGCTCGACAGAGCAGGCTGAAAGTCTACAAGCGGACCTGCTTCTTGAATGAAACCACTAACACTAAGATGGCCGGGATACAAAGTAGCGTCAGTTGAAGTCGTGCCAGTTGCAACGTCGACGTTGTAACCCCCAACGAATGCTTGGCCCGCGAGGTCGAGCAACGGAGATGATTGGTGCATTCCGGCTGGGGATTCGAGGTTGAACGCCCCACTAGTGTAGGCCAACCTTCCCTTGGCCTTGTCCGGCGTGTCGATTTCCAATGCGCCTCCGGTGAGGCTGTCGCCGCGGCGCAACAGCTGAAAGGGAAGTTGCGGACTATGGCGATGAAACGCGCCTGTGGCGCCGTCCAGGAGGTTTGTGGGTCTCTTCCGCAGTGCATCTTGCATTTTCTTTGCGCGAGTGCTTTTCTTCACTGACGTGACTTCAATTGTAGCCTCAATCGTGAGAATTTTCACGCGGTACGCCGCTCTCGGCTCGCGCTCAGCCTGCGGCTCTTCAGAGCCCGCAATATCAAGGCCCTGGTTCAAACCATAGAGGTATTCCAAGTCTTCGAGCGGACAAGCGTCCTGCAGAGCCAGCAAATAGGCCTCACCGTCTGTTTTGTGACTCGTGAAAGCGTGGACCGCGTCGTAGCCGTTCCCGCCATCGCGCCAGAACAGGCAGCGCCAGTAGTCCCGACCTGCGCTCGGGGCCATCCAAAAAACACTCCCTTCTTCAGTCATTCCCCATCGCTGGGGCGCCTGATCGTTCAACCAACGGAAACGGCCATCAAGTAGTGTGGCACGGTTGAAGTTACTCCTGGCTCCAGGCGGTTTGCGCAGCTCGAGGCTGCTGCCGTCTCCACTCGAGGGCGGACCAAAGTCGTACCGTTGCCCGCGAAACTGGCCCCCTAGAACCGACCCAGGCCTTCCGCCAGCGAGCATTTTTCCTGGCATGTTTACACTTGAGAAGTACGGCGCCGCTCCACTAATAGCGCCTGGTCTCGGTCCCCCTGTCGAAGTGCTAAAATTGCCAATGTTGTTCATGCCCGAAGCACTGGGAGTCGTAAATCCTCCGGAAGTCGAAGTCGTCCCAAAGCTCATGCCATTTGATGCCGCGTTGCCTCCTCCCGCCGTGCCTCCAGCACGCGCGCTTGGCCGACGGAGATGACTTGGCGTTCCTTGTAAAGAGCCGGCCCCTCCCGTCCTGGTCGGAGGCATGAACGCGTGTTTCGGTGTTCCGTTTGTGGACAGTACAGAGCTTCGATTTGCAGGATTGCCACCCGCGCTACCAGATGGCGTGCGTGATCCGTAGGATAGCAATGCTCCTCCCGGAGCACCCGTTTGTTCTGCAAGTCCATTAACCACGACATTTGAAAGTGGACTCTTCGCGCTGGTAGAAGTCGTGTGTTTCAGAGTATGAAAGGCTAACGGACCTTTCGTAGATGAGTCCGCTCCATACGCCGGTGGCTGTTTCTGCAAATCCTGCATGTGCTGCCGCGTTTGCTCCGCGCGAATTGTGCGCGTCTGGTTGGCGAGGGACTTGATCATGGTTTCTAAAGCCCGAAGGCGGTTGCTATATTCGCGTTCCGATAAGGACGATGGTGGCATTTGAAGCAGCTCGCTCAGCACTTTAACACGCGCCGTCGTCCCTTGATCTGGGACCGGCGCCGATCGCAAGGCTTCCTGAGACTGAACTGAAGCGGCACGACCAACTCCACGCGCACCTCCACCCTGACTTCGCGACGTCTCGGTTGGGCTAGTGGTTGAAGTGGAAAACTGCGGTCCGAGCACTCTCTCCGCTCCAACCTGCGTCCCACCAACGGAATACTTTTTTTTCATCACCTCCTCGGTGGTTACAGCAGTAGTCGCTGAGGTACTAGGTGTAGCACGTCCACTCTGAAGTCCTGCTAAACTAGTCGTGGTGGACACGCCAGCCTGCTGCATTGAAATGTTTCCTGTTTGCTGACTTTTCATACCCAGTGAGGCTGCACCTTGTGGCGTAGAAGCCTCTTGGTAGGTAGTCGAAAGAGAGGCCTGGCGTTGTCGGCGAAAACGCTCAAGCATCAACTTCTGCTGCTCCATGATCTCTGCTTGGTTGTGAAGCATCTTTCGCTGGTTCACTAAGACTTCATTCCGCGCGCCACCTGCACCAGCGCGATCTCCGCTAGAGCCGCTGGTTTGTGTCCTCTCGCCGCCCAAGCTATCTACAGCTGGTAAGCTCGAAGAGGAGTGTGCTGACTCTTCGCGTATGTCGCTCAACCGCCTCTTGATCGGAACATCCACTCCCCCAGGCCCAGCGGAGGCAATGTATGGATCACTGGCCACTCCCTCTTGACGCTGTGCAGCACCAGGTACCCCGATACCAGCCGAAGACGTCGAGGAAGCAACGACGTTGATAGCACCAGCAGGACCAGCCGCCTGGGTATGCTGATAACCGGCCGTGGGCACTTGTTGACATTGCGGTCCTCCGGCAGCGCTAGGAACCGGTGGCGAAGCCGTTAATGTTGCCACCCCGCTCCCGGCAGAGGCACCAGAAGAATGGGCACCATGAGAATTCTGTGGATAGTTCGGAGAAGAAGTGCCTGCCACGGCTAGGTTCGCACTTCCGCTCATCGTCGAAACTCCAGTTGCTGTGGTTTGCGTCGTGTGCGCGCCCGACCTCGAGGGGCTAGAATTGAAACTATCGTTCGTCGGCATACGCTGCTGTGCTTGTGGACCATGCCCATAGATCGGTGGGCCCTGTGGCTGCTGATGCGGCTGCTGCTGACGTTGAGCCGGAACCCCGTACGTCTGGTGTCCTAGATCCTGCGTCGCAGGGTGCTGTAGATGTGGTGGCTGTGTCATCAGGTTCTGATTCGCGCCATGCGGTTGCATCATCGTCCCTGGCTGGTGCTGGTTCGGGTAAATAGCCCCTTGTTGACCTACTTGGGCCATCCCTCCCCTGTGGTTTGGAACACCCTGGTCCCACATCGGCGGCGCTGAGGGTTGATACATATTCCGTTGTGCCTCGTAGTCCTGGCTTTCTTGTACTTCCTGACCGCGCATGTATCGCAATACCGGCTGGTAGTCTTCGAAAGCTGCAACTTCCTCTTCCAACGGCGCGGTTGCGGGCGGACGAACAAACCACGACTCACCGCCACCAGCTGTTGGGTTGAAGTTACCGTTCCTACCACCCCCTAGCCCGCCTGGCCCTGGGTTCGATATTGGATGAGTCTTCAGCGCCTGTGACGCGATCGCCGGGACGACATCAAACTCCCCATCCTCTTGTTGCTGATGTTGCGGATTCATCAGGTACTGATTGTAGTTCTGAAGGAATGGGTCATTCTGTGGCGGGCTCGTTCCAGCTTGATGGTGTGCGAACTGTTGCTGCCCGCCTGCTACATTCTGCATCCCACGCGCAAAATGTTGCATTTGTCCTACCGACGCTTGGCCAGCGAGTCCAGGTCCAGGAGCACTGCTGGGCCCGCTGACGTTCTGAGGCTCATTGACATTTTGCCCCATCACGTTGCTCCGCATTGGAGATCCAAGTCCAACAAATGACGGGGTTGTCGCGCCGGTTGTGCTCTCAGAGTAGCCCTGCCGAATCTCTCCACTCGGTTGCGGTGGTACCAGTCTTCCACCACGAATATTTGTTGCAGGAGCAGACGAAGGGCCTCCGATAAACTGTGCGTTTCTGTAAGAGAACGCGGGCCCACTCGGCTGGGCAGCACCATCGTCCCCCATCGCATTGACCCTGAAATTTCTATTACCAAACGCGAAGCCTTCTTGCCCACGCGTATCTGCTCCGGTCCGTGCTACGGTTGGCTGTTGCATTGCAGCCGCTGCGTACTGATCATGCAAGGGCGTTAATTCGCGCATCTGCGCTGAGGTCATGAAGTCTGGCCGAATGTGGGTTTGTCTCGCTTCGTTGTTTCTGTAGTAAGAAGACGATGCGTCCTCATCGGAGTCTTCCGAGTTGTAGGTGAGAACACCTTTGGAAGCGACCGGAGAAGCAGCGTGCCGATACGCGTAGCGATTACCTCCAGAAGTATCGGTGACGCGCACGTGAATGGGCAACCCTTGAGCACCTGCGGAAGCCAAGCCTACACTACCGCTTAGACGATCGCTCGCGGGGCGCGGATAACCGCTGCCCGCCGACGAAGGCGGAGAAGAGGCCTCGATCTGATACTGGTGTTGCTCGTGCATTTGGACTGAAGCTTCGTCAGCCCGCACAGGCTCCCGAGAACTGAAAGTCGCAGACCCAGAGGCGCCGCGCATGCCCACACCACCGGAGGCAGGAGAGGGCGTTGAGGGCGTCCCGATCGTGTTTGGTGTGGATGTCCCAGGTGGCCCGCTTTGGCTGGCGATGGTATTGTAGTTTGGCTCGATCGTGGCTACGTGTTCGAGCGGTGCAGTCGAGGAGGAGCCAGGACGAAGCTTCCGCCGCGACATCGACATTGTGTGTGATGAACCTACTCCACCGAGTTGCGTTCTCGTCGGACTGAGTGTGCTGTTCCTCGTCAAATTTCCTGCACTTGAGATTGCCATGCTTCGGCCCTGCCGCTCACCCGATGCACCAAACGAAGGGCCTGCGGACGACTTGCCGGTGTTGTAGGAGGACGTGGTCGTCGTAGTCATCGTAACCTGTGACGAGACGTGTGCCGGTATTGACACGCTATCTACCTGTTCTGCGGAGGGCGGCGGCGCTTGTGCAAGAGGATCCACAGAAGCACCACCTGCTCCGTTATATTCCTCGTCATCAACGTCTAATTCGAAGCGAATCTTGTTTGGGCTGGTTCCACTCGACGTTCCCGAACCTTTCATAGACGAACTCCCGGGACGACGAGATGCCGCTCCCTGCGCTGCAGACTGAACGAGACGCTGGTTCTCAGCGCTGCTCTCAACGTCGCCTACTCCGGCACTGATACGTATTTGCGAGCTCCCTGGACCTCGAAAGCTAATCGCACTTATGCCGGAATTTAGATCATGACTACTCGGAATTTGGGCCGACATTTGATTCGCAGCTACAGGATTCGCATCCTCCGTGGTTAGGTTATAGTGTTGCGCGCTTGTGAATGGTGAGGACAGGTGTGAGCTCGTTCCCGTGTTGGCTCCTGGGGCTGCAAAGCTTTTGAAGATTCCAGAGGTAGATGGTGTATTTACCGGCGCGCCCCGCGGCAAGGCTCCGGGTGACGACGAGCTAGAAGCTACTGCTGCTCCCCGTGCAGATGATCCAACATGGTGACCTCTCTTGGGATAGTACTGCCGAACATTGATTTTGGAAAAAACAAGGTCCGCTGCGCCTCTGCTTCGGCCTCGCCCTGCTTCCATTGCGCGCAGTGGCTGACGACCGCGTCGTGACTGCATGAGCATGCCTTTTACCGCATCTACCAATTGTTGCGTGTGTCCGAGTGTGGTGGCAAGTGAGTGGGATCGGTTTGGCAGGTCCGCCGACAAGTTTCTTGGAGAGGTCGAGGAGGCCTCAGTAGGAGCTACGTTTGCCGTCAGAAGGCTGCTCTCCGTCGTCGGGCCGCTTTCGTCATCAACGCCTGTGCGGTGTTCCCCGTCTTCTGTAAACGGTGCCCTCATGTCCATTGTCATCAGCTCGTCAGTTCTGTGATTCTTACCTGACGAAGGGGACACCGATAGAGTCCGAGAAGATTGGCTTAGTCTTCTTTGCACAATCGCAGTCGTGCCTCCAGAAACGTCCTTTAATGCTGGTGCAGAAAGCTTTTCGTTATCTTTTACTTCCAGATCCCGCGGGCGCTCATTTGTCCTTATCCGCATGTCAGAAACCTCACGCTCCGTCAGGTAAAATTCTACCGAAGACGACTCCAGAAGCTGAGACCCACTGTCCTGACTCTTTTGCTCCAACTTCTGGAAAGCTGTTGTGATTACTTCTGACTTGTCGGCGTCTCCGCTCGTGAGACTGCCAGGCGCCATCGCTCCTCCGGACGCGGCGAGACTGCCAGGCGCCATCGCTCCTCCGGACGCGGCGGCCTGCGGGTAGGTCGAGACTACAGGATCGCGAGACGCAGATGAAGCCTCCGCTTGATGCGAAGAGCTAGATGATATTGGTTTCGGAACCAGTGAGTCTCCTTTAACCAGCTGACTCGCAGCACCATCTCGTTGCAGCTCGTGCTCATTGCGAATCGCTTGCAAGATTGAGGACGCTTCATCCTCACTTGTCAAAGCTTCAAAATTGAAACTTGCTGGATCCGAGTCGGCCTCTCTCAAGATATCTGCGAAAAAAGCGTCACTATCCTGCTTTTCACGAACGTTGGGGACATGCTCCTCCTGTTTTTGCCATTGGATTGCTGGTGATCCTGTTCCGACCCTTAATTCTAGTCCGTCCTCATCCAGTGTCGGCGGCCGGGTCTCACGGTCTAGTTTCACTTGCGCGTGTGCTTGGCCGTGCTGTTCTCTGGTCATCTTACCATCCTTCACAACATCGCTCGCGGATACCGATACACGCTCAGCTTTTTTCCTGGTTTCGAAAGCTGCATTTATCTTTTGAGCGATGGCATCTCCTCCTTGAGCTTCGTTAGAAGCTTTCCGACGCTCATCCTTTCCTGCACCTGCATCACGCTCTGGCTTGTTCCTCACTGTTTCCTTGACACTGCTCGCCCGGGGACTGGCGTATCCGTTCACAGGTCGAGGCCTGTCGGAAGGAACAACAGGTTCCTTTTCAGTGTCTTCACCTTCCCCGCTGCCACCGTTAGGCAGGTCACCCATCGTTGGCCCTGCATTGACGCGTAACGGAGTGAAGGGGGGGCGTTCCTCTACTCTCTCTCCACCAGAACGCTTAGCATTAGTGGCATTTCGGTTTCGCGACGCACGACTCTGCTCTTTCTTATTGGGTGCAGCTGCTGCACTTCTTCTTGTTGTTCGACCACCAGTTCCTTGCGTGCTATTCGAGGTTGGCGTGTCAGCTGCTCGAGCTTTTTCTTGCGAATACTCAGATTGATCTTTAGAAGACAAAATTCTTATCGCTGTCCCGTACCGTGTCGAAGGTCCTCCCGTTGAGACCGCCTGTTGCGACTGTGCAGATGATCCAACGGTGGCTGTGATGTTACCCAAGGTGCCAGTCTCACGCGAGTTGGACCCGAGGGTATTTTGTGTGACCGTTGTCGTCGTCACTCGACTAGTGCTCGCACTGGTCGTACTTTTGGAAGCGTCGAGGATCGCACCTGCACGCGAAAATCTAGTCGAGGGCGCCAGAAGATTCAAGGGTATTAGGTCAGATTCATTAACGACGGGAGGCGTATCCAGTTGGAGGGCTGCATTAACGCGTCGGTCGGCCTCCTCCCGGGTTAGCTCCTGTTCTTCGTCCTGTGTTCTCTCTTCAGAGGAAATCTGTTTACCCTGTCGTTCTGCTTCCACCGTGATTCGACGTTTTTTGGCTTCCTCCACGACGTCATCAGGCCGGAAAGCGCGACTTTGTACCCTCTTGGTAGGGTCACTTTGCTCGCTTGCTCCTGAGCGCCTACTGGAAGGTCCGCCTCGCGTCTTCCTTCTCCCATCTTGCTCAGCTTGTTCGCGGTCAACTCTGGGTGATGAACGCGAAGTTCCCTCACGACCAGGAGGATCTACATTTGAGGAACTTGATGATGAGCCAGCCTTTTTGGGGAGTTTGAAAACACTATCATCCACTGGCCCGCCTGCTGCCGTAGAAGTTCTATATCTTCTCGGGTCTGCGCCTCCTCGCCCATGATTGCTCGTGTCGGATGTGCCTCCGCCTCTCGTATCGTCCCGACGTGGTGTCAGTGTCCACGCGCTGACGCTCGGCTCGCTCACGAGCTGCTCACCAAATGCCAGCGCCACCGGATCTACCAATACTTCAGGCGGAAGTAGCGGAGCTCGCGGTGCACTACTACTTGATGCCGCAGCCGAATTTCTGCTCGCGCTCCCGTGAGCATCACCGGTCTTTCGTGATCTCACTTCACTCACTGATGTATCTTCAGTTTTTGCATCTGCACCAGAATCGGCACTAGAAGCAGGTGAAGCGACCTCACCCTCTCTCCGCGAAGAAGGTAAATTTCCCTCGACCGTGCCTTGTTTAATACGAGCTTCTTTCTTCGTCGACGTGTACTCGATCATTCCGCTGCTTGACGTTGTTCCCGGGTTACGCTCGGAAGGAGTCGAAACGATGTCCCCATCTTCTTCGTGTTGCGACGCCTCATCTTGAGCTTGCCGCCCCTCGTCGTCCCTATCGCTACCTGTGGCCATTTTTCCTACATCAAGATGCGGAGGACTGATGAAGCAAGAAGAAAAAGAAAAACTACTCTACGACATAAGTGCTCCTGCTTCTTCTACTCCTCGACTAGGAATAGCACGACGTCATAATTAAACAAGCGAAAACCAAAGTATTATTTATTACAAGCACAGATAAGCAAGAAGCAACCTCGAAAAAATAAAGACCAGTCAAACTCCGAGTAGCAACACTGTATAAACTAGGACAAGCTAGTTATCTTTTTGAAAATGATACCCAGATGACAAGAATCAGCGAGGTTCGTTGAAGCCCGATAATTAAAGATAAGTGCCCACTTGTAGTAGAACTTTAGTCTTGAGGAATGGCGATGGATGTTGCGGAATAAGATATCAACGGACAGTAAAACGTCTGCTATTCTGTCTTCTAGCAGACGTGAAAAACCGAGAGAGCCGAGTTAGACCCACTCTCAGACGCTGACTGTACTACAGAGTCAATGAATCACTCGCGTTACTCAGACGATATTCGCCAAAAGAAAACTAGGCTAAATCTAGGTAAAGCGATAACCATGAAAAATCCGGCTCCTACTATAATCTAATCAAGATGATCTTGTTAATAGTTCACGAAAGATTCATTTTTGTATTGCGTCACAGTCTTTGATAAAAAACTCAGACTTACTAAACCACATCGTGAGGTGGAGCAAAGCTACTACATACAACAAGATTTGAAGAATGAGCGTAATAAAGATAACGAATTTCGAAAACTAACAGCAGCTTTAAGAAGCCGTTTGCGTTGATTTTTGACCGTCTCCTCAGCCAAGGCGCTCGCTCTGGCTCTTCCTGGTCCTGCAGCAAGTTTGTTAAAGAAAAGAAGAAATTTGTGTGGTTGTGGATCAATAGGATAATAGACCAATGCGCTGCAAGAACCAAAAGCAAATGCAAAACCAAAGCATTATTCATTTGAAGATAATATATTACTGTTGTTCTCCAAATAGAAGAAAGGCGCAGCTTCATCTTTATCTTTGCTAATGTATCTGAATGGATTAGGCGCACACTGAACCTCGTTGCAAGATTTCCTTTCAATTTTCTTGATGATCGCTTAGAGCTAGAGGGTCAGGATCTTCACTCTCGCGGAATCGATTACTTATGAATGTGATCTCTTACCAGATGTTCTTGTCGTTTTCTCTGTCAGACCGGATATTGAGAAGTAAGTATGTAGTGAGGATCTTGTTAGTGCACGCGCACGCAGGATCTTTTCGCATGATTCGTGTCTTTTCTCTCAACACAGACAAATTTTCAACCACTCGCAACAGTCAACAGAGATCGTGTGCTGAATCTAATCATATTTGATTTCTTTCCTCGAATCCACGTCGTCGAACTCAGATGATTCAGAGTTTTCTCAAAACGAACTTTACATCAACTTCTACATTGCCTATCACTATTGTGTTCATCACGGGGATCGACGCATTAAAAAGACTGAGTGGTCCTTCAGGAGAGCCCCCCGCTGCAGTGTATTTCCCGGAAGGATTCCGCGCCCAAGGATCATCATGCTGGGCTCGAAAATCATAAGCAAGCTACGTCCTAGTCCCAGAGTCGAGCCAGAACAAAAACACAGAAAACAAAAAGACTGAAATCGCAGATCGGAAAGACAACCTAGTTAAACACAAGCTCAGAGACTGACAATGATGATTGAATTGAAACATTCATATCTATCAGTCTGTCAGACTGAGAAACAAAAAACAGAAAGCGGATCGAGAAAAGAAAGAAAGAAAGTTTGTAACCGTTACCGCAAGGGCAAGCGCTAGCACAAGGGTATCAAATATAATCTTATCGAAAGAGACAGAGTCCTATCACTTTTTGTGTTTATATGAGAGACCGAGGAGGACAGACCTCAAACAAAAAATTTCAATTTAAATGAAAAAAAGTTCTAGTTGAAGTGCTCCTTATCCACCCAGAGTTTCGACCACACTTGTCCATGTCTTCTCGACGAAAAGCACCACTTTGCTCCTCGTCCTGCGGCGGATTTATTACTTGTACATAAGGACGTGGCCATCGTTTACGTTTTCTAATGTGGGACGCCGTTCACCACCTGATACTGGCCGTGGCTTACGCTTTCCGCCGGTAGGTTTCCCTGGCGCTTGTCCCATATTAATGACCTCCTTAGCAACCGCCACGCCAGCTGGTCCAGAACCACCAAGGGGTGGCAACCCATTTCCGAGCGCCTGCTGCGTGCCACCATTGCGCGTCCTGTTGTCGCTCGGGCGTCTCCCTTGCGGTCCTGCTCCTGGCTGCGATGGACCTACGCCAGTATACGCGGAAACAGGATTCAAAACACCAACGTTTGGCCCAGACACTCCAAACACCTTGTTGTAATTCTGCTCTCGGTTCACCAGCTCCAACATGCCTTAGAGGTAGTGTCGATGACTCCTAGCAAAAACAACACGAGGATCATAGCATTTCTTTTCTGATAGATAATAGAAGAGCAAATTTTCTGTCTTAATTGTAAAACTGCATCTCGTCGCGCAACTGGTTGAATGCCGTCTCGCGTTCTCGACATTCCCGTTCGAGGTAACGTATTTGCTCTATGTCTTCGGGCCGGCTCGGCCTCGACTCATAGAGCTCCTCTAGTTCTGCTATACGTGACTGCAATGTTCGAATATCCTCCTCTATGCGTGCCCGCACACCATTAAGTTTGGAAACCTCCTCGGAGTGACGATTCTCTAGTGCCTGTCGCTCAGCCGCAAACCCACTGCGCATCTGCTCCTCTCTCCTCTCGAAGTCTTCCTGCATTTTGCGCACGTGCTCCTCGCTCCCCGCCACAAACTCGCGCATTTTGCGTTCCTGCTCCGCTAAGTCGCCTCGCAGGCGCTCTACATCGCCTTGAAGCGCCTCGACTCGCGCGCAGCTCTGCCGTAGCTCCCGCTCGAGTGCACTATTCTGTCCCTCTAGTGTGCGTTTGTCGGTCTCAAGCGCATCAAATCGCGCACTCGCCGTAGCAAGCTCCACCTCAAAGCGCCTTCGCATTTCCTGCATCTCCATCCGCAAACTGCCATCTAATTGAGCAAGCTCCCCATCGTGCCTGGCCTTCATCTGAGCCAAAGCGTTCTCTCGCTGAGCCTCCGCACCCTTCATCTTCTCCGACAATTCGACCTAGAGGAACCCATTCAAATTATTATTATCATAATAATGACCAAGATTAAGAATAAAGGGAGTCTAGTCAGTGCTTTTACTGTACCTATTCTATGATGATGTGACTGTCATCTCAAAAACCCGAAACAGGACATAGCTTCTTAAAGTTGTACATTGTGTCTCTGCTTTATTCTGTCGAGCTCGGCGGTATGCTTCTCGTAAATATCCCCTATCTTCTGCTGGTGCTGCTGAGTCAGCTCCTGAACCTGGTGAATGTATGTGTTGATCCCTGATGACACTGTTAGTAGTGCCCGTAGAGATTAGTTCTGATAGGGTCCAGACAGAAGTCCAGACAATAACAGCACAGGTCGAACCATGACGGTTAGTAGAGACTCAGACACTACTACCACTCTTCTTAGCCAAACGTGATGTCTGACATTGAAAAGCAGGTAATGACTGTACGGCAGCGCCACGGGAAGCCACCCGATTTCATTCCTTGATGAAGAGGATGGGCGTCAGGCGTAAAGGGAATCGTCGTCAGACGGTATCCCAGTAGAACCCATTGTTAATCAGCACCCGTAACTCCCTCATAGAAGGAAAAACAGTACCAATTACCACGAGGACTACAACATCATCTGTCTATATGGTAATATAGAACGATCCCGGACGTGCAAGAGTGGTACCTTGGCGAAACACCGCAGCCACTCATACACCCCATCGAGATCAAAAATTGTTTTACGACCCCGCAGGGAGGCTCCGAAGAGCTTTGTGTGCCTAGGGGTCGGGCACACTAACCATGTACAACTACACAGAAAGGCGCAGACAAACTTTGTGTTCCTGACGGTCAAGTATCACTATGACATCCACGGTGTCAAAAAAATACAACAAGCAGAAGGACGATCCGCGGTATCATGTTGTACGTAGCACTTTCATCAGCAAGTTTTTCCCATTCCGACCCTATCAACCCAAAAAAAAACTTGCTTACAAAACGACGGTGCCTAAAAAGCCATCACGACTATCTCTATAATCACCGTAATTTTAATAACCACTTCGGTATTTCGTCGAACATGTTTCTACCAATCTATCAGACAGCTGCACAGCAGGTGGAACAATAGTAAGCGAAAAAAGCTGTTGTACACGCAGCCCTTCGCCCACGACCTATGCCACACGGCCAAAACAAGGCACAGCTGATTAGTAAAGTAGATGATGGACTTGTAAATTATTACAAAGGTACCATTTTGACAGCGTCGTCTTTTGCATCGTTCAGCTGCTTGTTCATTTGGGCAGTGACGAGTTCGATTTTCTCCCTTGCTTCAGAGGAAACCGCTCCAATACCCCGCTCTTTATCTTCTAGCTGCTGTTCTAGCTTCTGTACCATCTCCTCTCTCAACTTTACTGTGCGCTCAAGCTCGGCTTTCTCACCCCTTAGAATTGTCAAATCGCGTTGCAGGTTTATGTTGTCTTCTTTCGCAGATCTGCATTCCTGGTGCTCGACGTTCAAATCGTCCTTCATGCGCTGTATGGCGCTACTGTGCTTTTCTTCTAGCTGCGCAATCCGCTGCTCCAGAGTCTGTATGCGCTCGCGGCCGGTCTGAAGATGATAATGATGGTGGGAGTCGTGGCATTCATATCCTGTTACTGACGGTGACTGGAGGTTACACTTCTCGTTCTCGCATAATGATGAGAGGACTAGATGTAGGTCGTGTAGGATGCTAACCCCTGCGTTCTCGCATAATTTCAAGATCAATATGAATAAGATACGAAAGGAATGACTCCCTGTAGGTTCTCAAATAAGTCATCCCTTCTTTTTTACCTTTCCCTCCTCCATGAGTTTCGCAGCTTCGCTTTCTGTTACCTGCAACGCTTCTTTCGTGGCATTTAGCTGCTTGGCTGTGTCACCGCCCAAGTCCTCTAGGTTTCTCCTCACCGACTGCTCCTCCTCTAGTCGAGATTGCAGTAGCGTCAGCGCTGCCTCATGTTCTGCGCGCACTTTTTCTAGACCTTCTGCCCCCTCGTTCTTTACCTTGTCCCGCTCGGCCACAATGGTCCTCTGCAATTCCTCAACACGCTCGACATGTGAGCGGTTCAGAGCATCGGTGGTAGCGTTGTGCTCATGCTCAAGCTCCTTCAAGCGTTCTGCGTGCTCCTTTTTCAAGGCCTCTAGATCCCGTGCAGCGCTAGCAGCGTCTGAGGCACGATTTTCCTCAAATCTCGCTTCGGCTGCAGCAAAGTCGGCCTGTAGTTATTATGAAAACGTAAAATGGGACATCAGCAGGCAACTGCATGTGCTCAAAAGACAGAAAAGTCTAGAGTTGTCGTCGTGAAAATAGGATTTAGGAGTGAGCATCAATGGACCTGAAGTGCAAGAGCATGGGCGACTGATGAAATGATAATGATTGGAGACAGGAAAACGAAAAAAACCAAGTATATAAAAAGACCTTCAAAGTCTCTAATTCCTCCGCATGCCGTATTCTCGCTGCTTCCAGCTCTCCTCGCAATGAGGAAGAGCTTGCGTCAAGCGTGCTATTAAGGTCATCGAGTTTTTGTTGCAGCTCGGTAGCTTTTTCTTCGCTTTTTCTCAAATCAGCTGCTCTTGTATCCCGATCCGCCTCGAACCTGCGCAGATCTGCCTCGAGCTGTGGTGAAAATGGGAGATGATGAAAAGAAGGATTGTGTTCAGACGATGTGGTGGACGTAGGTTGAAACAGAAAACAAATTCGAATTCAAATCACAACCTCCTAGATAAAGAAAGTAAAAATAGGACACCATCGCAAACATAAACCTGGGGGACATCCGACTAGTCTACAGCTTGCTACGATCACCCCTATTACTTGAAACTGTACCTCCCTATGCTTTGTTTCTGCGCCTTCCAATTTCTCTTCAAAAACTTTTTTCTCGGCGTCTGCACTATTTTTCTGCTCTTCCCAGCGCTTCTTGTCGAGCATATGGGAGTCTCTTAGTCGTTCGAGCGTGTCTTGAGCCTCTCTACTGTTCATGCTTGAGTCGCTTTTGAGTTTCGTAAACTCCTTCTCACGCTCGGCAAGCTTGGAGTGGGATACTTCTACTTCGCGTTCGAGCCTCGTCACTTGTCGGTTTAAGTCCCCGACTTGCTTTTGCAGCTGCAACCGCTCTTCGGACAGGTCCTTCTCCGCTTGACTCGAGCTGCTCTTTAGCGTGTCGAGCTCCTGCACTACACGGTCTCTCTCCTGCTCGAGGTGTCGCCTTTTAATCTCGAAAAGCATGAACGGTGGAGAAAAGAGTGGGATAATGTTCTTGTGATTCGGATTCAGGGTTGGAGGGGACATACACTTACAAGGGCCTACCAGTTTCAGTGCGTAAGTAGCTCTGCGACAATGATGAAGTGGGTCTTAGTGGAAAGTAAGGAAAAATTTCTTCTTGTGAATTCATTAGCAATTACCAGGCGACTGAATTATCGAGATTCCGGTTCGTTCCATAATGTCCTTCAACTCCGATGCTGATGATTTTTGGAGGGTATCCAACTGTCCTTGTATTGACGTTATTGAGGCGTCCTTTTCGTCGAGCAGCTTGTGCAACTTCTCAACCTGTTCGCCGAGTGTTCCCTTTTCTGCCTGCAGTCGTTTTTTCCATGACTCCTCATCACGTGCCTTCGTCTCCTCTAAACTGCGAATCTGAGTTTGAAATTCAAATAATATTCATCAAGTAGTACTACCAAAACCATGAGGCGCGTAAGGAACAAAGACTTGTCATATCGAATCGTCTGTATCTGTGTGTAAACTCCGAAAAAATAGTAAGTAAGTAGATGTAGAAAGAATCAAACCTTTGCTTGCAGCAGGATCCGTTCTTCGTCGAGCTTCGCTGAAACCGTTTCCACTTCGTTGCGCAAAGCAAGCCTCTGTTCTTCGGCACTTTTTTCGGAATGCTCACGTTCATTCTCGATCTGCCGTTCGAATGCGTCTCGCTGCTCTCTACACCTTGTTCGCAACTCGTCCAGTTCCTCCGAGAGCGTTGAACAACGTTCTGTCCAGTGGCGAAACGTCTCCTGCTCCTTCTGCGCATGCTTTTGTTTCAGACCTTCAAGCTGCTTCAAGGCTTCGTCCCGTACAGAGGATGAAAGCGGTACTAAGTAGAAAGTCGTGGGTTGCTCATGGGGAAAGATGACAGGGAATACTTCCTAAGCCTATAACGGAACAGTTAATAAATGGCTAAGGCCTGGGAGCTCGCATGGCATGGAGTGCATGGATCGCATGGAGTTGCATGGAGTTAAAGGGGGCGCCTCTTGCGTCCCTTATGGATCTGCGCCCCTTGAGTTCCATGCTACTCTATGCGCCATGCGTGCTATAAACTGCTCTGCTATAATTAATAGAGGACTAAAGGCAACATGAATATTATTCCTCTTGCTAGTGCCAACAGGTCAGCGATCTTACATACGGCGCCTCAAAAGATTACAAGGAGAAGCCCTACTAGTGCAGAATCAGTTCCCTAGTTTAAACATCAACACAAGTTGTGCTCCCATCATACAAGCGAGTTGTCTTTGTCCTTCTCCCCGCGTGAGCGTTCTCTTTCTGCGATATCTCGTTTGCACTTTTCGAACGCTGTCCATGCTTCGTGAATTTTGTTGTTGCAGTTCCGCACGATAAGCTCGACTTCCTGCTCGTACGCGCCAGAAACTGATTTCAAGTGCAAATCTGCCTCATCATTCTTTGTGTTCAGATGGAAAATTACCTTCGTGAGCTGAGCAATTTTCTTGCTCATTTTATGAAAAGTATCGTCCCTCTCAACCATCTTGTCGACGCCCACGGGCCCCTAATTGCAGGACGAGTGCGAGTGCCACAACTTGGCAATACTCCTGCTAGAAGTTGGTGCTCCACCTGTTGTTCTTCTTCTATTGGTTCTGCTCCTCCTTCTGTTTTAGGATGTCATTTCTTGACTTCTCTGGGTGTGGGTCGTTTCTACTTCATACAAAGAATTACCTACTCCTTGCTCCACGTGTTTTGATTCTCAAATGCGGGAAGCTGAGGAGCACGTCGAGGTGATTTATCTCCAAACTGCACCTCAAGTCCAAAGCGCCCGAACGTGTCTGTACAATGCATCAGCTGAGGTCGATAACCGCAACCGGAACCATGCCGTGTGTAAACTGGGATGCCGTCTGCTCTTGCAAGCCTGTGGTCGCTTCTACTCTCCAGGCTCCTTCCGAAGCAAGCAAACCGGTCGAGACCAAGACCAACTTCGAGGGCTCGTTCTACCCCAAGCACGCGTATGGAGCGACGCCGATCTCCCAAGAAGACTTGAAGATGTTGTCTTCTCGCTGCGCGTCAACACCGGTCAGTCTCAGTCGTTGCTAGTAGGTATGCCATTTTTAGTTCATCTTGATCGTTGGACCTCTTTTCGTTTTCAAGTGCGAGCGTTCGCTTCGAGTACAAACTTGCACTTGCGGATGCGTGCTAACACAAGCCAGTAAATCGCCACATGATCATCCTGATTATAGGTCGCAAAGTGGCTGTTAGCTAGATGTCGCGAATCCTTCGAAATTTCGCAGTCCCTTGGCGAAATACTCTAGTATGAGATGACCGCTTGCCGCTGAACCTCAACGAGCGATCAACTTTGCTGTGGACCAAAAAATAATACAGGCTGAACAACTGTCGTCCAGCTTGCGACTGCTCGTCAACCGCAAAAGGGAGGATCAGCCGACTTCTGCATCATGTTGGAACTTGCACGCCTTCACGCCCGACTGTGCGCCTGTCCTCGGCTGCGCAGGCTCGTTCACTTTGATAGGTCTCGTGTGTTGACCTACGCTTCTGCATATCATTCTTTCATTCAACCTAGGATAAGCGACCGTGAACGAAAATCTCTGACTCTCCCTCCTTTCCCGTCTGATACTGATTACTGGTCTATCACAGCTCACTAACACAGGTATGGTCTTCGATAAGTTGAAGTGGGTGGCGAGTGAATGACGCCTACTGCCTACTTGTACTTCTACCGCTCACAACAAACTGCGTGGTCACGGCATTAATATCATGATGGGTTTATTTGGGGAACTCACAAGGAACATCCATCTCTCACGTTCGTTAAATCCACACTCTCACTATATATAACGAGCTTGAAATCGTTTTCATCAACGGCCTTGCGAAACGAAAAGACAGAAGGGAAAATTGACGAAGACATCAATGACAGAGAGAACTGCCGAAAGCTGACTCAACACCGAACGACATGAACCAAATCGGCAGAAAAACCGAACACTATGCGACAGATGAAAGCCAGAACGCTGAGATGTACATGAAGATGAAAGTAGTACTAGAAACGACTCAGCCTCCTTGAGGAGACTAAGTACACGAAGCGAGAAGGAGAACACCGATACAACACATCGAAGCTTTGTCTTCAATCACAACGAAGTGCGACCAACAAGAATGCTTTTCGTCAGCGGGAGAATATCTTCGGAGAAAGACCGCGCGTGGCGCTCATGGTACGTCAGCACGGAAGATTTTCATTTTGCTTTCATCAATCGGTAGGAAGCGGGCGGAAGACGCAACGAGATCATAATAGAAGGGGTTGCACGCAAAACGAGGCGAGGGGATTAACGAGATCTTTAGCTAAAACAATTAATTTGATCACTTCCGGGGAACTTCAGGGGTGGTCGCTAGCGATACATATACAACAACATATTTTTGATAGATGCATAAATCTGCACAGCGATCTGCGGTCAGGTTCATACGCCTCCAGCACGGCATTGTTTAACTGGCATGGACTAGTTGTGCCATGACGTAGTCAGCAAAGGGCTACAAGGATTCAATTTGTCTTCTCCAGATTTCCATGCCAACTATGAAGAACATTGTACTCGTATAATTCCTCATCGAGTTGGTCCATCTTGCTTCATATTTAATATATTTTTATTGCAACATCGTCCAACCAAAGCCAAAGCAGACACGAAGTCGAATCAGGCTTGTCTTAAGACATCAAATACGATGGATAGAAGGAAATTCCAGCGAAAATGAGACGTCAATGTAATTCCTGGACATAATGTAAACGCGATCATTCTCTTGCCCTTCTTCCAATGAAGCTAAGAACATCATCTATCCGTTCATTTAACAAGAGAATCTGCGACGCTCGTTTGGGCATCGACGAGAACGCTGAAAGAATTCTTTTTAAGCTTTAGATCGATGTCCTATAATTGGCTACTGGTATTCGTATTCTATGGTGGTAACCCTAACGTAATCATTAGGTTGTCGTAATCCTAGGTGTAGGTTTCTAGTCGGAGTCTGAGTCGTCGCTATCGCTGTTGTCAGCCAACCATTTGGCGAAGGGCTCCACAACCTTGTGCACCTCATTGTGTCCTGGATGCTTCTTGTTAGCACTCGGATCGTTGTAATATGGAAGGAAATTATCCTCCTCGATCAAGTCCAAGTCATACAAGGCCTTCAGCACCATCGGAAACCTTGAGATATTAGGAAAAAGCAAGAATTATATATACATAGAATTTTTCATCTTCTTCATACTTCATCTCAATGATATTAAAGGTAAACGTTTATTCTTCGTTCTCTGTCAGCATCATAATTGTGTTTGTGTTCAATTGATTTCTTCTAATCATGCAAGCAGTTAATTGGAGTTCGAAACGCAAGGTATTTCATTCATCTTGTTGTGCATGATAGTGTATTAAGAGTACCCTTTCAAGCAGCCATCGTGTTCAGAAATGTAGAGCTCAAAAGCCCACATCAGATCCTTCATAGCCACCTTATCTTCTTTAACCAGCGACGCGAAGTAATCTCCCTTTTTGGTCATGTTTCCAGCCGTCAACGTATCATCCGGGAACAAAGCCTCGACAACGGCATACATAAACATCTTCTTATCCATCTGCGCAGAAAGCTTTTGGAGACGTCCCTGTGTGGGTTTATTTGTTGAACCGTGCAAATATGATTGATTGAAGGTCAACAAACTAGATGAGGATAGCAGTAGCGATTCAGGAAGGGTTGAGCTTGAGTAGCTGCACTATACTGCAGTAAGTAGCCTTGTACCGAGTCAAACTCAAACGACCAGGATTTCAACAAGAAGACCAGGACCTCCATTATAAAAAGATTTCAGTGCGGCGAGATAGAAAATAAAATACCTCTTCAACGAAGTCCTTGACTGGGCCATCAGCAAGTGTTTTAAGGGAGTCAATCATTTGCATGACATCGTCATCCTTATGCTTTTGTCCGTCATCGCTGGTATCGTCTTCCGGCGTCTTCGCCTTGCTTCCGTCATCCCCCCCATCATCGGAATCGTCGCGCTTCTTGCTCTTTTTCTCTTTCTTTTCTTTTTTCTCCTTCTTCTCTTTCTTCTTTTTCTTGATGTCTCCTCCATCAGAATCATCGGAGTCTGCGCCCTTCTTCTTTTTCTTCTTCTTACCCGTATCGGCATCGCCACCATCTAGAATAAGGGGAGCAACATGTTGGGATGATGGTGTTTACGAAATCTTTTGCTCTATCTCGAGTATACATCACAAGATCAACTTCTAGACAGCTACACAAGGAAAATCAAACATTATCATCTAAAATCTAAAATACCAGCAACATTCCCTGCCGCAGCCTTTGCTGCACGCATCTTTTTGCGTTCTTCTTTCGTCAATTTTTTGGTCGTATTTTCATGAGAACCGTCCATCGGATTATTGAGAACGTACGCCGCCATACGATCGTAACCCATAGCCTCAGCAAGATGTCCATTCCATCCACAGGCTGCGCAATTCCCACTGATCATCTCAGTTTTCTTAACGGTCCTGATGAGAAATAAGGAAATCAATAGATGAAAGTGAGCTATGATCATCAGAAATTTTCCTATGGGTAACACTAAAAACAATTTTGCGAGCTTTGTATCAAATGTAATTGCAATATCAATATTCATGATCCCTAGCTCTTGATTTATTCATTCATTCAGTTACCTGTTCGCGAGGTATTGTTTGGTGTGTGGGAGACACATTACAGAGGCACGCAAGTGCAGGGGAAGAAGTTGCAATTTAAATCTTTAGTACTTCAGGTCCATTTCTGGAAGTCCGCACGTGGGACACAGGACGTAGGCCTGCAGAAACTTGTCCAGGGACTCTTGCAAATCAGGGGCATTATGCGACCCCAAGAGAATTGCGCGCTGCCCCTCGCCTTCCTTGTCAGTGTAGTTGGACGTCGTGCTGCGATCGCACGCGAACCATTTCATGACATAACCAGGAGGACGCTTAATGGCGCCCGCGATCTCCTTGCAGTTTACGACAGACGTTTTAATCCCGTTACCACGACCCTCCACCTTGGACACCAGCTTCGGCATCTTGTACCGATAAGCTGGGTCCGTGTTCGTCGAAGGGATGTTAACTTGCGCCATTTTGTCGTTCTTGCCGCGATCGTAGTGAAAGCTGAAGTTGTTGCTCTAGTAGTTGAAGATCTTTAGTCCTCGATGAGGTTGTAAAAGAACTTGTACAAGCACAAGTCGAAACAGTAGCTTGAGGGTCGTGTCAAGGTAGTTTTTCACGTTGTCACCGAGAATTGTCGATGTTCTTGTCTTCAGACTAGTACTAGTCGAAAGTACTAAAAATTTCGCATGGGCGTGCTTGACGATGGTTGTTGTAGTTGTAGCACGCCGGCTCTGTTCATCAGTTACTAGACCCTTTCCTGTAGAAGTGGGTGATGAAGAATTTCGTCTTTAATAGTAATATTTGCAAGAGAAGTAAGATGCTTTGATCTTGGACACTTCTACTTTTTTGCTTCTTTCTTCGAATATTTATCTCCAGGGAACGCCGACTTCTTGCTCGGATAGTCAACTTCCAACTTCATCTATTTGCCTAATCGTCCACCTAGCACTTCTGTTCGTACCACGAGGAGCCGTCTTCGTCTTTGTACTTCTACTTCTTCTCCGGAAGAACAAGCGCGCCGATGCTATAATGGAGGACCCATGAAGCTCTTCACGTGCGGCTTGATGGGCATCATACAGGCAATGATGGTGCAGTTTTGGCCTGGTCAAAGCTTGGTGGTTGCTCCGGTTTGATGGAGTGCGAGTCCTTCTGCTTCCTGCACAACGAAATCCACGTTGGGATGCTTCCTCGGGACAACATGCCCATAAACATGCCCACGCCTTGTTGCTTGCGCTTTCCTGCTTGTCAGGTGAGAAGAGAATTCTGCATCGACGACCGCCACCGCTTCTTGTTCTTCGAGCGTTGCAAGAACACTCATGCGGGCCAGCACTCATGCGATTTCTTTCCTAGTCTATTCGGTTAGGTTCTCAGAGAACAAATCCTCCTGTTCGCAATACAACGAACAACTTAATACTACGTAGAGACGTACAACGAGACCTACAAGAACCTAATCTTTCTGATCATGCGGTGGTGCAATAGATGATAAGAGGTTCTTATTGTGATTCAACCATAGAATCTTTGAAGAAGCAAGAAAGGTTATTTATGATGCAAAGGAAAATATAATCTAAACCAGAGAACAAGTAGAGTGAGAGTCCTTAAGAAAATATACAGGAAAGATGCAAAAGGAAAATTTCGACAGATGAAGCAATGAATAGTCTTTGTTTAAAATCTTATGAACTAGCCATTTTCGAAAATCGCAAGTATGATGCGTTTCACTGCGTCGACCATGGTTAGAATCAGTTTCCGAGCAGATATGAGTTGTGATTTAAGATGAGAGCATTTTGCGAATTCATTGGAGATCTTTCTCGATCCTTTGTCTTCAATGTATGAGCTAGATCGAAATTTTATTTTGCGTTCCTCGCATTGATATTGTTGTAATCATGTTTACCACTGCCAGCTTTTACTAGTACCAGCTAGACAAATATTGGCTTGACGTGGACAATGGCCTCCACTCATCAAAAATTGATGTCATGTGTACGCTCCGTGTTGCGATCCTTACTCGATCACTTCAGGAACTGTATTACATAGAAGTTCTACAGAACTAGCTCCCAAGTAACTTATAGTCAAGCGTTCAGCTAGTGGCCATACGTCACATTCACGACAACAAGCACCCAGCATGCACATAGATACAGTTACAGTTCTCGACCGAAAAATGTAAATTGATTGTACTTGGTGAAAATGGACAGACCAGCTTCCGCCTCATACTTTATCGCATACTGTGAACGATAGACTTCAACTTCTTTTTTTTGAAGGAGAAGGAAGATTATGACTCTGATCTTTCTTGATCTCCATTACAATTTGCAATTTTCGGACATGATGAAATGACGTCCTTGCGTACGCATCTGATTCACATGGACGCAATGCACGTAAAAACGTAGGACTCAGTCAGAGCATCTCTTCTCTTGGGCGGGCGAAAGCGAGATTACTCTATAAGATGAAGCACAACGCTAATACCCAACAATGCAATGCTAGTGATTCTCCATTGCAAGATTTCAGGATCTCGTATGCATAATTTCATCTCTCATGATTTAGCGCAAACATTTTTTTTCGTGATTCTTCTGCGGTAGTGGAACCTCCGCTAGGGGTTATAATATAGTTCCTATTCGTACAACATGTCGCTTTGTATAGCGAAATGGATGTTCTGCAAGCACTTTGTGCATCTCTTTGATAACAAGAACTGCTATGGTGGCAGCATGAGCCTTTTAGCTCTAACTCTTGACAATCGGGATCCTTATTCTTATCTATGTGATAACCACCGCCCCTTGGACCAAATAGATCCAGATGTTGGCTGCAGCTACAGTTAGTTGCACTTGGACAACATGCTGTTGTGGAAATTACCGTCCACCTGTATTGAGGATAGTTTTTCGTCTCGTGTTCCTTCTCTACGCCTAGTAAAAATGGTGAAAAGAGTATGGACGCATGAATCATCTGAATAGAACCATCAAATAGGGAACTTCCCTCGCACGACAATTCTCCATACGACATGGGCTTTACTAGATGACGTCTCATGCCCTTTTTAAAGCTAAAAAGTATGCTTCCTAATCCTAAATATTAATTTTATCCTATTACCAGATAAGAAATTGAGTTCTTTGACATCGACGTCGAGCTGTCGAAAAACAAGTGAACCAACGGGTTGCTTCGAATCACATGGTGTTTCTTATCCTGTCTACTCTTCTAGGTTTAGCACATCATCAACCACATACAATTACCTTAACCCTTAATTCATGTTGATGATAGATCCGGAGAGAGCAGATCGTGAGAATAGATCGACGTCGACCTTTTGAAAAATATATTTGATGTCGTCATTGGCCCTGGTAGCGCATCATACTTTTGTGTCCCAGCATGCTTGCTCGTTTATGAACACACCCACACATACGCGCCTCCAAGACAAACAACATCGTACTAGCAATAATTTTTCTTAGTCATCGAACACCGTTTTGTTTTTCTTTGTTCTCAAAATCAAGAAGATATTGCCTGTTATCAAGTCCTCTCGCCAATATGAAAATGAATCATGTCCTCTTTTTAATAACAAGATATTGTATTCAATCCCCTTGCCAAAAATGCAAACTCAATCTCGTCATACCAACGCCCGCAGTTCGATGTATCAAGTTGAAATGTCTTAGTTTCTTACCTTTTTGAAGTCATAGTCATACTCGTCCCCACTCTAATGAACTAAAAACTCTTCTCTTTGATGAACATAGGAAGATAGACTTATGCTGTCAGTCTTGCTCCTTAGGAATAGCGTTCATATAGATATAAGGGGAAATTTCTCAGCGTTATATATGACTCAGGGCCGGACGCCCCCCCCCTCCCCCCCCTGTGGTCTGGTGTGTGGTGGCGCGCGCGCGCGCGCATTTGCGCGCGGATTTTTCGCGGATTCTAGTGGTGGAAGGCGTCAAAACTTGGCGCGGGCCTCCCCTTGGGCCTCTCAGCGTGCTCCTAAGGGACCCCCTGGCCTCTGCTGACCCTCGCAGGCGGGAGGCCTCCGGCGTAAAAGGCCGCCGGAGGCGGCCACGGCCACGGTCGCAAGAGCAAGCAAGCCGATGACCAAGGGCCGGGCACAGGCGGCACGCCTCAGGGGGTCCAGCCCCTCGCCTTTTGCCGTCTTCGGAGGCCTTCCGTTGCCGGTGCACTGCTGCGGCGGCGAAGCCTAACGGATGCACTGAGGGCACAGGCAGGCACCTGGACGGGGGCGCAGGCGGTCCCTTGGGCCCCTTTTGAAGCCTCCCACCACCATCGGAGGCCCCCAGGGAACAGCCAGGCAGCTGGAAGGGAGCGGAGGGGGGAGGTCACTGGGCCCCCTTTTGAGGCCTTGCGCCCCCCGGCAGACGCCTGAAAAAGGGGTCCAGGGCGCCCGCCCCCCCCCCGCGCCGTGGAACATATATAAATTTCCAAGACCGCGACACCATGGTGCTGGTCTCAGACTACCTATGTGACGGACCAAACCTCGAGTTCTACCTGGTGCAGCGGTGGCAGAAGACAGGAACTTGCACGTGTCCGGGGGCCTCAGAAAAATGAAATCGGTATCGAGAAGATCCTTGAATTCAAATAAAATCCATTCTAGCGAAGACACTATTTTGAAAATAACAGTCTGTGTCGTTGCCGTATCTAAGAATTCCTTTTTAACACGTACCTGAAGATGCTATGATGAAAACAAGCCTTCTACCTTGTGAACAATTTGCGGAAAAGAAGAATGCATATTCTCAGGATCCTATCTAGAACTAGATCATGTTCCGGTTAATGGATGGCTATTTTCAGGATGGCATATCACGCTTCATTGGTGTAAGTACCTTCAGTAAGCCCTATCATCTCTCCCGAGTCTCATCCCAGTTGCCATGTTGCCCTACATGACAGTGTAGTTAAGAGTTTTCTGAACAAGAGCAATATGTAGCAAATTACACTACGCTGCTCGACATCCAATTGACTAGGTCATCTACAACTATGAACAAGTTGGAAACTACTGCTACTTCTATTAACTTACACATTGAAATAAAAGATGCCTTGCGAATACAACAAGCAAACGCTGAGGTGGCTACTTCGAGGCACATCTCTTATATTCAGCTTCCCTACACCAGGGAGGTTACCAAACAGCCGATTCTTATATGTCTATCTTGAGAGGAAACAACATCAACAAGGTGCACCCTAAAAATGTCAACATGAACATTTTTATTTGAATCATTCGGCGGTCTGCCCGACCGCTAATTCTCAATGCCGCCTGATCAATCAAAGCATTCAAAGATACAGCAGAAATCATGGTCGTATTCAAGTATAAGACTCCGCCCTGGTATAATGCACATCGGAAAATATATGTAAGACAGCATGAGGAGATATTGTCCTAGTTATTGTTAATACTTACCCTCAATTCCTAGTATTACGCACTTTTTAGTAGCCGTTGCCCAGCTCTACCCTCCCCTCGTAGCATTGTATGTTGTTCCGATGAGAAAGTACGTCGAGGACAGGCGAACGTTCTTTACGATTGCGGAAAGGAAAATTATGAAAAAAAAGGAAAAGACGACTACAAACTCATGACAAGACATTCTTTCTTTCAGCAATACATAGTACACATAGTAAGAAGTCGAAGTATGTACTGCCACGGGAAAAAAACATATATCTATATATGTCTCTTGCTTCTATTATATATTGTTGTAAATCATCTACGACCAATGCCGACGAATATCAAAGAAGAATGATATAGGAAACAGAGTCAGAGTCAAAGTAAAAAAATGAAAATGGATGAAGTTGAAGGTGACAATTTGAAAGCTAAATTTATGGAAATTATTCATAATGAAAGCTAACGGGGATACCCAATGTCTTCCTTGTATCAGACAAAGTAACACGATGAGGGCGAGTCATTGAACCATTCATTTTCATCACAACGGCCTCATTCGAAATTCTCAACGCATTCTCGATTGCATGACGTACACCTACTTCATCTTCACGTCGACATCCGTCACGACACACGGAACGAACTACGACCTCAAAAAAAGGCAATATTGGCAATATCATCATTTTGCGTTTCCCGATGTTCCCAGGATGGTTGGCACATTCCTTCTATGAAGTCAGAGGTTACTTCACGAACAACTATGCACAAAGTCAATGTCACATCACGCCACGCTACTTCATGTAAAGGGTACACGTCAGGAGGAAAGTAGATGTAAAAAATTCATCTCTATTAAAACTTCATAAGAACGAAGAAGGGACCCTGATTTTCTTCTTCTGTAATTCTTTCTTCATTTTCTTCATCGAGTGGTTCAATTGATTTGAATCTCGACTTCTAATCCTTATTCGAAAAATCATCATGCAATTACAACAACGCTATCAATATTCCAATATTCTTTACCACCAGTATTCGCGACATTTTAGTAAGTAAAGATACACTCCAGGTGGCATACCCATTTAAGTACAGAAAGGCATCCATCGACGATCGTCGTTTGGGAGGTCACTAACATCGTCGATGTCGCTCGACGACGCGAGCCGGGAAGTCGTGGCTTAGGAGTCATCCTTGATTCATCGATTGAAAACCTGTCTCTGACAGAGCTGTTGATGTACACCCACATGTTATACCAAGAATACGTGCTCTTTTTCGGGCGATCATCATAATCTCAGCAAACGACACATTCGTCATCAGCTCCGCGTCCAGCCCGTGCTTGCATGCTATTCACGACGTCCGGTCCACCCGTGAACAAACAGGTTCCAAAAACAATATCACCTGTGTGCACCAAATCATCACCTGTACTACCTCCACAAGATGGCTCGTCCTCCTCCTCTTTCGTCCCTGCTGCTACAGCGTCGTCATCTGAATCTTGCATAGCACCTCCTCCACACGATGAAGACCCCTCCTCCTTCGTATGGTCCTCCTCTCGCTTCTTCTTAGGCTTAGTGCACGACGTTGGATTCAAGATATTACAGTCCACTTTCCCATCGGAGAAGGTTGCTGCGCGGAATGTTGAGCTCGCTGCATCTTGATGTACGATATTCAGAAATCGATTCGGCAAGAAACGAAGCGAGTTTTGTTTGGTGATTACTTCATCTGGTAAGGCGTCCTCCGATGTCTCGTTGTATCTGCCGAACCAATCGCGTTCTTGCACGGTTTCTGGACACTTCCCGTTCGTGTGGTGAGTTTCGTCATGAACATCTTGTTCACGTCGTCTGTGGCCTGTTGAACAGGAGTAAAAGCTATCGTCATCTGAGGATTGCATTTGCAGGTGGTCGTCATCGACATACAGTTCTTTTTCTTGCAATACAAATTTTGGTGTATCACCAGGGACTAGTTCGTGCGGAGACGCAGAACTAGAAGGAGAAAATGTCACCCCTCTACTAGGACTGCGAGACGAGAAGGGAGTTTGGAAATCATCTTCAGATTTTTCCGCGGGAAGCGGCTCTTGTTGGACAATCTTCTGATGCGGTCCAGATGGAGTTTCTTGATGTTCTTCTTCTTGCAGTGACAATTGCCGCATATGTTTTTCCGTTTCGTCCATATCATCTTCTGCAGCGGAAAGGATGTTGTCACGATGCGTGTTTTGAAGAGCCTTGTCCGCGTGCGTCTCCTCTTCTTGCTCTGGAGTGCCTGCTGGACCACAAAACCGTGAATTAGGACTGCCATCACTTCGAATCGTGGATGGCGAGAGGGCTACTTGCTTGCTACCCATGCGAGACTTCTGCTGCCAGGCCACTAAATCCGCTAGCGACCCCCCGGGAGTGTCTGGCGCCTGGGTGGAGATCGAAGCACAACTGGAGCTCGAATGCGGCACTAGTTTCCGACTCGGAAAGTCTAGTCCTTTATTTACGTCAGCAACCAAGGACGCAGCTTGTTGTTCTTTTCGTTTTTGCTCTCGTTCTTCCTTTATTTGTCCTAGCGTCCTCTTTCTCCTGCGATGAACCGTATTCAAGATTTTCATTCGCAATACTGGAGGTATTACTTAAAGGTTGAAAAGAACCCAGATTCCTGAGTTCCGAAGCGATGCCGCGTTTAACAACTAAATATCAAGAAACTTCTTGTGCTGAGGTGTTATTGCTGTTGTAGCCAACTCTGAAACGATTTTTGACTCTTGATATGGCCATTTTCCCGTTCAAATTATGATTTAGTTATAGATCATCACATGATGTTGCAACAATACCTGCGGTTGCGTTGCTTCCCTTGCTTTCCAAACAGTGCTCCTCTCGTGAGCGATGCAGCTAGGCCTAGAAAAGCACCACCGGCGGTGAGCTTTGCACCTTTATTATTATAGCCGCTTCCAAGCAGTCGGTTTACAAATCCAGGAGAACCGCCGATTGCTCCATCAATATTTGTATTCTGCGCCCTACTCATAGGAGTCTTGTCCTTGAAGCTGCTCCTCGATAGGGCAGGTCCTTGACCAGGACTCGACTTGTGCGGTCCTGTTAGAGCTCTCCGAAGTTGCCCCGTTGTAGCCTTTTCGAGCGTTGCACGCAGCTGCGGGGATAAATTTTGGAATCGAAAAAACTGATGGAAATTGATATCATTAGAAGGGTTCTGTACTACGATTTCTTTCTCCTGGCAGATTTAGGGTGGTTATTGTGTCATTCTTTCATAAAGTCGTCGTTGACATCATGCGATCGGAAATTACAATTAGTATGCAAGTAACAGAATGAAATTGTACCGGCACGACACTGCGACGGGGAGCCTTTCGTCGATGCGTTCCGTTCTCGGTTGCGTTGGCACCTGTAGAGAGGGCCAGGGCAACCGCTGCCGCGAAGCCTGCGCATCTTCTGAAACCTACGGAAAACGCCGCCATCTTTCCTCTTGTCTTGTCTGCTTTTCAATAGTTCCGAGAATGAAACCAGATTCGATCTTGTTAGGATGTTTGCAGCTAGGAGAACGTCGTGGACGGAGCTGGTGCAGGTATGGGTATTACTATCAATATTCGGATTTGCTTTGAAATACTAAATTCTAAATTATCGGTTACAAGCGAATGCGCCCCCGGATTGTCCTTCTATCGAGTCCACTCCCTCAACAAACAACTTACTTAACATCCACGTCTAGCATTTTCTTTTTCAACACGATCGCAATACTCTTTCATCACATCATGCAAGATACTTTCATGGTCAACTAGGAATTCCTAAGAGATTCATCAACGACATATTGTTGATCATCCGAATTACACGATGCCTTGTGCCCATCGAGGAGATAGTTATCTAGTGTATTGTTCTACGATCAAATGACTGATTTGAGACTGTTGCTTCTTCCGATGTAAAATTCTCTCTTTCAACATTGAAAAATCATTAACTTTGTTCTCCTCTGATTCCTCGTCACATCCGTATCCTTACGTGCTTGTTTGAAAGAACAAACAGATTGATCATGAAAAAACAAATCACACGATAGAAGATACCGATCTAACACAGAACAGCGTTAAATCTATGGGGTCACGTCTGAACGAGTACTAAAAATTGTGATTTTGATTATGTGCACGATGGATAAGCCAAAAGCATTTTGTTCTGACTCAGCGTTGGGCTAGTACTAGTAGCTATATTCTTCCAATAAACCATAAACCATCTAAGTACCAAATTGGCTGTCAGGCTGAAACTGCGTAACTTAAACTTACTTTACTCGAACTCAACGAGGCTTTCTTGATCACAACATCAAGACCATATTGCAATGTACCTGTACCTGGTAATGGTTTATATTTTGCAAGTAATCTTGAGGTGGATGTTTCTTCATTTCGAATTGAGACTAAAGATCACAACAACATCCATAGAAATTTATGCCGCAGCTTCTACTTGCAACACGGTTGTAAGCCAGATTGTGCATCGTTCTCAGACAATGTTGTTGATCCGAGAGCGTCATCGTAATCGTTTTTTACATTCCTCTCCATCTATTTTCGAACAAGATCGCCTTGACGTAAAGCGAACAGGTTTGCTTCTGGAAGAATACTTTCGGACCAAAATCTTCCGAGTTGTCACCAGTCTCGAGTTACCTCAGCAAGCTCGTCACGCTCCCTCTTAATTCTTCATTCATTTGCTATGTTTCATTACTTCGTCATCCATTACCAACATTCATCCGTCTGCATCTCCGTAATATATTCATATTCGATAAAGCGGAAAATTCAATGAGTATGAGGATCTCAATGAGAATTCTGACTACATGGTTCAGACACTTCCTCGCGGCACTCTGGCGGAGAGCCTTTCCTTCTATGAAAGCGGTGAGAACGAGAAGTGGGAAATGACAAGAATAAGATGAATGTTTCGTAAAGTGCGACAATTAGGGATCCTATGAGTGAGTCTGTTAGCGCCAAATCGGATGGCTCAACCTTTATGGGGTGGGAGCTGGGGTCGCGCGCAAAAAGGCCACTTTGTTCTTTCCAATGTCGACGAGAAGCCAAATAAACTGGAACAACTACTACCGTTCCAATCTATCAAATACAGACAGACTTTTTGTACATGGTGGTTCTCGCGCGGTAGAATTGCTCGCAGCAGGTACCCTCCAGTTTGATCGTTGAACTGTTGGTCAGATAAGAGAGCTTCGCCTTCTCGTCAATATGGAGGACTCGTTTTCCGAATTGAGACTTGAACTCAGTGTGGAAGCGTTCCTCTGATAGTGCGACCTTGAATTGCGACAGCTTCGGCGGGCAGACGAGCAGCGTGTTCTGTTTTCCGAGGTACTGCTGGTCTTCGGGAGTGTCGTTGTCATGTGCGCCACTGTTGGTTGTACCTTCGTCACGAGGGTCTCCTTTCATGCCTGAGCTGTTTGACGTTTGCAGCTTACTCGGCACGAGCTGCAGCGCTTGCGAGGGGGCAGCGGAGGGGTTATTTCTGAAGGAGGGTTGGGGTACAACGCCTGCAGCTAGCTCTAACGCATTCGGCTCTGGACCAAAGACTACCATCCCACTATCGTCGTCCTCGAGCGCTGTTGCGTTTGCTCCCGCAGCCGCATTCGCAAGTGCCGGCGCCCCCGCTGTTATCGCTGCATTCGCGGCACCAGCACTTTGATCCCTCATCATGTTCGCTAGAGTATGCGCCTGAACAAAGGCGATGCGAGAGTGGTTCAGGCATTTCGAGAAGTTCAGACTCTGGATGAAGTCCTCGTGCAGGACAGCACGTCTCTTCTTCCGGCTGAAGCCAGCACCAAAATGCACTACGCCTTCACTTCCGAACGTCTTCACAACCGTCACTGTTTGGCTCATGCTCTCGTACTGAAGGCGAAGACTGTTCACACCTTCCTCAGCCTCATGCTGCTTGGACGGTAAAAGAACCTGTAGTGACCACAGAATCAAAACTCTACCTGAATCTGAAAAATGCTAGTTATACAAAACTAGAATGAATCGACATATTGTTCTATGTATAATTCAAATTCTGTATTTGTTGTGAAGATCGAATCAATCATAATTGTGTATAGATGTATACGAGTTGCAGTGGGGCCGCAGAGCTGATAAGAGCGCGCATGTCGCGATGGTCTCGGAGGCCTATAGGAACGTACTGAACCGCGCATTGCACATTCAAGGATATGTCCTCCACGTTGATCTTCATAGGTTCTCGAAAGCGAACCCGCAAGTCCCACAGCCAGTCGAAGTTGGCAGTGTCATTTCCGTCGCCTGAACCGTTTCCGCCTGGAGGTAAAGGTTTTTTTGTACTTACTTATAAACGAAGTCTGAGAAGTAGTACACGTGAATAATCGAAGATGATTGCAGCTACAGGTGTGATCATAAATCTCTCAAAGGTTACATAAGTCACACACAAAAAGCATCGAGTTCGAGACAAGACAACACAGCTATGATTTCTACCACAGTGAAAGAGCAGATGAACAAGAGCCAACATTAGTTGACCCACAAGCCGTTTGTGGCTCGTCAAATACCATTATCTCCTCCCTTTCGTTCCCTTGAGCCGTCTGTTACGATGCTTTCGTACTCATGTGACATTTTCCAAGCATCCATTTCGCGCACACCTAGCGGCGCACCGTAATCGTCGTCCCCTCCGCGTGCTTGCTGAAATTCAAAGGTGTGACTCTTAGAGGCAGATACTTTGGTTTTTCAAAGCTTATGCAGGTGAGAGAGAGGAACGCACCAGGTAAGTTCTTGCCTTGCGCCTTTTTTGCCTTGAACTCTCAATCATATTAGATTTGGAGGTCATCCCTCTATAATTTCCAATATTGCGTTTGTGATTGTTCTATGGGACCTCTACCAGTGCAACCTCTTGGCACGGGTCATAGTGAGAACAAGAAACTAAATGTAAATTCTAAATTCTTAAAATTCCTGTGCTTCGGGAATCGGTCCGCCACAGCGTGGAAAGCCGGAAAAGTGGAGGCGTCCTGCTCCGCTCTCAAAAAAGACGGATCGTTGTCATCCACCCCACTTTCACCGCTCAGGCCCGCTTCGCCTGCCTCCTCACGTCGTAAAGCTGCATAAAGCTCCTGCTTTCGCTTCCGCTTAGCGACGTTCTCTTGGTCTCGCCTGGCCTCTTCCTCAACACGCCGGTCATAGTACCTTGATTGATGTTTGGGGGGGTATCTATGGTATAATTAAGCATGTGGACATTCGACGTAACTTTGTCTCCAATAAACTAGAAGGCCCTGCATCTATCGTCAATTTTGAAGATCGATTTGAGTTCTTCTACTTTCCAATTCCAAAAACTATTTTCAGCTTCATACAGCGCTTCTATCAGTATCACTCTGTGGTCAAGAAAAGTACCTCAAAATTGTTCTCTTCAATAATAAGTTGATAAGTACTTTTTCAGTTCCGGTTCTGTGTATCGCGTCCTCGTGTACTGCTTTGTGTTGTACGTACGGTATTGGACTCTGTTGACAACAAAATCGAACATGAGTTCCCCAGCCAGTGTCTGCTCAGGCATATGCGCAAAGCCAAATAGCCACACTAGGTTTTTGGGGTTCTGACACATCTCCAGAAAAAATTCGCGGGCCTCCCCATTCTCCAAGGTGTGGCCGTTCGCAATGATGACCTTCCGAGATTTCGGGCCAGTAATACGGGCCTCTCGCGCTTGAAGCTCCTCCATTGACGCAAACATTTTCACGTACGGAAACCTTTGATCGACTTGTTGAAGTGGAGTGAAGAGAACGCGCTCGTTTAAGGGTGTGCGTACGATTTTTCTGGCTTTATCGAGAGTTAATATTTTTCAGTCAGACTAGGATCACGATGAAGGTGAAAGATAAAAACGAGTTCCTGAAAGATAAAAACGAGTTCCCAATTGAGAATGAAACAAAATTTCTTCTTCATGACGTAAGTACCTGAATGGTGTTTTTCTTCCTTGATGGTATTGTTCCTGGAGCTTCTTGCAGACCCACTCCATTCGCGTGCGAACCTGCTCCAAAACTACGTCGCTCACTGGGGACACCCAGCAGAGCTCGAATTTCTCAGCGAGACCGTTAGGATCCATGCTCCAGGCCTCGTCTAACAGATGGATCAAGTCCAAAGCGCTAGTCGTGGACCCGTCTGTCGGCATAAGCACATCGCCACCGTTCCGCAACGCCTCGATCGTCTTTTCTATGAAAAACTCCTCACCACAAGTACGGCAGACCTGGGTTTCATTTATGGCGATTGATGCAATAATATCAGGCACGCAGATGAAATAGAATTTTCAGTGAATCTTAAACCTTCTGGCTGTTGTAGACCAACAAGATTTTTGTATCAAATGTCTAGTTTTTGTGCAACATTTCAAAACATCAAATGTTGATATTGCATTACGTTCTTGACACTGCCTGCTGCATTCTTTTTGTTGTTGTGCGTGTGCTGGGGAACTGCGGTCGCGGTGACGCTTCGATCGAATCCCAGTCGCGGAATATCTTTGCGCGTGGGTGGCACAGCTGTTATGAAGATGTGATTTCGGGACAGAACCCTCGCGCCACCGCCTACTGTCAATAGATTTTCGGTATCCAGTCCGTCCACAATGCGCGTGCCTCGCAGGTCGTAGTCGATGCAGTACACGAGCTTTTGTAACCCAAAAGAGAGGAAAAAGTAGCATCCTCCAATCGTCAGTCCACAAGGAAAAGCTTGGATCGTTACTTCCTGCGTAGACGCGGTCTGATGCTGCCCTCTTGAAGCGCTTCCACTGCCAATGTGTTCGGAGTGGAAGTCCAACCCTCCGGAGGTGCGCTTTTTCGCGCCACTCAGCCGTCGTGCTTTTGTTGAAGGTCCGTTGACGTCTTGGTCACCGTCTGCTGCATCGAGAGCATTGCCCTGGAGGAGGTCGTCCTCTTCCGGGGACGCTCTTTCCCCTTTGGTCTTGGAGAAAAAACCAGTTACGTCAGCGACGTCGTCTTCGTCTAACCGAAAATCCGCCGCCCCTCGTTGCCCAGATGATGACATCACTGCCGTGCTCGTTTTTCGATAGAGAAAGCGCTCTCCAAATTTGAGCGTTCTGAAGTTGGAACTAAGAAAAACACTCACCACATCTTCGAGATCCACTTGGTTCATCTGGTTGGCACTTGTCAAGGACGCTTCCTCCGCGAACGCGATGCACGCCAACTCTCCTCAGCTTAGACGAGTGGGAGTGAGCCTCTAGTCGACGAAATTCAACAAATAGTTCAAATAGAAAGATACAAATAGTCTAATTCATATTTCCTTGTGTTCAATAACTGGTGAAGCTCAGCATCAAAAAAATGAACATCTTCTGGTGACCATCGCTTCTTTCTCTCAGACTAGTCAGAAGGAACAGGTGTCGTCGACAAAATTCTACTTGGTTCTACCTACTTACTCCTAAAAACCACGTTCGCTTGTATCTTCATTCAGTCTCAGTCCTGCAGGAGTGGTTCTGAAAAAAATCAAAAACTGGAGCCTTAATAACTGGCGCACCGGGTCCGTGCACAAGATGGGTGCCGTCAATTCGCATCGAGAGTAGAGGTAGGGCAGCCCCCCACAGTGCTGCGTGCTCGGGTGGGAGATCAAAACGAAGGCGATTTCAGGAATATAGGGCATCAAGGGCTGGTATAACTGTGCCACGTCCTCCCGCTCATCCATGCACAAAGGCAAACCAGCATCCAACAACACGAAGATGCCATCCACATGCAGCAACGAACAGCGCCACAAGGAGGCATCTTGGGATATGGAAATCAACGACATCTTTTTACTGGTCTTGTTATCCCTCTTTGCGTCTTGTTCTTGCCTTCGTCGCTTCCTCCTTCAGCAGCTAAGTTGTACGTTGGCTCGTGTCCTGGTCCTCGCCGCGCAAGACTAATTGTTGTAGTTCTGATCAAAATCTCAAATCATTTGCATCGTTGACACCACAAGCAGCTTCCGGTAGACTCTTGTCCTCGTTTTTTCTTGCAACTTGTTGGTCGCAAGAATCTTCATCTGGCTTAGTAGAGAAATCCTTTTGAAGATGCGGATCTGTCTAGAATATCGGGGAGCACGGGTCACGGGCCATCTCAGTCTTCTAACGGTCTTCTGAGGGTACCGTTACCGTTATTGCCTTTGCCACCGCAGCACGCACTGCACCAACAATCTGCGCCGTGTGCTTCCTGTGGAGCATGACGCCTTCATCTTGGCTGATTTTAGACCATTTTACATCTTTTCTATTCCATAGACCCAAACAGCTATGATAGGAAATAAGACCGATGTAAATGCTACACCTATTACTATTAGTAGAACCTGCCTAAACCAACGATGGACATTTAAAATTGAGAGAGTTCCCTCCTACGGGTACGGATCGCTCGCAAATCAAGTACTACTTAGTATTGAAGCAAGTGTCAAAGAACGGGAGATCCAACCGATGGCCCTGCATGATAGATTATTGGAATTCGAAGCACCGTTTCAAAAGAAAATCTTGTTGTTCTTGTTGCACTAGAAGTACTACATACATTTACCGTCGCCCACAAAGGAGCAACCAATCAAATTGCTCTGTGATGTCGACAGGTAGAAGCTTGTTGGTTTCAGAATAAGAGACAGAGAGGAAGTGATGAGTGCTGATTGACTTCAAAACATTGCTCATTCTTTTTGGCACGCATAGTGCACAAAAAAGAAAAGAATCATCGAAACTGGATTGGATGACGATCGCCAAAGTTTTCTGCAGACAATAGGATGCGAGAGTCCAACGTCAATAAAGCCGGAGCAGGATCATCCAGAAAGTGTTGATTTGGAACTAGGTCGCGATCACACAAACATGCTTAACGCCTTGAAGCATCTGTATCGTTCATATATTATATTTTCTTGTCTTCGACTGCCACTGCACCAACATCATCTTCATCATACATCATCACGAACACAAAACCACTTCTCCTACCAAGTAGTAGGCAACACGACTCGCACTGTCCGCAGTAGAGGAGGATAGAGTTTATTCCGAATAATATTAGCTCTGTTGAACCTTCCCGTTCTAATTCATCAAGCTTTGCCATGCCTGCTCCGTCTGAACTTTAGTAATGTGAATCATGATCATCAAAGAAACCGTTAAGAAAACGTCGGACAAAGTCAACTTGATCCTCATTTGTTTTCTGTTCATACGCGCCACACTAACAGAAGTTTACAACTTGTGCAAGAATTACATGAGTCGTAAACAGCTACTCATCAAGTGATCTCACATCATAGTGAAGTTCGTCTCAATATCGAACACAGCTTTTAGCCTGCCCCGAAAGAGATAAGTTATGGCAATGGTAATGGCGGGCCTCCCTGTATGTCGCCCCGGGCCTCAGGCCGGTTTTTTTTTCATAGGACTAGATGCTGCATCCCATTTAATCAATCAAACACTTCTAGCGAACAAGTAAATAGTTACATACTGAGGGAGCATAGGGCCGCACATTCGGCCAACAAATCTACACCTATCGGAAGAGCCGCGCACTCGGCTCTTATAGGACAACTAACGCGCAACCCGACGCAGCGAGGCGCCGTGAGCAAGTCAGCACATCTGCAGGAGTATGGCGCGCCGGTCAATCACAATCTCAAAAATATCTGGTAAGCGTGAGAGTGAAGAGCTGGGAAATACGACAAGTGATTGAAAACCTACTTGCTAGAATGATCACGTTGTGCTAAACTGTGTTAATACAGCTCGCAGCTGTATCTGTATGATAGCACGTAAGCCTAGAGTAATGATTACAAGAATAAGTTAGCCTTCACATCTTTGTAGCATACTGGACTACTGAGGGGAGGGCACTCTCAACTGGACTACAATCTCAAAAATTATTTATTTTTTTATAAGTAATATAGCAACTCACAAGTCAAGAACAAGTCAAGATGCAAAATTAACTTCTAAAGTGAGGCGAAAAATGCGTCTATATATTAAGTAATTGATTCAACCATGTTCAAAAAAAAATGGATTACGACGAAGTACAACAAGGGACCACCAGCAAAAACAGTCCAACAAAGGTGAATAGAAATGAACGAAGATGAGGTGAGGGTCAAAAATGAAAATCCTATTGCAAGATCTTAGGAAGTTGGTTGGTACTTTCGATGAACCACAATGATCAGACAGATACACAAATAATACGGCGACATATTTGAAAGATCAGCGTCCTTTACTTGTTTTTGCCCCACGAAAAGATTCGCCTCACAGTGCGATTGAAAGATCCGAAAAATGTCTTTCCTTATCACAAAATTTGCGCCTCGGTAGATAAGTTAGTTAGTAGTGTCCAATAAATTTAAATTGTTGTTCAGTTTCAGTACTAATGTACTTAAATACTGATCGAGTTCCTTTGGGAGTGCGACTGCGAGTTGCTTTGTTCTATAGCAGAACCTTAGTTTTTTCTAAGCTGTTTTTCCTGTTTTGCCTCTCTTGAGAAAGTCAAGGGTGAGCATCAAAAAGTCTAACATAGTAGGATCAAACACGAATGTAGTTGTACCGATGATTCTGTAGTACAGATAACCATGATCATGTACTAGAGGAAGAAGCCACGTAGGTAATGCAGAAGATAATTTAACTTTGAGGTATCGATCAGAGAACTTGTACTTGCTGCACTTCCTTTAAGTTTAAAGTTTATTGATATCTTCCTCATACAAAATTTGAGAAGGGCAGACTCGAGTGAATCTTTCATTCTTGTCCCAAAATTAATATCGAGGAGGATAACTTTTGGACCTTTCTCTGATGGAATCTCGAAGGAAAAATGGACTGGATCTTGCCGCGGGTGCGCTGACTGTCATGCATGATTTGGATCTCTCTGAAAATTCACCTACTAACGCGGGACGCGGTCTTGAGATCTGGCGCTAGCTACCACGATGAAAAGAATCTAACAAACTGGGTGATCTCTAAGTTTTCTGCGATCTTTAAAAATGCTGAGCATGTACTGGTAGTTCACGAGAATTCATTGATCTTGCATGGTGAGCATGCTGTTCGAGTTGTCTTACAGATGAATCAGGGAATAGTAGGAGGCTCCACTCTAGTAGTACGCAAAAATGCGCGCTGCCTCCCACTACAACGACATGTTGATCCGCCGATATTGCTAGCTTCTTCAGGCTTGATCTTCCAGAGTTCTAGAGCACACTTGCGCGTTTGCGTTTAGTGTCGGAATCAATTGTTTTTTTGGCGTCTTTCTTCGCTCAATGAGCTGCATGAGAATCATCAACTTTGTGTCTGCAGTAGTTTTGTGAGGAGAATACCAATACTATGGGAGGATATAGGCCAGGCGAGAACCTGGAACCACTACCTAATTACCTCTGATGCTAACTAGCCCGGACGCGTTAGCGTGTTGCGGTCAGTCGCAGTCAGGCAGGCGTTGACATACTGCGCATAGGTTCCTTCGTCCTTCTGTAGGAGGTCCTGCGGACTTCCTTCCTCCATCACTTTGCCGTCACGGAGAACGAGAAGTCGATTACTAAAACGGAAATTCGAAACCCAAATATTAGAGCAGTCTCATGTCACGTCCCCATGGTACTTCCTGACCACTTGCCTCAAGAACTATCTAGAGCATGATTGAAAATCATGAATCGCCGCCGTGACCCGATTGACGAGTTATTATCCTCTTCCTTCATAAATTCATGTACTTAAGTAACAAGCTAGGCTATCAAGAAGATTGATAAATTTTGCCATAAGATGCGCGATTGTTATGATCGTTTGGGCATTCTGCGACCTCAGACGTTCCAGATTCTGCTGTACGGCACTCTGAGTGGTCTCATCCAACGCTGATGTTGCCTCGTCCAACAGTAGCACTTCTGACCCCTTCCACAACGCCCGTGCTAGTCCAATCTGTTGTAGTTTGACAAAAAAAATCATGACAAGGTTACGATACATTACTGTGGTTGTTGTACTTCATCGTTCAATTACAATCTTCGCGTAAACTTACTAAAACTAGTGGCCCATGATGACGCCGACATGAACCTCAGCTTCGTTGCACGCGATATTACAAGTCAGTACAAGGAACGAGTCTAGACAACATATCCACATTTTTAAGCTTCTTCACCACATAAAATCCCACAAATTGAAATTCTTGTAAGGGTATAAATATATAAAGACAAATGCCGCAGACGCAGCTACTACTACCATCTTATCCAGATGAAGCTTTCAAAAATACTAACTCGATCCCATCAACCCTTTCCTATCCCAGTGTTTTGATTGAAGAGATGAGACGGCCAGAGGCCACGACGAACAAACACACCAAAACAACAGAACCAGAACAAAACAGGACGAAAAAAAGACCTACAGCCCATGCAGTCCGAGAGCAGGAAGATGCTAAGAAACTCGGTGCTCGATGACAGAAGTACCAGGCATGAGAAGAGTCATACATGGGTGCATAAATGAATAAGCACCCTTTGCTTCTGGCCTCCACTGAGCTTGCAGCCATATTCGCCGACAGCTGTGTACCAACCCTGCGGAAACTTCTCTTGGTCGAAAAAGGTTTCCCGGCACTGTGCAATATCCATCACATCCGAGAGATGTTTTTCGTAATCAGCACTCCCTTCTTCGCTTGGAAAGTAGTCGTCCTCTGCTAGATTAGAACTTGGTGTTGGTAGATGTAGATCACACGAAGTAGTAACAGGAAAGATGATCTGTATCTGGTTTGAACTTCTGCACTGCCACTGCGTTACAATCTCGCTACAAAACAAACACATGTTTTTGTACTAAGTCATATTTGTCTCGACCTCACATGTGCAAGATCTAGACGTCGAAAAAGAGGTGGATAGGCTTAGAAACTACCTCAATGCTGGAAGCCCAGCAACTTCTACTTTATGATCTGTTCATACCGTCTTTCCCGGTGAGCTGCCCGGGTCTGGCACCATACATGATGTTGTCTTTGATCGAGCGCTCCAGCAAAACGATATCTTGCGTCACAATCGAGAAAAACTTGCGCCGAAGCCACAGTGGCTCATAATCCCTGAGATCTCGACCATTTAAAAGAATGCGTCCAGAATCAACGTCATAGACACGCAGCATCAACAGGAAACGAAATTAGATGACTAAAAGGACAATGTCCTAGAAGTAGAACTACCAGTTGAGTGCTACTGAAACAGGAGGTAGAACTAGATATACTATGTAAGGCATTTGCTCGACGATGATCTATTAAAAAGTAAGTAGTATACTAATACAACGAAAGTGGTGCAGCATGAAGATGCAGATGCTTGTATTGACGTATATATAATCGAGGAGATTTCAATCGGTTATAGCTCCTGCATAAACTAAAATCAACGTGAAAAGGTCTACTTACTTAAACTTACTTTCATATAGTCTCCCATGTATCATTAAATTCAGCATCCCCCATAAATGGAGCTCTTTCCGGATCCAGTTTGTCCGAGTATGCCCAAATGATCACCAGCACGAATGTGGAACGAGACGTCGTTCAAAACGGCCACTGACGGTCGGGAAGGATACCGAAAAGACACGTGCTCGAAGGCGAGCGTGTGGAGGCGCGCAACTGGTGGCGGGATCACTTCGCGAAGCATCGCCATTTGAGTATCGGTTTTCGCGGTTTCGTCCCCGAACATGAGCGTCGCTAACGCGGTCCTACTTGATAATTAGACCTCCGAATGATCCAATGTCCCAGTATCGCATCCTTCGACGCATCCCTGGCACTTTTCTCCCCTCTCCCAAGCATCTGCCAGGGACGACGCTGAGAATGGATTTGTTACGCTCAGTGCCTTAATCTAAAGCTTCTCCGGCGCGTCTGAGCGTGAGAGTATCGGCTTCATTTTCTTCCTCCCGAGGCACCGGAAGACAACTGGCCGCGTCATCAACAGCACGTAGTTCGCACTTCTCTCGTAGAGAAGGAGCGACTGCTTCGTCTGACCAGGGACTACAACGGGTGAACAAGCCTATCTTGGGTTGGAGCTGCAAAAGAGTCATGATTTTTTCAGCTGGGTCCAAAATTTCGTCGCCTAGTCCTTCTGCGCGAGTCCTGAGGAACCGAGCCGAATCGAATGCATTGTTTGCCATGATCAGAAAAGCCGACAAATCGCCAAAACCGAGCTGTTCCACGTCAGGAAAGAGATCATCACTTTCCGTCGCTCCTTCTTGTTCATCTCCTTCTCCGCCACTCAAAATTAGCAGTGGCCACTAAAACTTAACAACCAATTTGGACTGGAAGAACAGACATCTCAGAGTTCTGACTTCATCATTGCGATAAACTCCCTCGAAAATATCTTCCCAAGGTTAAGGATGCTTGAAATCTTTTTTCATTCTCATTCTTGAATAAAATTGACTCCGTAAAGTAAAAAAGTCTCCTGCTGCGTCGTTATTCTCAGTTGTAGGTGTTGGATCTTCTGCCGTTCGTGGTGGGGCTTCTATTGATGCAACGCTCTTACTCGGCTCCTGAAACACACGGCGATGTCGCGACGCCCTTGTAAGGCCGCTCTCTAGGTATTCAGGTAGATTCAATACGCCCTGTAGAAATCGGCTCAAAGTTCCACGCTTTGCAAAGAGGCTCTGTCTCACCCGGTGCTCACATGAAACCAATAGCTTCTCTTTACCACTAGGATCCGACTTGCTTATCTGCTCCAGACCTAGTTGTCCGCTTTCTTCTCGCTCGGTACTAACACCTACTCCATCGATGGCGAAAGTCGGTGGCGCGCTTTCTCGCCCAGCAGCTTCGCGTGCGGCCCCGCGGATGATCAGCCGACCGCCGTACCACAGAACTAGCATTTGGATCAAATTTTCGAGGAAAGGTTCTATTAGACCTTCCTGGAATCTCGCATTTTGAAAAGCATCTTGGACGACCCTTTTTCTCCCTTACACGGAGGTCCAAGATGCTTTTCCCCCTTACACGGAAGTCCAAGGGAGATTTCCGGCCGTCATAATTCTAGCGGAGAAAAGACGCTGTAAAGCATCGATCGCTGGTTCTCGTCTCGGTCCATGATGAGCAGGAAGGACGAGAAGTTCTGCGCTTCTTCCGGCTCCCGCCCAAACATTCGGATCGTCATGAACGCCGATGGCCGCGTGAGTGCGCGCCACACTTCTCTGACCTTACCACGGATATCCGGCGCAACATACACAGTTTCTAAGTGGTCGTGCCAACTGCGCAGTCTATTGCTCACCGCTATCTTCAAAGGCATCAGCAGAAACACGAACAGAGAGAGACGACGATTCTTGCGCCAAAGAATCAGGAAGCTTGCAGCAGCACGACCAAAGGCTTCCACACACTGAACCGGGTAGTCCAGAAGGGTTTTCACGACATGTCCACAGTTCCCAATCACTTGCCGCTGGTCCCACAAATCCGACTTTTCAAATACCATGAACGGGAAGCCAGGATAAAAATGGAGGACCACTCACACAAGTATGATCAGGAAGGACGAGGACAAGGCCCAGCAAATGTAGATAATGGACAAGGTGGCTGCTGTGCTGAAGAGACAGCAAAGACTACTAGCACGCACTCAATCTTGCCTATCCCTTTCATAAAGAAGTAAAAATCTTGCGACACTAAGGCTTCGAATAGCTTCACTTTCAGCGTCCGGATTAGCTCCTGCTTACCCAAGTTCCCGAACTGGTCCCGCAACATGCTCGCTACTATTCCCGTGACTTCCAACAACAGCATTGCAAGCACCGTGTTTTGCAATTGCTTTTGCTTCAGCTGAAGTACTGCGCGCACCGGCGAGGGGCCCCGTGTGCGATCGCGTCTAGCCACATTAACCGACCAAAAAAGGTCTTTGGCGATATTCAATATTTCACACTGGTAGTAGTAGCGTGAGCTATCGAGTGCGCCGGAAAGAAGCGAAAAAAACGAAAATATGAAAGCGGTAATAGCTTGATATATATAATTACGGTGGAGAGAAACATGGAAAATCAAGGCACATTGTGGTTGTAATGGTGTTTCCGTAAAGCGCACTCCAAGTCTATATGTAGAACTTCTGAGCCGGTCAGCTTGTTGCAGCTTAGCCAGGAGGTAGAGGTAAGTGTACCACTAGTTCGATACAATTATGACTTGAAACTGTAGTTTGCAATAGGACACTTGCTGTTTTAATGCCTACCATAGTATAATTAATGCCATTATCATAGAAGAGAGGAAAATGAAAAGAAGCTTTCGGTAGTCGAGCCTCGAGAGGATTCCGGTCTTTGTTCGAGACGGCCGCAGAAGCAAGTGCTCGGTGAGGAGACTGTAGACAATGCGCAAGCGATTCCCAAAGAACTGGCGCGTCCGCTCGGTCGCTTCTGCTACTTCGGTTCCGAAAATCCTACAAGACTTAGAGCAATTTAGCTACGAGATATACTAGATTATGTAGTTGTCCTACATCCGCTAGTTACTGCTGGTTTCACTCTTCGGTCATCTAAACCGTAGTTGCCCCGCGTGTGGAGCTACTTCTCCTCAGCACGCATCATGTGCCCCAAGAACAGTCCTCGTCATTCAGAATCCATGTACTACATCAAGCACACGCGCACCTGCTAGAGGAGTCATAACATCAAATAGGAGCTGATGTATGGCATAACGATATGGGGAAGCTGTCTATGAAAACGCGTGAACTTCCCATTCTCGAAGATGTCTTCTCGTAATTCTTTACAGTCTGCGAGTTTTTGCTTCAACTCCGAGAAGATCTGCTTCCTTTCCGCTTCAAACGTCCGCCTTGTGCTAACTCCTCGCTCGATCGAGGAGGGCGTCCCGGGACCGGGAGCGGGAACATTGCTGTCGAATGGGAACGCTAAGTGCTTTTCCGTTTCATCAAGCTGTCGCAACATCTCTCGTAGTTCCAGCTTTGCTAGACATGCGACGACGACTGCACCGGCCTGCATAACAGGGTCATCTGCTGCACACTTGCCAAGGCTCTCCACACAACGAAGGGCTTCCTCAGATGTCATTAGAGGTATCAGCAACACAAGTTTTAGAACATCTGTTAGCTTGTTCCCCCGAGAAGGAATCTGCTAAAAGATGGTGTACGAGATGGGTTGAGGGTGCCCATAATGTCATTGGCAGTGGATGCGCTGCCTGTTTATCTCCTTTCAAATCGTTAGAGTCCGGGTTGAGTAGCCTGATGCTGTCAGCATCGCTGTCACCAACCCAGGCACGCATATTCCGACGCAAAGCCCGCACGTACGCGCCATCAGCGGCGTTACAAAGTTGAAGGAAACAGCAGTTTTTCAATGCTTTTACCAACCAAGGAGCCCCTGCCCCGTAGTACTGCACGTTGTCATCTTCCCCGTGGCTGAACTACATTGAGAAAACTCTTTTCACCATACTGATGAAAACATCTTTCCAGCAGGTGCCGACCGAGGCACAGCCGAAGCATTTCAATGCAGCTCTTTCGCCGCTCCGTGCGTTCCAGCCGCAAGTATTCTTCCCCTCGCGCCCCGCCAGCCCTTCCACCAGACCGCACTTCTCTCAGGTACAGGAGGTTAGACGCACAAGAAGAGCGTGTGAGGACTCTGCTCACAAATAGCGTTACGCTTGGGAAAAAGTCACCAGACCCGGAGAAGTCCATGATTCCCGACTTCACTTTGATGATATCTTAGAATGAGCATATAGCATGCGCAGGACCCATAACAGTACCAAGAAGAACTAGCAGCGATGACAGGAAGTAAGGGCCTCGGCTGACTACCGTCTGCGTGTCCGGCGGCCATGGACCCAACAATCGGAGGCTTTTTGCGCGCACACGGCCGATCCAGACGAGAAGCAGGCGGAGAAGCAACTGCAGTCGCGACCACATCCGCCACATGATCGCCCCAACTTCTCTGCTCAGATCAATGTCGGGTCAGTTTCGGATTCACGCGCATGAAATTAACCACAGCTGCACCATAGAGACAACACAGCAACGGGCTAGCATAGCCCTGGACTCCGTCCGTAGCCCTTCAGCTGTGTCATGATTGCTGCTTCGAAGGTTTCTGGTGAGCTAGTCATCCTGACTACTGCCGTTCGCACTGACACACGCACACGGGTTGCAAACAGAATCGCGATCAACGCAGCCCGACAAGTAGAAGCAAGAACGTCCTCGTGTCACCATCACCATGATTATGTTATAGATACTAAGCACTGAGCAAACTACGTTCTTGAGTCGGTGATCATGAACAGGTCGTACTCTATCAGTAAGGTCGCGCAGCGTCACCACACCTTGGCACTAACAAAACGTCTACCAGCTTGATGACCCTGGTGTTTGTGCCACAAAAATCATGCAATTGCGATCAAAACTGCACAAGAGAGGCTGATGTAACTAATCTGGAGGTAGGTCGTGGTGGATCTACCAGGAGACCGCTAAACATGGCGAACAAAGTCACGGGTGTGACGCTTCCGTGATCCACTCTCAATAAAAACGCTGGGATGGCGCTGAGACACCATTGAAAATACAATAATTGCTTATATGTGCATGCATGCTACAAGAAAGAAGTGCTAATCTCTGAGGAATTAACTTCGTCCGTCAGTTGCAGCTTTTCTTTTGCCGCTTCCTCTCTACTTGCTTCAGTCAAGAAAAAACTCATCTTTTCACCACGAGAATTTCCTCCTTCACCTAGTACTCGTGTGATCGATCATCCTGGACTCTCCGTTGCTCCTGTTTTCGCTAAGGCTCTAATATTAATGCTTTTTGTCACGTGCAGTTAACTATCAAAACATCCAAGTAAGTTGCCGGATTTACGAACAGGGTAAGACCGTCACGTTTTCAAGATCATCAAAGCCACAGAAATATAAAACCAGCGGTTTGTTCCAGTGTGGTATCATGGTAGCACCAAAAACCCCTGGCACGCGGGCTTTACGTTTTTCACTGTCTGCAAGAGCTTGTAGATGTTCTTCTCGAGATAAAGCACGCTTGATCTTGGCGGTGAGCTTGACCGCGCAGCTGTTTTCGTCCGCGGCCCTGAACTCATCTGCTGTCATCGCATTCACTTTCTGCAAGGTGCAAACTTCCTTGTCAGTTGAAACTGTCCTCACGCTTTCAGGAAGATCAAGGCTCTCCTCCAGCACTGCACAGGCGCTTCGAGCATCGAACACGAAGTGCCGCACATAAAACCCAAATTGCATCACCAACGGAATAAATTTTGTCACTTCGTCATTTCTCAGTTGTTCTTTCCGGTTCTATTCTGCCACTTTGATTCGCGCGCCTTGGAGGAGGTGCTCACTCACCCGGGATAAAACAGATTTCATCTTGGTAAGTTTGCCGCTGGAGGGCGCGCCGCCTGCTGTTGAAGATGCGGTGGTCGCACCGCCTGAGGAGGACTCATTGTCTACCGCAGTTGCAGCTGGGGCTTTACTATGCTGAGTAGATGATCGTGCCTCACCATACTACTGTTGTAGCACGACTGACAAGAGGTTTGGAAAGTTCACCGGAACTCTTGCCGCTGGAAGAGGCGCCGCCTGTCGTTGAAGGTGCGCTTCTCGATAGTGCATCATTATCTACGTCTACTGTTGTTGATGTTGTTCTAACACAATTCACATGTGCTGCTGGATTCGGTCTCCTCTGTCATGGATTGTGCCCCTCTTGTCCCTCTCCTGCTGTTGAGGTCGTGCTCTCTTGCGTTTCCGACGATGAGGCACTGCTTTGCGATTGTGCGGCGCCTTCACCCCCACAAGATGAAGACTCGAGGCAAGAGCTACATGTCTTCTCGCAAAATTCCACTGTAGACGCCTCGCCACCTGCTGAAGTGATAAAACCAAACTAAGTAAGCGAAGTTGTGCAATGTCATGTGTGTGCCCCTGATGTGACGATTCGTGATCACCGTAGAGTTTTTTTTTTTGCGTTAGGACTATATGCCACCGCCGCCGCCCTTTCAAACAATTAATTAACCCGCTGAACTAATGCCATCCAAGTTACATACTGGGGGCGCATAAGGCCGTACATTCGGCCGCAAATCTACGTATATCGGAGGAGCCGCACATTCGACACCTGTAGAACAACTAAGGCGCAACCCGACGCAGCGGGGCCCCGTGAGCAAGTCAGCACACCTGCAGGGGTATGACACGCCGCAACACAGATGAGTGATTTACTGATGAACCACCTACAGAATTTTTGAAAGTTAAATCAACTACGACTAGCAAACCCGAACTCAGAAAGTCAGGGCTTAGCTAACACTTCTAAGGCCTAAGCGCAGAGATCGAACGTAACTAATAAATAACTTTGGGATCTCGAGACAAAATGGCAGCCGACACAAGGTCAAAATCAACCTCTAGCAATCTATCTTGTTCTTTATCTGATTACATTCTTAAATAATCACGCAGATGCATGGGGAGTCATCTATAATCTGTTGTTTGGAAGGGCTAAACGCTAGAGGTAAAAACGAACCGGTTGTTTTATTTAGTGCTTTGAGCGCCGCTGGACCTAAATCTTTATCTTTGTCGTCCACTATCTAAAACTAACACCATCCAATGCATGGCAGAATCGATGTGAAATCGAACGAAAAGGACAACAGATGACCCCCTACCAAAGCCAAGCTAGCCATGAAGAATAATAGCCCTAGTCGTGAAGGATATTAGCTGAGAAGGAGGATAGCTATGAAGAATAGCAGCTGTGAAGGATGTCCATGAAGTTCAAGTTCATGCGACAAGAATCGGTAATTATACCGTCAGCACGTCTCTCCTCCAGAACATCTTCAGCACGTCTCATCTCCATATCTTCGCCTCCAGTCGACATCACTCGAAGCACTGGCACGATTCCGATTGATGCCATTTTTTGCACATTGTTCATCACGGAGAAGAGATCCTCCGCCCAGTCTGCTACACGAGACGATGAGGGGAAGACTGAGGATGCTAGTATCGGCGGATGCGTCAATCAGGTTTGCTTGTAATGTGGCATCTAGATTGTAGTCGTCGTCGCTACCGCAAATGTAGAACCACATGGCTATGAGGAAAGAGAGGCAAAGGAAGCCGAGGACTACTGGAGATAGTTGAAGCAACCAGGTCGTCGAGGATACAAGATTGGTAGCGACGAACGCGATGGATGCAGAAAAAAGCTCTCGTGTTGCATAATCCTGGAAACCCATTTTTGCGTCGTCGTCGACGTCCGCATTGGTGTTCGTAGTATGACTTCTTTCTCCTGAGTCTTCAGTTTCACGTTCACGTTTACACTGTTCACGTTCAGCCTAGTTTTGCATGATTCTACATGTTCATGTTGTTCTTGGTCTAATATTTTTCCCTTTGCTTTTTTTACGTCTAGTTCTGACTTTCTGAAGATGGTCTTCTTGTCGTGCTTAGTCCTCTGTTCACCATGCTGCGCTTCCTCCTCCAAGGTCCCATGAAGCATCGCGTTGCATTCGTCAGCATCTTCTTTAGAGTTCGCCTCCATCTTCTTTGGTTGACAATTTTGACGCGGACCAGTTGTAGAAGCATCGTCCTCGTCATTGTTGCTGCCAGCAACTTTTCTACTCCTAGTTGGACGAGGACTGTCGCCTCTACTTGGACGACTGGACATGATTTCTTCTCTTCTCGATGTTCTTCTCGTCTCAATATTCTGATTACTTATGTGTTGTGTTTGAAGGGATATAGTCAAAGGAAGATAAACCGGTTAAATGTTTTAATCAATATTGATATTCTGACTATTATTATTATTATTAGGAGAAGGATAGACGGATACCCACAGACCTACAGACGGCCAGGGGGCGGAATCTGAAGCACAGCGACGCGTTAAGCCGCAGATGCAGGGGTGATTATGGAAAGATCAAAATGATGATGAAAAGTCGTCCATTCATCTTCTGCTTCTCTCAACTCCACGTTAACGAAATTTTTCTTCACAAGAAGATTGCAAATTTCCTAGTTCCTGCAAAGCGTCTTGCTGAAGCAACTACGTCAATATATAGCTCAGAAGATGAACTCCATCGATCATCATGTAGATGCTTAGCTTTAGCTTCTTGCTGGCTGCCAAAATGCCATGTCGTGTCATGCTACCTCTGTTCTCGGCCTGGCTATCGAGGTTGCGGCTTTTCAACAACCTTGCACCTTCAAAAGAAGACGATGAACAAGGCAATCGAGCGATACACTAGCAAGGAGAACCATGTGTGGACACGGATTGCGACCACTGCCACGGCGTTACTCAACACCTTCAAAACCGCCAGCCGCTAGTTGCTTTCACGACGCGCAACCAGAAGTAAAAAATCATGCTTACCTCCGAAGACAGTTGAGCCTACGGCCACACGACTACTCGCGACATCCTACTTCCGTAAACCTAAGCTCCTACATGACTTTGTAACTACTACCAAAAAAGTACTACTCAGTGTCAGTTTCATATCAAGATATGCTTGACTTTCATAATTCACTTGCATTGTCATCTACGACGCTGTGATGCAAACTAAGCAATTATTATTGAGTATCTGAGTGTGTCAATCTATCCAATTAGCTAGCAGCAATATCATATTCTCTTCATAGGCCAGAGAAAGGCTCTGGTGGCCCTGAAGCGAGTGTTGTAGCAAATTCATATATTTATATGATCCAGGGCTTGGGGCTGCCGGTACCCCCCCCGAGCGTGGAGGGGGGTACCGGCAGCCCCGGACCCCTTTGGGAGGCGTCTGCCAGGGGTGGAGGGCCTCAAAAGGGGGCCAAGTGGGCGCCTTCGCTCCCTTCCAGGTGCTTGGCTCTCCCTAGAGGCCTCCAACGTAAGGAGGTGGCAGGCCTCTGAAGGCGGCAAAAGCCGAGGGGCTGGACCCCCTGAGCCGTGCAGCTTGTTCCCTCCGGGCCCTTGGTCATTGGCTTGCTTGCTCTTGCGACCGTGGCCGCCCTCGGCGGCCTTTTACCCCGGAGACCTCCCGCCTGCGAGGGTCAGCAACGGCCAGGAGGTCCCGGAGGAACCGGCTGAGAGGCTAAAGGGGAGACCCGCGCCAAGTTTGGACGCCTTTCCCCACTAGATTCCGCGCCGAAATGCGCGCGGAAAAGCGCGCGCGCGCGCCACCACAGACCAGACCACAGGGGGGGGAAGGGGGGGTACCGCCCAGCCCTAAATCATATACACAATTTGTATATGCGTACAGGAGAACGAGAAACCCTACGTTGACATAGTTGTCATTTATGCGGTATGTATCCATTTTTCTTGTCTGTAGTATTCTAGACCGAGGTATCTACACTACATGAAGATTATGACTCTAGTTTTTGTATACAACAAGTAGACCAACAGCACGAAAATGAACTACACCGTTTCTTCGTTTTTATGACGATCATCAATATGCATGATGAAACTTTAACTGTATTCCCTTTTTTCCTTTTACTAAACAAGGGGATTGTTACTTCCACTTTTTACTATGCATTCACTTTACCAACCATATCAATCTAGTAGTAAAACTTGCCGCATCGCGATGCATGCCCCCTGTCGCGTATGCTTCATCCCTCTTCCAGCAGAGTTGACGCGTAAGCTTGCGTTACACGACTCTGCGGACCGAGGGGCGCGACCACGTTTTTCACTACGCCGCGGGATTTCGGCGAAGGCGATGGTGAATAGAGATTAGAGTACGAATACTTATACTAGTAGAAGTAGACTGCTTGGTGGAACCGCGAACAAACGTAAGTATAAGTTGTAGAGAGGACCAGTCTCTTCGGAAGATCCAGATTCATTTGGATTCCGTCGCGATGTAGGAGTAGGCTCTGATCGACTTATACCCAATATCAATCGGCTATGCACCGATTTGTAGAAGAGACTAGTCGCTAGAAATCACGATACTGCGTCAAATATGGGGTATTGTAAAGACTGCTCGGACCACATGTTGAACTTCACGCGATGTAAAAAATGCACGAGCGAACAAGTTTTGGAGTCCATAATCATGAGGTAGCTTGGCAGAAACGCTTTTACTTGCGCTTGCTTCTTTTGCTCGGTAAGCATAGCGGTCATTGCTGCGATGTTCTCCTTCCTCTGCAGATTCGCGCACATTCCACAAATCAGGTAGTTCTCCTTCAAATCACTCGTGTACCACCTGGCATTATAGATGATGCAACATGAAATGTCTCATTTGTCTCAGTGAAACACGACACCACCAGCAATAATCTTTGACGTTCGTTTTCAACGATCGTGATCCTCTATCTAAAGTTAGTACGCAGTCTTATCGCACAGGTTGTCGCTAGAAATTTTGCATTTTTGACACACAAAGCCTCCCCCGAGAGCATAGAAAAACGGCGTCGCCCTCAATTGCGCCAAGCTTACGGGCTTCAGACCGGTATATCATTAGAAACAAAGAGTATGGAGGAAAAAGGTGGATCAAGTGGTAGTCGTGCGTTCAGGTGAATGTTTATGACATTCGTTTGCCTTCGTTCTCAGATTATCGAGTACCTGGCTGATCCCGCGCGCGGCGAGCCCGAAGGGAGCCTCTTGATTGATTGATTGATTGATTGACTGACTGACTGATTGATAGACTCACTGATTGACTGATTGATCGAAAATAGCGATATTCCTCAACATAACCCATTGGTGACAGCGCACACGCCTCTGCTTCAACCCATTCTGCCTCGCCTTTCCCCAGTTTCGCGAGACCACCTAGGGACTCCGCCATCATGTCCACCGAGATCTGATATAATTGGATGTCGTGGACTCTTTTTTGCCGATGAAATTCAAAATTCGTTCATGATCATGGTTGAGCCTCATAAAAAATGAAAGACTAAGTCGTTCCATCAACTACGACAGTACTAATGTCAGTATAGGCTTGCTTAGTAGAGAGAAGTTCTTGGAAGACAGCTGGCTCCTAAAAAACGTAGTAGAGAAACAAATAATCATTAGTACGTGCTCCGCTTCTCCGAGCGCCTCCCCGTAGGGCATTTTCCAGCTCATAACGGACTCCATGAATTAGCGGTAGTTTTTCACTATTCTTGGTCGAGTGAGTTGGCTTTTCCCCCTTTATCTTCTCCTTCAGATCAGGGGGTATCTCACCCAGTGTTGTAGTCCACTCCACATGGGATAGTGATAAACTACCCTTAAATGAGCACTGAGAACTCGTCAAAGTCGATCGCCCCACTCCGATCTGCGTCGTAGACCTTGAATATGTCGCGTACAGCGCGCATCGAAGAATCCTTGCCGATCGAGGCAAAAAAATTGAGAAATTCGTCAAAATCGATCGTCCCATCCCCGTTCGTATCCATGCGATTGAAGAGGACGCGCATCTTCGACAAGAACTTGCTCTTGGCTGGTGACGCCGCACTAGAGAAGGTCGGCTTTTGCAGAGACTTTTTGGGGCTCAGCATGCCTGGTGTTTCCGCCATCGAGATCGTTTTTCCGAAGGAAAGTTGACGTGCAGTGGCGGGAGTTGCAAAGCCGCTCTGGTAACCAGAGCCCTGCTGGAACATGGTAAGTCCTGGACTTTTTGGGTGGTAGTCCTCTTTCGTAGGAATTTCGACAGAGAGAATCTTCGGGCTGCCACGACTACTGGAGGGGCATTCGCTCTCAGGCGAAAACGCCACGCCATGACTCTTCGCGACTGTCATCTCTTAGAAGATTTTCTGCGCTTATATATTTATAATGTTCTCACTATACAATACAACGCTCTTACAGGTACTCTCATCTCTACTGATTTTGATTTTTGAAGTTGTAACTAATTATACTCCTTCTAACTACTTATCTTCTCACCGTGTCTGTTGTCCTCTCCAATAACTCACATCTTTTCACGCCAACAGCCGGTGCCGGCGAGACGTGAAGCTGCAAAAATTGCGTATTACATAGATTATTCAATTTTTATCGTCATCAACGATCCTATAATATACTGTTTCTTCACTCTCTCTCTGCCTCTACTCTATGCGCAATTATCACTCTGCCGACTCTTTTTCTTTTCCCTCTCGCTCGATGAAAATAGGGCAAGCATGACAATGAATTCCGCTGGAGTACATGTAACTGCTGCTCAATCTCTTTCACATTCGCGCCCTGATTGATTGATTGATTGATTGATTGATTGAGTGATTGATCGTTGGACCGATTGGTTGATGTGCCTGGCAAGAGGTAGGCTTAATTGTTGTGCAACTAGCTACTTTTCTTCTTCTCTTTCTTTTTTCCTTCTTTGCATTTTCCCGAAAGAACGACTTCGAAATCCAGAATCTACCTCCTGAAAGGGCACAGTAAGTCACATGTGGTAAGAAGTCATCGTCCTTGGCCAGCACTGTTGATATTTGCACCACCTTGTTCGCAGGTACATGCGATGCCATGCTCATGGCGCGCAACAAACAGAATAGTCGTGAGGTGTTGTTTGAAGGAGAAGAAGATTGGGAAAAAAGTATGAGCAGATGTTGAGTGTTATCTAGTAAGATCAGAAAATAAAGCTAAGTCTTTGGCTTGAATGTTGACGATGCGTTTGTCCTAACAGACCTGAAAAGGAATCATTTTGCGACGCCTTACCTTATTTCTACAAAACTTGACAAGTGAGGGGATGATGAGCAGTTATTGAGCAGTTCACTGCTTCCATCATAATTATGATCATGATGAGGTCATCGATGCCTTGCGGACACTATCACCTTACTGAAAAATGTCAGTGAAGTTGCTAGCCGCACATTATGAGAAGAGATTTCAATCTAGTGGTCTACTCTTCGGTCTGCGCCTCGCAGCGGTGCTTGAGCTCGAACTACATGAAAAAATGAATGTGAACAGAAAGAACGTGCTTCAGCAATATGAGTCACGTTATTTATGCTTATATCTATATCGAGACGAGTGCGCCTCCGCTGCTCGCGGTCTTCCTGGTTACCCAGATTCTGTTCGAATTGAAGTTTATCCAACAAAGAGGTAGAAGTAAATTTCGAAACTTTGTTTTCAATGCATGACTTTGTTTTTGTATACAGCATAGCCAGAGGATCTGTGCTTTTTCATTTTCAATACACTTTGTTGCATACATATGGAGCCAAAAGCAAAATCTCTTATCTATCATCCTCAAGTTTCTCAGGTAGAAAATAAGAGTGACAACGATAATAGAACATAGGATTTTACATCATGGAGTTGCCCCTTCCATTTTCCCGTCACTCATCTGTGACGAGCCCTTCGAGGCAGATCTTTCCTCCAGCATATCGACATCATTAGCGCTTATGGAGCCGCACCGGAACTCAAAATCGTTTTTGCTTGGCAGTTCATTCATCATGTTCGCATATAATTAGAGTTAGAAATAGACGCGAAAAAAAAAATACGAGATGAAGAGCTTTTCATATCAACCCTGTTATCATTGCTAAACACGAAAAAATGAAACGATTGACTCCATAAGCGGAAAACAAGCCCATCGCCAGCTTGGAGATATTTTTTCTTCGTAGTAGTTGACATAAAGGTTATACCACACACAAACTCCAATCATATTTAATCTCATTGATGAAAATGAAGGAAAACAAAGCTGAAAATCTTAATTTTCTACGTTGCGTAGATCGCCTTCGTCCTCTTTGGCACAATAATCTCCGTCTGTTTTGTCACGACACGCATATTTCTTCTCTTCATCGACTGACCTAGAGTGGCCATTCTGGACACCCTGTGCGGGCCTTCCCACCTCTTCCTTCGAATTTCCTCTCATTGTTGCCGGTTGAGCCTGTGGTCCCGCATCAGCTGCAGCCTCGGGATAAAAGTTCATCCGCGCGGCCGCGCCAGCGCTTTTATGGATACCGTTGGTAGTTGCTTGGCTCAACAGCTCCTTAGAAAAATTAAAATTGATGAATCAGGTGGGTGGCGTATGTCAGTACTTAGACAAAAACGGACGCGATGACTAGACCTAGCTGTTCACACAATCTTCACAGTGGAAAGATATACATAGTTAGTAATTCTTGATTTCAAATAATGGTGTATGAAATAGATTTCAAATAAAGACAAATCTCTGTAGATCTGCGGGTTCTTAGCGTATTTTTAAGCGTTGCGCGTCCTCCTCTATCATGAATTCTTCTTGTTCTACTACCGGAATGGTGAAACATAATCTCATGTGCCTCTGCATCTCGCTCAACGACTCTTCTTGTGTCGGCAGCTATAGGTGGAGCGTCCAAGCTATAGTTCTCCTTGTCCACGGTGTGCTGTCCCTGTCGAGCAACCACATCCACAGGGGGGATGGCATTTTTCTGCTCATTCTGCGCCGCTTGTAGTGGCACCTCCGCTCGGCTCGCAACCACCTTGTTCACAAAAGACTGCTGATTGGAGGTGGGCTCTTGTCCACCCTCACCTTCTCCGAGGTCTAATTCCGACTCAAGTGGCTGAGGTTCACGGAAAAAACGAGATTTCTGGTACGCGTTCCAGTCCCCATGAAAGACATCGACATACTGCCAGGAGAGGCGTTGACTTGCCAAGGACTCTTCGGCATCGATCTCTTCAGGACGTAAATCTACCTCTTCTTCGCCAGGTAGTGAGTCCACTTCTAAGCCCACTCGGCACACCGCCGACTCGTCTCCAACCTTTGGATTCAACACGCCGTGGAAGTGGTGAAACAGTGCCCAGACCCTTGCGTTCACGCCCATAAAATCGACTTTCACCCGCAGATTGCGTCGCGGCCGCACTGAGAAGTCGTTCGCCTTACTCGGCAACTCGAAAAGACGGTAATTCGTCACCTTCAAGGGATGAACCATATCTCCTATGTCAGCGCAAGGCTCGCTCTTCACATACCGTTTCCAATTTGCGACCCAGGACGCATCAACGAGGTACCTGTTTCAATTTCAATAAATTCATTTTTTGCGGAGTGTGAGCTGCATCAAGAACAGAAGCTGAGCGACAACTGTAAGTACACAATTTGTTGTTCTCCGTGTCGTTGAAAGAGCTAGAGGATGTACTTCCCAAGTTTTTCTTCTAAAATCTATAAACAAGACGGATTACTAGTACCAAAATTGTCCGTCCCCTGTATCCTTCGTGTCGTACTTCTGGACGAGCTTAAGTTCCTGCGCCCTTCGGAAGTTGTAGGCATCTATGTAATCAAGACTTTTCTTGCATATGCCGATTTTTCGTAATGCGGGGCCACCACCATATTGTCGCTGCAAGGCTTCGAAAACTTCTGCGCATATGGGCAGAAATTTTTCGCAGACCACCGACAAGCGGGTACATCCCACATAGCCGTGAGGTGATAGTAGCAAATGGTTGTCCAAGGGACCAGGCTCTGCCATGGTGCGACATCGGGGCTATTAGAAAATAAGATAAAAGCCACTAGTACAAACAGTACAATCTTCCTTCCTTACGGCTTACTGTTACTGATAACTAGGACTAGAGCTAGACGTATCTTTCAACATTGTCTTTGTCGACCCTACTCCCCAAGAACAACTACCGCTAATTCTGATCTTTGTCATAAACATACCAACGACGACTGATGAAAGCAACGGCGCCTAGATCTGGTGGTGGATTCTGATAAATCTCACCAAGGTCAAGAGGCTTAGGTCCCTTAGGGTCGTTCCGCTGCTCACAGCTCCGTAGGCTCAACCTGATGTTACTATTTCCTTGTCGGAGAGGAAACGGTTGCTGTATTTCAGCGTCCTCCAACGAGTCTTGGGTACAGAATAAAAATCGAAGTATATATTCTTACAACGAGATGATGAAGATGAAGAACGATAACACCTTAACTCTGAAATAACTCCCGGGTAGGCTTTTTATGAACGCTGACATAAAGCAGTCATTACCTCATCATCTCCAGGATGCGTCTCTGCAGGTCTTTGTATGATGTCTTTACACGTTTTCGCTCTTCATTCTGGTGATCTAGTGGGATTTTCTCGTAGAAGAGAACATAGGGCTCTGCATGTTTTATCTGCTCTTCCGTCGCTGATGTTACTCGCGAGTCATCGTATTCGAACCTGTAATAAGGTTGTTCGTCAGAGAGCGTTGCTCCTTTTGCACCTGGTACATAGAACGAATGCTAGAAGTATAACACTGTATTGAAATCTCGTAGAGATGTACTCAGCGCGACCGCTGAAAGCGCCGAGTCCTCATCTAGTTCTACTTCTGCTCAATCACCAGGATCATGATGAATCAATTTGAAGCTCAGGAGTAGATCAAGATCCACCAGATTTTTGTACCATTCATTTGGTCTTTTTGCGTGTCTGCAGTAGGCGATATAGTGCCCACCACCCATGTTGCCGCTGTGCTGAATCAGACCGATCAAGCGATACTTCGTCTGCTGACTCGAGGAGGAAGACCCTGTCTGCTCACTAGACGCGGACCTCGTCGACACCGCAGCAGTGGTATCAATGAAGAGACGAGGGAGATATAGACGAGGTGGACATGATAGAAGAGGAGTCAGATCTAAGTACTCGCGAATGAGCGATCTACAAGCATTACCTGTAAGAAAACTAACCCATTGAGCGAGGAGTCACAATACCATAAATGGAGGTGCAACTACGCCATTGCCTCTTGCAATAGGCGAGGACGCATGACTTTGTGGCGCGTGAGGGTCTAAGTAAGGCTTCATATCGAGGCAATCGATGGGGAAGCTCACTGGTTTTGTGTTTTTGTTGCCGAACCACCCCTGATCATACCTGAAGCGCTTCATTAGATGGACAAAAATAATCTCGTAGGCCTTAGAATTCAAGAAACGATCCTTCTTCGAAAAAATGAAAAAATTCGTTGTATCTTGTGCAAGAGCACCGACTCATCTGCAGCGTACGTCCGTAGAGATCATTTTTTGTGAGAGAGAGTAAACTATATATAAAGAGTCCTAAGGTTTTCATTGGGATGGAAGAGAGCAACAGCAAGAAAAGGTACTAGGAGACTCTAAAGGGTATTATAGTGGACAGTACTAGGGAGTGTTGCTCGTGTGGAAAATCTTACTAATACCTTCTCGTATTCTGTTAACAGGATAGCGTTTCTCCTAAAAAAAGAAGAAAGGTAAGGTCAGGGGAAAGCCCATGATAAGCACCTCCTGCAGGCTTTCCTCCCGTCTCCAAGTCATATCGTCCACATATGACTATAAAGGAGAACCCTGTTTTCCGGAAAAAAATAAAAAAAAACCGCCCTCATCTCTATATGCCCAAGTTTGTCGTGATATTCATGTCGAGTTTCTATTGCGACTACCATGACAAAAAAACGGGGCTGCAAGGCACTAGCACTTGTCACATCCAAACGGACACATCAAAAACACAAGCATCTTCTAAGCCGCGACATAGGCATCTAGAGAGTTCAGGAATTAATATGGGTACTTATTCTACCAGCCATAACTTCAGGTGAATACAGAGTACTTCTGGGAGCTGGCGGATGTACAGAATTTTTTCGCCATTCGTTTTTCTCTTGCACTTTTCGCAATCATACTTTTCGCTTCCTGTAAGTTGCTCGGGTTCGCAAAACTTGCGTATGCAGTCGTCGAGTCCAATCCCACGTTCATAGAACAGATTCTGCACATTTCGTCCTAGATTTCCGAAAAATGACGCCACTCGATTTGTGTTCATCTGCAAAAATTAGAGGATGCGGGAATGATGAAATCAAAGTAATGACGCATTAACGGACTCACGTAAATGTGTACAACTTACTGCAACAAAGTTCTCAGCATCAGCATGAGGTCGTCTCTGCGAAAAGATCTCACCACGCAGAACTATGGTATCTTCACTACAATGACCACCATGGGCACCATCATAAGCTTGTGACGAGCCTGGTCTAGAACCAGTGCTACCTCTAGTCGATGAAGAGGAGCCTCCTTGTTGCGCAGTTCCCATCTGCATTTCGTCACTCGGAACTGGCTCCGCTGGGATCGGCACACTAACGTCAAAAACAGGGTCGATCTGGGTCATAGTATGAAATGGTGCAAGCAGTGAGAATTCTTGAATATGAGGAACGGACACGGAGTTCCTTAACCTTAATTGACGGGTGTCCGCCGAATGGCGAGGTGAATACAGCCACGGCCACAAAAAAACCAATGCACGAGTCCTACCAAATCATACACTGTAGTCAAAAAGAGAAAGGGCTGTGATACCTTATGCGACTTGTTTCGACATTCTGTGCACGTGATAGTGGAGCAAATCGTTCCCCCAAACACCTCAGAGACGATGGAACTGTCATGATATAAAGCTTCCTTCTCTTCGCTTTCCCCCACGGCAGGAAAATGCAAAGGAATCGCCTGATCAAGATGGTGGAAAAACAAGGTTGAATTTTAGTGGCTAGGTATTTGTATTTGTTGAGGGCAAGACATCAACATCAAATGTTTGTTTCTAAAAAACGAAGAGATCGGGGAACGGATGATATCAAATCCAAATGTTCATCAACTGAAGATACCCTTCGCCTCGTGGGTGAATTCGCGACGTCTTGCTCATAGTTTTCCTCATAGTCGAGAGCGCTGAGTCTGCATGGTGGATAGATTGCAAGCGACCGGTGGTCCTCGTAATCATCTTTAGAGCATGGCGTACAATGACAATCTTGTGATAGCATTTATAAACAGTTCGAAAGCTAGTAAAATGATAGCAATACGCTGTGGAACTACACACTAACACAGACAGTAGCAGTACCGTGAATACAAAAACTGCTGTCACTGGCCTTAACATGAGCAGCGAAGTACTTCGGAATCTTTCGTTTCAATTCCTCATGCACACAGTCTAGTAACATCCGCAGAAATTCCTGCGTGTCGTGTTGCTGCTGACCCAGGTACATCGCGTTGTAACCCGCAAGCTGGCGGACGAAGTCGATGGCTTCGCATGGCCGTCCATCAAATGCACTGCCCCACTGTCGTTCAAACAAAACAAACAACTCCCAGACCTGAGGTGGATGAACATCGGTAGATGTTGTAGTAGGAATAGTGCTTTCATATTCTTCCCACTGGACCACTAGTGCCGACTCTATTTTAAACAAGAATATGTGCTTGATGATGTGCTACTAGTGCGACGTCACCTCTCCCAGCACCCAGAGACTCGTGAGCATAACAAGGAAAGTACTCAATGCGATCCAATTCACGGTTTAAAAACCAGTCTCCTCGAGCAAGACGCTCTCGCATCTGGCGGGTTGCCCATTGCAGCCGGGCCGCACTTTCTCATCCATTTTTGGAACGCTTTCGCATGTGATAAGCACTGTAAAGCGGAATTCGCATAGCAGGTATTTCCCAAATTGGCAAGACCGATACATCCTTTACGTGGATCCTTGGTCGATCTGGATCCACCAGATCTGTGGTTGTTCAAGTACATTCTGCCGCTCGATGCTCCGCGAGGCTGGGAACGCTGGTACGTAGTTAGTCGCGGACGATCGATTTACAAGCTTTTGCGCGTTAGGTTCGGAGTCGAAGAACAGCGTACTTAGTTATCCCTACTGCTACAACCCCCAGCTTCGACACCTGCTAGATCGACGAAAAATCTCACTTAACCTCATGCGCTTAGTTTTATGACTAGCTTCATCAGCACGTCCTAGAACGAAGTCGACATCCGCTTTTTTCGCGTCTTTCACCTTCTCCTTCGCGTTTCCAGTACGCCCGCTTCGAGATGTCCTTGTTAGTGTTGATAGGTAACAAAGTTCTCCTTCACCTCCTGTGGTGCGCCGAGAATGCTTTTTATGTGCATTTGCTCGACGGTCTGGTCATTTTTTCGTGCTCGTTTGCGTTGACTTGCAGTTGTAGTCACATAGTCGAATCACTACCCGTGTTGTGCGGGACTATGAAGCGCATCTGCTTCCAACAGAAGCACGCGAATCGCGTTGCAGGTCTGGAATGCGGTGCAAGTTTCTTTCTGCTCCCCTTCTGTCGTCTCTTCTTAGTGTGCGTTCGGCAGAATCGTAGCTACAATTAGTCGTTTGAGCGATCTTTCATTCCGGTTCCGATACTTAGTTTCTTGGTGCGCAGTCCGAGCCCAAAAACTACTGCTGGAGTTGCGTCTTGCTATTGATTGGCCTCCGGGCTCCACCTCCGCTAGCGTAAATCCAAAAATTATACGCCCTGCAGAGGACACGAAGCTCCCTGTGCTCATTCACCACGATTATAATTACGAATTATGTAGTCCGCCGACAACACTTCCAGTGACTCCTTTCCCACAACATGCTTGGTTCGCTCGTGACCCTCTTCACACCACGCAAGGTTTCTCGCCTACCCAAGGATGAAAACGTCATTTTTTCTAACGTTTTTCATCTCTTCGAAATACCGCCACAGGTTAATGTTCCACGGCATCGGGTATCGACCACGCTTTAGCGGACTTTGGGCAACTCAACTGGGCAGAACGAAACGCAGCACCATGTTTACCATCAATTCCATGTCCCATCCTTCTTGTCTCACTCAAGTAGAGTCGTACTCAACTACTCAAATGTATTGAGCATAGTAGTCGGACACCCGACTGTTCTTGTTTCAAGACTCTACGAAGGCGCAGACGATATCTTTCCGCTCCATACGATCACGCAACAATATGAATACTTGCCCAACAGGGGCCCGCCGGTGCCCGAGGCTGAAAACGAGACAGATAAGAAAACCAAAGACAGGGACAACGCCCTAGCTTGCCGTTACCACGCGAGGCCAGCGCATCACCCGCATTATAGAAAAACAAACGAGCAAGCTGCATAAGGGTAAGCGAGCGGCCTGGCGATAACTCGGGAAGCCATAGCCGGCGACTTAGCGTTAGCAGGCTGAGCCTTGCACGCCATAACCACCCAGCTGACAGCTAGCTCGGAAGCCATCGCCAGCTAGCTCGGAAGCAATTATAGCCAGAGAGCTTAGAAGCCGGAGCCAGCTAGCCCCGAAGCCCTAGCCGACTAGCTTAAAAGCCACAGCCAGCTAGCTTAGACCCCCTAGATGCCTAGGCTGGGAATCAGAGCCGCTAGCGCCGAGAAGCCATCGGCAGCGAGCTTAAAACCTATAGCCCGCCAGCTCAGAAGTTATGGTCAGCTTGCTAGCTTACTTAGAAGCAAGCCAACGGGTGCCAGGGCCAGCTTGCTAGCTTAGAAGCCATGGCCAGCCAGCTCAGAAGCCAGGGCCAGCTAGCTCAGAATCCTTGGCCAGCTAGCTCCGGAACCTCTTTGGCCAGCTAGCTCAGAAGCTTTGGCCAGCTAGCTCCGAAGCCTTGGGCAGCTAGCTCTGAAGCCCTGGCCAGCTAGCTCAGACCAGAAGCCTTGGGCAGCTTGCCAGCTTTCTTTCTTCGAAGCCGACGGATGCCATGGCCAGCTAGCTTCGAAGCCATGGCCCGCTACCTTAGAAGCCATGGCCAGCTACCTTAGAAGCCATGGCCAGCTAGCTCAGAAGCCTGGCTTAGGCAGCTAGCTGGCTCAGAACGAAGCCTAGGCCAGCTAGCTCGGGAGCTTGGGGCAGCTTGCTGCCTTACTTAGAAGCCAAGCAACGGACGCCGTGGCCTGCTAGCACTAGCTTAGAAGCTATGGCCAGCTAGCTTAGAAGCAGTGGCCAGCTAGCTCAGAACAGAAGCAGTGGCCAGCTAGCTCAGAACTCGGAAGGAGAGGGCTTTAGTAGGAGAGGGCTGTAGTAGCCAATTTCTATTACAGCGCCTTCCTTAAGGGTGGCCGCATACCTTTAAGGAACGGGAAAAAAGTACGTAACAACTATAAATGTAAGTATCAATATTTTCGAATTGGTATATATAATACGTACAACGCAGGTCGTGATGTCCGTTTTTACAACTGTAGAGAAAATTGTATAAAGCAGTGGTCCTCCCTCGCTCTGAAAGTGACACTTTCTCCTGCGTTAAGACAGGAGGACTTTGTTCTCGATGATCCCGCTGACTCCAATGAAAAATACTCAAACTCAACGGCGTGACTCGTGCTTGAGTGCTACAAAATCTTCATCTCATGTTCGCTGTGTTGTACTGCATCAAACTTTGCTCATCGTTGCTACGCCTGCAGCGCCTGCTTAGGCTTAGCGAACCTCTTCTCCACAAATCAGAACGTCCCCATCTCCTATTGTACTAAAATTCTTAGATATCGTCCCTCATGTCGAGCATGATTTCGACGATGATGTTGCTATTCTTTATTCTGAACGGTTAGCGTCTTAATGTGGCAGGATGGAATTGGAGCAAGATCGCAAGGCCTTGCTGAGCGACATGGAAGTTACATGATCTCTGTCATGTTCTTGTGTCATATGTTTTTCCGATATGAATTGTCTACAGTACTACATGTGAATATTTCATCAGATTTTTTTCAATTCAACGTGGCCCTTTCCGCCTCTAGTGAATCTTCCCTGTTCGTCTCGCTAGTTTTCTTCGCCATTTTGTGCTGGGGTTTCCTATGATTTGGCGCCGACGCTTATGCCAATGTCCCTTATGCTTTCGGCACTCGATGATTGCGGGATAGTTTGCATCCCTATCCTCGATGAGCAACTCAATGTTGTACTCCGATACCGGATCTGATGTGAATTGTATTTGTTTTATGCAAATTGGTCTTAAGCAAAAACTATCTTCACTGGTTGTCTAAGGGAAGACTAGGAGTGCACAAACATCACTTTCAGTAGGAAGCAGGTGGAAGGTAGCAACTAAGGAACACTGAATCTCTCCCAGTCTAATCTACTTGTGCAATGGACAACCGCAATTTCTAGTACCTGTATCGAGATCCACGTAGTCCGCGCGCAGCTCCACCGATGCTCCTAGTAACTCTTCACTGTCTTCGTCGTGTACTGCAACATTTGGTTGTATTTCTCCCCGCAAAGAAATTTCTCGGTCAACGCCTGCAGATGAAGTCTTGTTGCTTGGTGCCGGGTTTACGACCGAAGAAGAAGTCGATACAGCCTTCCGCCTTCTGCGATGAAGCAATGTTATTGCCTTATCCTCAGGACTACGAGACGAGATTGTGTCCCTCGCGCTTACGGGAATGGCATGTGTTGATGTTCCTGTCTCGTCTTTTTCGCCTTCGAACAAAGTGCTCAACGTCCCTCCTTTTAATACTTCATCTGTAGCATGCAACTCTTCGGATGCACTACCTGTAGTTGTAGTGACCACCCCTACTGCTGGATCAGCTTTCTCTTTCTCACTTATTTCAGCTGATAGTGAAGAAGCAGGTCGTTCACTCTCATCCGTGGCGGTCGTCTTACGAACTTCATCGCCTCTTGTTTCTCTATGAGGCTCATCGGCGTGCAGCAGTTCCGATAGTTTCTTCCTGGTCGTATTTGTCCTAGCATTCTTCTCTCCTGCTCCTGGAGACGAAGTGGAGGCGGCACCAGCATGTGGTCGTGAAACAGGGAGGCCACTTTCATCACCTCGCATGTTCTTCGAACTGGCCGAAAAAGTCGATGTTGAGAATGCAGATGAAGAACTCGAGGCTGACGCTACAGAGGACACCAGTGAAGAGCGTCCTGGTGGACGTTGTCCTGAGCCTCCTGGGGCGTCTCCCACAAGATGACCAGGTATATCACGATCTACGGCTATGTCGAACGCTTCGATATTCACGGACTCCAGTGGCGCTGCTTCGCGTCCTTCGACTGGTAGAAGCCGATTCCAATCACGGTTTGCGTGCATGTAACTTAGATACTCCTGTCGCGTTTGTCGTTCGAGAAGCAGCTGTCCCCGACCTGCTGGATCCAAAGGCTGCGGTATTCGCACATATCGGACTCTCGACGAGGAGGCACCTTGCTGAGAACCCCGCCCAAGATAGGCAACACGGATCGCAGCAACCCGTGACAGAAACAGTTTAGACGAACTCTCCGACATTTTTGTGATTCAAGCTCTAAGAAACTGAAACAGACGAAGGAGGGTTAGGGTACTTACTTGGTACTTGTTCCAGTATGAAAATCGCGACGTCCTCTTTTGCGTGATGGACATGATAGGGAAAGGACTACCTCCAGCTAAATCGCATGATGTTCATGTTCGTCCTCTAGTTGCAACAGGCTAGCCTTAGGTTAGCAAAAAGATATTGATATAAAAATGTAAATATCATGGACTGATCAAGACCAGCATCAAAAATATTGAGGTGGGGCACACAATGGTTCTTTTCCAATTTCATGGCGCAATTGATATGAAACTACAACAGTTTCGGCTCAAGGTTGGTGGCTCTATTCTACATCCCTCCCGCTCGCTGCTTTTTACCGACAGAGATGCTGAAGTGGATTTCATCTCATTATACATTATTTGAGGCGGTGCTTGATCAAGATATAGACTGCGTGACGCCGCCCACTCGTGGGACGAAGGAACTACACGAAAATGAATACTTGTAATTACTAGGAGCAGTTTCACGCAGATGAGAACAAGGCAGATGTGGATGGCCTTACAACTACTGCTTTTTTCTTGGCACGCTGCTATTTCTCATTCTCAGTCTCACCCTACAGCATTATGCACACTTATTTTCGAGCATCAAGATCAACAACACCCAATCACAATTCCTAATGATGTACATATTCAAACACAACAACATCATGAGCGAAGCGCGGAAAAAAGAGCCCCACTCGAAAAAGTAGATTGTGCATGATTTTTCGTCCAGCAGTTCAGTTTTTTACCTTCGACTTCGAGTTCGATGTTGAACGAACAATAAAGCAAGTCGTGTGCGAGTCCGTATGGAAAGGGCTACTTTCCAATTAATTGATTCAAAGATTGCAAGTGGTGATGTATTCAGAAGCAACAGTCGTGGCAGGGGAGGAAAGTTCATTCTGACCATGCAGTTGTACAGCAATCCCCTGCGCCTGTAGTCCGCTAGTGTCGTAGTAGCACTGTGATTTTCTTCTATGTCGGTAATCCTTCCTCAGAAGAAAATCACAAAGCTCACATGAAGTCGTCCTCTGCCGCACGGCATGCCTCAATACTGCCGTGAAGCGCGTCCTTCGCATCTTGCGCCATGGCATCAGCGATCCCTTCGCCTTTGTACGCGCTGTACATGTCGCCGCACTCGTCAGCTCGCTTCTTGCTGCCCGCTCCACCTGGCAATTTGCGGCTTTTTTCGCCACCCAGATTTTCGACGAAAGCCGACGAGCTCGTCCCTCGCAAGGCAGCAACCTTCGCTTCCTCTTCTTTCTTCTTGTCCTCGCGCTCCTGTGCCGCGGCGGCGCGACGAGCCTTGATCTCGGCCAATCGAGCGAGATCCGCTTTCGCCTCGTCGGTTTTTCCCTCCTTGTGCAGCTTTTCATACCTGAGGTGGACGAAGGATTGAACGTCATAAAAATGAAGGAAGAACTTGAAAATGAAAACCAGTTCAGCTGTAACACACAATCACGATTGATATAGATTTGCCTATCGCCCTATCAATTTTGAATTTGATTTGCTTCGGGACATATTCATATTACTTAGAAGAAACAGTCTGTCAGAAATCCTCAAGTAGAGAGTACGCTCTCTTTTTCCGTTCTTTTTCGATTTCTTCTCTCTGCTTTCTCGTTGGTCCCTCTGCCATGAGTGCCTCATCGTTATCGAGGCCTCCGTTCAATGCCTGGTGCTCGATCAGATCGTGCACGGTTTTACCCTTCTCTTTCACAAATACCTTGCTGTCTCCTTTATTTGTGTTGGAAGGAGTCTCTTCTTCGCCACTTGAAGAGCTCTCTGCATCGTCGTTCTTCTTCCGGGGATCCTCCTCATCGTCAGTAACGGCCGCATTTCTTGCTTTTACGGCTTCGAAACTGCTCACGCCACGATCTTTCTTATGGTTCTTCTTGAACCGCTTGTCCTTAAATTGACCCATTTTTTCGCCAACAGCGCCCTTAAAATAAGATTAGCTTCGATGAATATGAAATTCTTCAAAATCTAAAACGAGATTCGGCAAGTACTTGTGGAATAAAAAAGAGAAGGTTAGTTAAGATGTAGTTGGAAAAAAAGCAAGAAGAGACACGAGCACTGTGGAGCAGAATCTCAATTGATGAAATTGGTAAATTTCAAAGACAACTGGATCATGATCATCAAGATAGAACTGTCAGATTTTTGATGGTATATTCTCATTTTCTCGTTTTGCTTGTAGATCTTCAAGATTGTCGCGATCTTGACCTGAAATATTTCACATTTTCATTTTGCTGAATCTCCTTTGCTAGAATATTCAGCAAAATGCTAGAAGTGAGTGGTCTTTTTATCTCATGATGATATAATGAAGATCATTTTTGGATTCTGAAGTTTTCACGTCGGATCTACATAGAATTTTCAGATCGATCACTCTCAGCATGCTGGACGTGGAGTTGGAGGCAAAGATCTGGCCTCAAAAACAAAATCTAGTGGCTCGTTACTAATTGTGAGCCCACAATATTAGGTTCCCAGCACCGCACAAGTGCACGCTTTCATTGTGCGATAGAACAGAACTACAGTGTGCGCTTCGTCAACTTGTTTCTTTAGATCGTTCGAGGACATCGCAATAGTAATAGTTATCAAGCATCTCAGAGGAAGGACAATATCATGATTCGCAAAACATCAAGGTTCCTTTTATTCTAGCCCTTCTCTTACAGCAAATCAGAAAAATTTTCCTCCATCCGCGTGTTCTGGCGGCTCAGACAGGTGTAAAATTCGAGAAATTCAGGATACTTCCACCCTATAAATGGAGTCAGGATTTTTTAGTGTCCTCGAGGCTTTCTACGGATATCTTCGCAGCTAGGCCACTACTTGTACATTTGGTGTTGTGTTGCACGCGCCAGTCGTCTACGTCGCCACTAAGCAGAGCTCCACGTTGTAATTCGCCACAGGATAGACGATCTGGACGATGCATTTTTCCCGAGGACAGAGTAATTCGCTTTGTTAGTTTCTTTGATTGCTCTAAAACACGATGAACATCAACAATGTACTTGTGTCGGTCTCTATATTTGCTGCGTGATGTCAACTCGCAAAAGCGGTCTCATGGCCTCTAAGAACGGCAAGAAAGAAGGGGAATAGTAATAGAGAACGCGATTGCCTTCCACAAAGCTGTCGACCCTTTTTCGTGTTTATTTTCTTATTCTTGTTTCCGATAAATATGATTAGTACTTTGAAGAAGTAGATTTTGAAGATGCTTCTGCATTCGGTTCACTTCTTTCGTGGTCTGCTTGTTGAAGACGACCTGGCAGAAGAAGCTGCAGCGGTCTTGCTTGCCTTCTTACCGGAATTGCCTAGAGACAGCTTTGCAGTTGCGCCAACTTTTTTGTGAGACGAGGGATCTTCCTGCAGGAGGGCTTTCTTTCCTCCTGTAGAAGAGCTACCAGATGCACTACTACTTGTCGACGTCGTTCTACTTGATGAACTTGAGGCTTTAGTAGTGTTGCAGTTTTTCAACTTATTTCCTTTTTCTTCCTGCTTTTTCGTCGCAGCCATCTGATCGCACATCTCGAGAAATTTAGGCATGAAGCTCAGGACCTGTTTGGTACCCACGAACCTCTCTTGGAGCGAGGGCGACAAGTGTCCCGCCTCGACATTTTGCAAAAGCATCGGCTCCTCACCCAACTCCACTGCCTGCGTTCGATCACCTAGCTGATACGCACAAATCATCTAGGTTTTAGAAGTGAATAACATCTTCCACAACTCATATTAATATTTGCTAAGACTAGAGGGCAGTCGTTTACGAGGACCAGGGATTAAAATATGAGTCTCAAATATTGGTATTTCACTGGTATTTGTTTCTTCCTCATCTGGCCATAAGTATTGCCATTCCCCTTGTGACTAGTCGTTCCCAGTGCGGGCCGCAGATCTCAATCAGCGTTTTCGCTGATTGACTCTCAATGCAGTAGCGCGCAGCCATGACGTTCAAAATCGAATCTTCCCAACGACAAGCCTCCATAAAGCACTCAGCCTCCACTAGAAGCAACGCAGGATCTACCAGTCGAATCAACTCCGCCTCACTCAGTTGTTCGGAGGAAGGAGTGGACTTGCTCTTATCTGGAGAGTAGAGGATAAAAGAGCTGTATCTGATTCTATCGTATATCTATGTTTGTATGATACAATAGTTATTTTAGATACTGCAAACTGGCAAGTCATTGTGATGACTCAGAAGGTGAAGGTCCTATTTATTCGATTGCATCAGAAGAGTCCGTACCTTTGTTCTTCTGCACCACCTCCTTTCCACGATCAAGCGCCACCTTTTTTCCGACCTTTTGCAGAGCATCCATGTCAATCGCTTGGTCGTCTAGATCGTCCCACTCGTAATCGTCATAGGGATCATAATCATCCAGGTAAGCCTCGAAAGGATCATAGCCGGGGGAGGTCGGATCCAGAAAAGGCGGGTACTGGTCGGAGCCGTCCATATCTTGCTGGAGAAACAAAGAGTCCAGGTATCGACGCTGCTCATCCTCGTCGGCGAAATCTTGGGAGTCCGAATCTGGTTTTAAGGAGCCAAGCAGCTGCTGTAACAATTGGACTTGCTTCGCGTGCTCTGCTTCGTCGTCCTTTTTCGTGGTCTTCTTGGAATTCTTTGAAGTAGCAAGTGTAGTTGTAGTTCTAGTTGACGCGGCGGAGCCTGCCGTACTCGTACTGCCCTGAAGGCCTTGACTTGTCCCTGACATCGTTGTCGCAATTGTTTTGTTCGCTTTTTTCTGCTTCATATTGGTTCTTGTGGTTTGTTTCATCATTTTCCGCCGGGCCGCGGCACTCACATTGGAGCCTAGTTTCTTCGAACTCGAAGATGATGTGCTGGATTTGCCACTCATCTTCTTCGAATCCTTCTTCATCTCGTGGAGGTCGTTAAGCATGTTGACCCCTTCGTCCTCGCTCGTTGTGCAGTCCTCTTCTTCACTCTCTTCCCGAATCACTTCCAACCGGGATGACTCGTGCCCTTTGAGGCTTGTTGTAGCACTTGCATTACCACTCGAAGTTGTACCGTCCAAGAACTGCAGACCCCCCCGTTCTTGTTGTTCTTTTCTCTCCTTGTGTTCCGCGAGCATGCGCATGAGGTCCTCAAGCGCGTCTTTCTTCTCTCTTTCTTCGGCCGCCCGTTCTGCTTCACTTTGATTTGGCTGTCCTCCACCAAGTCCTCTCCTTCCATTGCTCGATGTTGCACTTTTACTTGAGCTGTGGCGGTTATAGTCTAATTCCAAATCGTTGATATAGTCTGGACCGAAATCATCATCGGAGTAAAGATCGCGTCCGCCACGACCAGGATGAAGGTCACCTCCAAAGTCATAGAAATCATCCTCGTCCTCAGGATGTCCATAGGGTCCGTAGGGGCCGTAAGGATCGTCGTCCATGAACTCACTCCCATACAAAAATTCTTCGTCACCTAAACCGCCCATCATGTCCCGCTGACGAGCGAGTTCAACTGTACGGAGTAAAATGCGGATGCAAGAGGAGAAGGCGGGACTGAAGATATGAAGATAAGAAGATACGAGGGGCACGAAAACTAAAAACAGAATAAACATGAATACGACACCCTCTACAATTCACTGTTATTGCAATTGATGAAAAAATGATCCTCCTCGGCGCTGCATGCTAGTCCAAGTTAGTACCATGAAGAACATCAGCAACAAATGAAAAATACGTTCGCGTCGCTCACTGTCGGTCTGTAAAATGCTGCCTGCTGCGCCGATTTCTGTACTGCTACTGCGATTTCCCAAAACAGCAAGAGTCTGCATCAGCGCTTCCGCATTGATCGCCGCTCCGTCGTCGGCTCCTCCACGCGAGGAGCCGCCACTCGAAAGGTCGTGTCGAAAAGAGGAAAATGAAGCAAGAAAAACAATGAATTGTGGGGAACGTTTTTGTAGTTACTCATGAACCTCAAACAATCTCCCGGGGGTCCTGGTTCTCATTGTCTGTAACAATAACCCCGGTATTGTAGCGTCGAAAAAGAAACAGCAAAATGACAATCCGCTTGAAACTAATGGAGTTTTGTCGCAGTTACCCATAAACTGTAGTTTGCCGATGGAGGCGACAGGTATGCAAAATACGGGTCATCCGGATCAATGTACTGTCGCCTTCCGAGTGACCGCTCACGGTTATTCCAAGCCGCGGCTTTAGTACCTTGTGCCGCAGGTGCGTCCTTTATCTTAACGTTGGTACTGGGGTTTTCTACTACTGCAGTTGACCCCCTGTTCGATTTCGCCGACAATGTGTTCGTGACAAAATTGCACATACTTTTTACGAAAGACGAGAACGCGCCTCCACTCCCAGCAGATGTCTGATCTGTCATCATCTTTTCGGAAAGAGCGTTACCGGTAGTACTCCTGCTAGAGTCGGCGTTGGGGCGCTGTCCGTCGAGAAATTTTCCTCCAACAGCAGAAGATGACGCGGTAGCCGCTTTGTTGAGGACTTTTGGTGCCGGACCCGTGCTTGTCGGATAAAGGACATGCGTACCCACAGTCATCGTGCGCGTCTGAAGAGGCAAGCGCATCCCAAAGAGTCCAGGCAAAGAAGGAGGCCCCAGACGGAGAACGACGTGTCGATTCTCGTTTCCTGTTCCACGAACAGGCGATTTTGTTGTCTTCGGGGAAGCTTGCTTCATCGGAGAAGTCGGAGGGGTGGTGGTGCTCTTTTTGTTGAGACCACCGTCAGCAAAAACATTGCTAGAGCCTGGTGAACTTTCGTTAGCGTCATCCGTTTTCGGCGTCGAAAGAAGTGACGGAAGCGCGTGGTCACTGTCTTTCTTTCTTGCTTCAGTCGAAGTGGATAAAGTTTGAGTCTTTTGAGAACTCAACCTGTTTTCATCTGGTTTTCGAGGATCCGCAGATTTGAGCGCAGGTGCTGCTGCCTCAACTACACTTCGTCCGTCCAAGGGTCCCACCGAGGACGAAGAGGATGAAGTCAGGCTCTGCTTCTTGCCGCTGGCGCCTCTATCCTGGAATAGCGACGACACGGCAGTGTCCCGGTGTGTGTCGATGCTGGAGTGATCGCCCACCTGTAGTGCCTGCGCGGAGTCACTCAATCCAACAGACGGAGAGGACGTAGGTCGCCCTGCGTCTGCTTTCAACGGACTGACAGCGGGAGTCGAAGATGCCGTTGTCGCTTCATCCTCACTCTGCTCTTGAAGAAGCGCCTTCGCGGCTGCCCGACGCTCCCTGCGAGCCCGCTGTGTCCCCCGTCCCTTCGAAGTCGCTACCATTGTACCGCTGGTCGCTGCGTCTCGATGTTAAGGAAAGAACGGAAACGGTTTCGAGTATATCGACTTAATAAAACATCTCACAAAAATATACTCGAACGATTTAGTACATCTCAAACTAAAGATCATCAATATATGTCCCGTGCGCCACTAGAAGAAAAGTGTAGATGAAAATATTAGTTCGCGATATACACGGAAAAGATCCACGACAGAGTGGTGATTGATCTTCGCACATGAACGTCAAAAGATCATCGGATGGGATCATGAACCTCCATGCTGAAGCACAGACACCACGTCATGCAAGTATGGTTTCCCTAGAGGACCTCTCCACGGATCTTCCCAGGTACTATCGTTCACCATCGTAGTGTCATCTAACACGAAACTTACAACCTCTTCTCTCAAGATCAACTACCGAGTTTCAGTACTATACGCTAAACTGTCACTGTCAGCATAGCACACCATGAGAAGACGAGACCGATCTATCACAAACATCGGCACGTGATGAAAACGCTAAGTCCTGTAGGATAACAAGGCTGATCTTTATCATGATCAACTCAAGTTCAAGATCATCTAAGTCACAGTAATAAATAAAGTTTGCAGGATGACTTTTTCACCTTTTGGGATTTTTCTACTAAGAGGCATACATTCAGGCCTTCGTCACGCCTCATGGCCCTGCAACCGCATAGTAAAAAATGGATCCATTGATATTGGCCTGGCGCTACGCAGGTATCGAACACACAATGCGACACATCTATTGCCACAATCGATGCCATCTTGATGAGAATCGTCCTGCTCCTCGTCCTCGCTTCAACAGTCACACTTAATCTGTTCTTCTGAGCGACTGCGATGCACAAGAAGCTCTCCATCCGGTGTGGTTCACCACGGACCAAGCCATAAAAACAGGATGAGCAAGGTCTAGTACTAGTTTGAGCGGATAAGCTTTCTCTTTTGTGGGTCACTACGGGGAACGGGGCAACATGAAGAAAACAGGAGGATATACAAAGAAGATGAATTAGGAAATGCAGTGGTCGAGTCACCTATAAGGGAGCTCATCCTCTCATGACTTTATACTGCGGTTTGCTCGCGCGCGCTTCCTTCTTTAACTGAGTTTTTGATTTACCGCCGTTCGGATCCTCGTCGCCCTCTCTTCTTGCGCAGCACTGATATGAGAAAGTGAAATAGACGGATAGATGCATAGATTGAGTTGAATATGGACAGGAATTGGTAAAGAATTACTTATATCCGGGAAAATTTGTCATTATGCTTGGCGTTAGCAGAAGAGGATCTCCAAGTAGTTTGTCCTCTACTTCCGAGAAATCAACCATCACCATCCACCAGTCAAAAGAAGAAGAACTCAGAAAGAAGTATGTGTAGGTAATAAAAGTTAGTACCCACTGCCTGAGCAATCCGTAGAGCTTGTATATTGCGTAGCCGGGAACGACGAGATAGATGTACCAGAAATAGGTTGATATTGTCGATGCCGCGACTTGCACGAAGAGATTCACGAAGAATATGTCCTGCGGCACGCTGATATCCATCCCCAGCTGGAGCCCCTGATCTATCTGGTTATATGTGAAGTACGAAACGCCGGAAAAGAAGAGCACTTCGAGGAGCGCGTAGAACCCGAAGTCCGTTATGAAATAGCCTATCACACCTGATGGCGCGAACCAGAGCTGCGCTAAGAGATATATCGCGTTGCAAACAGCAAGGCCACCTTGGTAATACACAATGCTAGTGGCGGCATTCTTCGCCCTCTTCTTATCAGCCTGTCCCGCCATTTTATTTTAGTACTTCGTGAGATAAATTTTGATGTTTGTTGATCTTCAGACAAAAATTCTTCTTCCAAGGCCAAAAAAATCTTGGAGTTGATGGACGACGAAGAAATAGGAGAGGCTGTGGTTGTCGTAGTCGTACGGAAACTTATTTCCGATAAACAGAATTAAAACGATCAAAAACAGGATGAAATCAACACGTCGACCTGTCACTCGGAAACTCTTCTATTACTACAACCTTAAAATTTCGCTACCACTTGCCTGTCTACTAGCTTGACGTCAGTGTTCTGCTGCCTTTGTAAAAAAACGATAGAATTGACGCGATCGCCGGCCGCAAGTCCTACTCCTAGGGATTGTGAAAATGAAGCCCATAATTATCAAATCCAAAATTAGCTTCTGCATTACTTAGTATAAAACTTCATGCATATTATAAATATATACTATACCTATATTGGCATTCCCCAAAAAAAGCTCCAGGATCATTAATCAGGAAAATCATGACAATTGGATCTCAGTGATCGTCATGCGACTCAGTCAACCCTTGGACATCAGAAGCAGACCCATGAGCATCGCAGGTGATGTGCATTTTTCAATTTCATGTGCCGTGCATAATCTTCTTCGTCCCTGTCCCGAACATCAACTCGGATGCAGACGAGGGAGTTGGATTAAAAATCAAGGGAGTGCGCCCAAGGCCAGCCTTAATTTTCATTCATCTTGAATATGAAGATATGATTTGACTATCATGTCCATTAAATAATGTGTTCGCAGCTCCTGCTCCTCAACCGTCACCTTTGATACTATAATCTCAGTATTGGGGTGGATTCAGTGTCATCGATCGTTATCAAGTTCGATGACGAGAATCAGGCCACGATTTAGCACGTTGTTGAGATTGGTGTGGTGCGCTGTTACCCTGCCGCTAAAACCAGCCATTATCAGCATCCCATGGACCATTCCTGCTGCATAGGAACCCAAGTTGCATTCGGTTGTAGAGACGACCTGACATGAACAAGATAAGTTTGATCATCCTGTTCATGCAGAACTCACCTCCGACTGCGTGCTCACGTGGAAAAGTAGAGGAGAATTTGATCGTGTACATGTTTTGTTTGAGCAGTATAAGCATGTAGTTTCCCTGTCCTTACCGTTTCCCAGATGATCATGATGCATAGATTGAGATCAAAAACTTGATGGATGTCCGAGTAATGTAAGCATGATTACCCGATGAAACAGGTTCCCTTTGTTATCGGCCAACTGGTACTCGTTTTCACCACCGCGCAGAACCTCTGCTGCGTGGCCGAAAAGTCGTGTCCAGACGCGGTCTGCAACAAACTGCAAGAATGGTATTATCTTCACAGGCTGGGCCACACCGTGTCTGATACACTGCTTAGAGCAAACAGAGAAGATTGACATTGTGGTCTTGGTCGCTTTTTCCTACTTACGCTGATGAAAAGAAGCTAGGGAGGTGAACGACTTTTTCCATCCCTGCAGATTGGTACAACATCTAGTAGCAGCTGTAGGACCAGGTGGATATGGATGACCAGTTTCCCCGATCCTAAAATTTAAACTCGACTAAGAGGAATTTCAGATGAAAGCACTTCTTCGAGCCATAAAGTATAGATCGTATATTCGAAAACCAATGCGCCTGCCTAGGTCCGCTAGCCTCTGTTCAAGTTGTTGCGTGTCTTCCACCTGTTCCAGGAGGTAGGAAACTGTGCCACCAACAAGCAATGAAAACATGCTCACGGATACACGAGGTGGCGGACCGCCCACTAGTCTGACAGGCGAGTCCCTATTTCCGGTGGACCGCACGAAAGGCACAGGAGGTATACTACCGGTACGCTTCATGATTCTTGCGTCTTTTTGTATCAGTTAATTGAATTTGTCGATACCGAAGATTTCTGTTAAGGTAGACGGGGTGGAAGTGAAACGAAGTACGTCGATCAATGCGAGAATGAATTCAGCATAAAGAAATACTTGGACAAGCCTAAAGTTAAAACTCACTACTTAGTAGAAAGAGATATCGACTGTGGAGTTATTCATGCTTTTTTAGAAAAGACTAAAAACTGGGGGAATACGAGCGTCGTCATCCGGCGCACCGAATTCGCGGTCTCTAACAGATCTTGACCTCCCAATCTTGTGATCAAGTTCAAGTTTCGGTGCGCGTCTGTGTCAGAGGTCCATTACACAGATTGCGTCTGCTTTCCGTTTTCTCTGCAGGATCTGTACTCTATTCATTTCCTGATGATGCACGATGGTCTTGGTGTGAAATTTCCTCTGAATTCTTCGAACTCCGTTGCTTCGCGGATGAATTAGACCGGGTTGATGAAGACACCGATTGAATACGAGGACAGTCACAGTACTAGATTGTCTAAACAAAAATTCCAAGGTAGAGACGTCATTATTACGGAGAACAGTCCCTCACCCTTAGACGAGATGGTAAAACCAATGAATAATGGTACGTTATCGCGAACCAACACGGCAAGTCGAAAATGCGTGGGTGACTGCGTTTGTACGCAATTCATCTTGTATGCGGAGAGCCAGTTCCTCTAACGGACTAACAGAAAAGTCATTGTCGTGGTCGGGTTGCACACGGAACAGAGACCGTGCCGTGAAAAAGACCCAACAAAAAAAGACTCCCGAGTATGCAAACAATGACTCGGGCTACTCCAGGTCTAGCTAATTCTACAAACTTGCGTGAAGATGATTTACCCGTTCCGAAAGAATGGGGGTCATGAGATAAATCAGCATCACTCAGGCAAAAGTCTTGGATGCACAAAATCACCATGATCATTTTTCACGAAGATGCCCTTCTTTACGATATTGTGAGATGTATGATTTTAGCGTTGGGGTAAAAAAGTTTTTTCAGTATCTCCGCTGCTGCGACACTCCGATGACGCCCTTTTGTGCAGTTCACTGCGATCACTTTCAGGTCCTCATTTGCAACTTTTTTTACGCACATCTCCATCCAAGTCGGGAAGAGGCTACAACGGCTTACTCTTGCCTGAATCTCGATATCTAGCCCGTTTTGCTTCTTGAGATTAATCCCAGCGCCTTTGCCAGTGAGAACACAGGCGTTAAAGTTGGCTTGTGTATCGGGCGGCGGTCCACCTTTCAGGATTGCACGACCCCACGTGTAGATCTTCAGTTCCCGCTTGCGCATGCGATCTGCACCACCGTTCGTCTGCCCTGATGAAGTATTTTCCAAAAACAACGCTGGATCCAGAAACTCCGTGCAGATCGTTCGCGACGACGCGTCCCCCGTATCTATGCCTGGGGAATCTTGATCGAGTTCAAACCCAGGTTCCGCTTCTGGGTCATCCAGTGCCGCACTCGCGTGAGCCCACGCGACGAGCAGGCCTGGCATCTCTGCTCTCAATTCTTCCATGTTCTCCTCCTTTTGCTGAACTAGCAGGCTCAACCACTCTGTCACATCACCTTCGGAGACACCGTCGCAGCTAAGTTGCAAGATTCTGTCTCTTTGATCCCCAGTACCGCGTTCCAGCGTGATTCCGCGTCCCGTTTTGCTATGCAATGTAAACAACGTGTCATCACTGTAGGCTGCGAAACCTGAAGCCTCTAGCGCTGTCGCAAAGCCGCGTCTTTTACCGCCAAACCACGGCAACTGCAGTGGATCTTGTTGAGAGGGCGCACCATAATTCGGCTGCTTCGCTCTTGCAACAAAATTATCCTCCTTTGGATATTCTGGGGCCTTTTTCACCTGCACACCTCCTTCAGCAGCTTCTTGTCGTCGGGTTTCTTCCATACTTCTACTTGTTGAAACAGTTGCATGTGAAGGCTCCAACGTTGATGCCTCCCCAGCATGTTTGTTTTTCTTCCCGCTCCCGTTCACGTTTAGTTGCAGACGATGACCTTCATTGGCGACGGCGAGATCCAATGCACGCTCTACAATCTCAGACACGAGTTCCATATCTTCTGGCATCTGATCCATCGCTAAAGCTAGGCTCTCCCGCAGGCCCGAGGCGTCCGAGAAAGCTAATCCGTCGTTGTCAACCAGTTGCACATCAAGCAATGCTGGCTTCTCTTTGCAAGGATAAAGCTGGGGCAGACACACTTCTATTCGAAGCCGCATTTCCGCAGCCGGAAGCCGATGAGGGTCAGCAACCAGTAAGACGAGCTCGATGTCACCTCTCATCCTGGTAGAAGTCGAACTCTGCGACTGGGAGGTGCTGGCCATGTTGTCATGAAGATTCGTATTGGCTACTTTGGCCCATACGGGCGCCCCTGTACCATAGTCATCCACACGTCGGCAGCCACGGTATTCAAGGAAAACTTCTCGCCCGTATATAGACTCGACAGCCTCCAACTCGAGCAGCTGCCGCTCGGCACAACTCGCGAAGAGCGAGGTTACATCGTTTCCATCCAGCGACATTTATTTTATGCTTTTCTAAGACTAAGTCTTGACGATGTCGATGACGACCTCGAGCAAGATGATTTATAATCACGTACACGTCTTCTATCTATCGTCTCAGATTCAGTACTCATTCTCTTCAAGATTCTAAGAAGAAAATTCAAAAGGAACTCCTTTCATGTCAGCTCTTCTCACTGGTCGACAAAAAGAAAGACCGCCTCTACTTTTAGGTTTTGTTTTGCCACAATTACACTCTTTTCTTCTCCGGTCGATATCATGTGGTCAAACCGCGATAGTTCATACTCATCAAAGAAGCCGGATCCGGGACAAAAGCAACTCCTAAGAAAGATAATGGCGGCGTGTCCATTCAGTTGAGGATCGAATCATGGTGAAAAAATCTAGAAAATACGAACCAATGGCATTCACATTCGCATTCGAAATCAAAGATGAACTGCTCACAAACCGATCACAGATCTCTGACGGCGTTTTTGGAATCTGAATCTTTTCGTTTTTCACCTCATGCATGGAGATATCACTCACGTAGAATTGTATCATCTGCACCGTGCTAAACCACCGATTCAACCTCATCGAGAAAAAGAAAGTTCTCATGAGTTGTGACCCTCTTAAAACCATAACATGTGACTGCGGAAGCAGTAGCAGAAGTTGTTGTATCATAAAAAGTTCTTGGAGATGAACATGAATTGCAAGAATTAGTTGATGTAGTTCGTTGAGAGATGTGACTGTGACGGTCTGGAATATGTGAAAGCTAAGTTTGTGACATCATTCGACTGCTTTTCATTGGAAGCGCCTGTCTAGGTCTACGTGTAGCAATAACCACCACGATCACCACGACCCCTTCAGAAATCAAAAACTACACCGCCGTCGTCCTGCACAACAACTAGTACAACGCCAATCGCACGCGACATTTTTAGTCATCCCAAAAGATACAGCATTTTTACGTTTCCTTTTTGGTTTTCTTTACTAGGATTGGGGCCTTGACTTGGTAGGCTTTGAGACGATCGCGATCAAGACCAGTCATCTTTACCGGTTTCTTGCGCTTCTGCTTTCGCAGTTCCTTCTTCGCAGCCTCGTAGCGCTCTGTTCGCTCGTCTGTGTAGGTAGACGTGTCCCAGTAGGGCCTGGTCACCTTCTTCAGAGTCGCTTTGCGGTTCAGCTCCTTGTCCGGTCGCGCCAAAATATCCTCAACGCTCAGGTTGAAGTTGTCACCTTTTACGCGAGAGTATTGGAATTTCACACCACCGAAATCCCGGATCTTGTAAATCGAATTTGGGTCATCTTCGTCATTCTCTTCTGTTGCACCATTTGCGACGCGAAGACCCATCTCGGCTTTCTTAGCCCCTCCTTTTGCGGACGTCAACTCCGCTTTCTTCGCTGTGAAATGCTTTTCGCTGTCTTCGGCTGTCCAATCTGCTGGTGGTTGGCAGTGGCCGGGCACCTTTTTCCGCTGAAACTTCTCCTTACGCTTCTTGCCGCTCTTAAAACACTTCTGGCACAATGTGAAGTCAGCTTTTTGCACACTCTCATAAAAATTTTTACCAGGCAGAATCGTCTCCTGACATTCATCGCACAAGAACCACATCTCGTTGTTCTCGTCATTGTCATCCACTTTCATAGAAGCATCGTCTTCTACTTGATCCCCGTAGTGATCTTGGTTCTGATCGTCACATGATCTTCCACCCTCTTGCTCTTGCCAGGTGGAGTCGTCACCTTCTTGATAAGCGCCTCTATCCTCTCCCACCTCTTCAGCCCAGTCTTCGCCGTCACAGTCGCCCCAGTCCTCTTCGTGCTCGCCCTCGCGCGTCAGCTCCTTCAACGCCTTTGGATCAAGGGTTTCTGCCGCAGCCTCAAAGTCTTCTCCCAAATAAGCTGCCATTTCGCGCTCGTAATTTTCTGGGTCGTAGTCCTGTTCGAGCAATTTCGCGAAACTCTTTTCTCGAGTATTTTCCTCCGAACCCTTCTGGCTATCCTCGTCATCTTCGTTCTCGAAAATTTTGTCGTACTTCTCGGCTTCAGCTTGCAGCGTCTCTGAGGCCACTAGGCTGCCGTCTTTGCCGGTGGTTTTCTCGATCTGTCGCAAACGTCGCTGAAGCTCCTTGCGTTTCAGATTTCGCAAACGCTTTAGCTCCTCGCTCTTTCTAACCGCCTCAGCCGCCTTTCGTTCCTTCCGCTCAACGCGCTTTCGTCGTCGCTTGTCGTCGACCTATGTTCGATGGAAATTTTCATCATCAGACGATGACGAGCAGTCCAGTACAAAAGAGGACAGATAATTGTAGCCATGTCGTCAGTACGACTCCTGGAAAAGCCAGAAGCAGAAAGAATAAAACATAAATATAACAAAATCAATATGACATTCATAGGTATTGGAGACTTTCACTTTTCATGGTTATCAATCAGTAGCAAAGCTCTCTGTACCTGTCGAACACTATTTGGGACGCTACGGCTGTAGGTCGGAATCTCTCCTCTTTCACCGAGTCCCGCATGTTCGTATCGGAAGTTGTAATCAGCTTCGAACTCGTCTTGCGCAGCCAAGTCTTCACTATCCTCGCTATCGTCTCCTCATTTCTTAGAGCTGGTTGGTTTACGGTACTCCGTTTCTTTTACTTACTTAAAAAACTGCTGCACCTGGTGGAAGTGGAACAAGTACAACGACCAGTACGAACCCAGTGCTGGGCGAATCGATAGTATTGAGGAGGCTGCTGTGACTGAGCTTGAAAAAACAAGAAGGACCTTCGAATCTTTCTTCATGATAAAGACCGAAAAACGAGAACGAATTTTTCAAAAATATATATTTATAAAGATATCAATCTAGACTGCCTTAACTTGATCCTTCGCTCTTCCGGATGCGCCACCTGGTGCGTCAGAGAATCCATGTTTTCCGGTTGGATCCTTCCATCCCTCGTTTAGAATGTAGTCTCTGAGAAATTTTTCATTCTCAGACAGCTTCTCTTCCGCACCCCAATACTTGTCTGCAAGCAGAGCGCGCGACGACTTCTTCCGGGCCAAGTTTACGCCGGAAGCAGAACTGGTTTCCCTGTCATGCGTCTGCTCTCCAGTCTCGGCATCATCAGCGTCTTTGTCGCCAGCATGCTTTTTAACAACAGTGAATAAGCCTCCATCGTCCTCTCCGTCGTCACTGTCATCTTCCTCTTTGTTGAAAGCGCCACGACGAATTTCAGCTTTGATTTCCGCTAATTCAGCTGCGTTTTTATCCGTGCCGCTCTCTTTGGCACGCCGCCTCAGTTCCTGCTCGTCTCGCTCAAAAGCATCCGCACCTCCCTCAAGCAACGTTTCTCTCAACAGGTCCTTGTATAGAATCGGTCCATCGGCACTCTTCTTTTTTGCACCTCCTGTTGTACTCGAAGAACTACTCGTCGTCCCTTTGTCCTTATTAGCATTTTCAGCAGCATCTTCACTTTTGTCATCTTCGGCTGGATTGGCGCCCTTGTTTCGTTTTTCTGTCCGTCTCTCCGCGAAGAAGTCGCCGGAGCGGAAGAACTGCGTCTTGCCGTCATAGATGCTGGCATCGCGATTTCGGATACGCTGCAGGGTGTCTAACACCTTGGAGCCAACGTCGTTGCCCAGAAGACGGGCATCATCGTCTTCGGAATCACTATCCTCTGAATCGCTGCTTCGAGCGCCCTCTTCCTCCAGCGTCCGCCTTGCGTAAGCCAACTCTTCAGCATCCTTGCGCTTCTCGAATTTCTCCGCAAATTTACGGTTCACCGACAGTTTCTCGAAGCCAGCACTTCCAGAAGCGCCTCCATTCTGACACTTGTTCTTCTGGTCAACATCAGCATCGCTGTCCGAACTGTCGGCGCCGAAAAGAGAAGATGAGGACGGCTCAGGAGCTGTTCCCGCTTGTGCTTTCTCGCTACGAGACGTCGAGGTGCTGCTACCTCTATTTGTTTGCGCTTCTTTGTCGCTCGGTGCTGCTGCTGCCTCGTTTGTCGCCGCGGCTTTTGCCTGTATTTTCTCACTTTTGGTTCGTTTCTTCATCCTGTCGCTTAAACCAACTTATCAATCTGCTCCTGGCTTTAGCTAAATACTGTGTGCTCATGCAACCGTGAGCAACTTGTCGTGGCTCATTTTTGCCATACGATGTAACTAACAACTTTTTATTTAAGTACACCTCCTGGGAAAAGAAAAAAAGGCAACAAGGTCGAGAAAATTCTCATACTGCGAATCAAGTTCGGCCAAAGAGAAACTATCACGAAGATGTTCTTGAAGAGGACAAAAATACCATCACCCTATTTGAACGTTTAGGAGATTCTGATCAAGACCGCTCTTCATGATGATAGATCGCAAGACAAAGGATTTGATTGTCGACAGGATCTAGCGGATCAAGAGGCTGGAAAGGTTGCAACTCTTGTTTGCTTTTGGATATCTATGGAACTTGTTTCTCACAGGGACCAACAGCAGCACTTTTTGAGCTCTACTGTCAGTAATGATGGACGAGGGATCACATGTCTATTTCTACTTGATCTGCTTACTGAGTTTTGTCCAATGCTGACAGACATTTACTTAAGCTAAATCTTTTCACCTGTGGTTATGCGAGGCAACTTTTGCTTCATCAACATCAGACAGCGATGAGTCCGCGACTTTTAGCGCCATCATCGATGTTGAGACTGCCGACGCTCTGCTGCCGGCTGCGCACACCAGAAGCGGTTCTTTAAAACACGCCAGATTCAGATGACTCTTAAGTTTTTTCTTGCAAGGCATTTAGGGCAACATCACATAAATTATCAGTTTTTGGAGGAAACAAGAAACAATTATCATAATGATTTGAAATCTATCTTTTCGCTCATAATGATTTCTTCTCTATCTTGGATCTAAAGATACTGAGTAAAGATTGGGTTCGTCTTCAGCGGCAGTTAGTCGAATCGCCACAATAAGCCACGCTATAAACTCTACCCTTGAAGAAGGTACATTCATCTGTTCTTTACGTTTCATCCAGCATGCTAGATTACAACGAAGGAATAGGAATGAGGATCACTATATGTGAAATACGATCTTCACGATTAGGTCCGTTTACAACAAAGCGGCCGTCAATTATCAAATTCAAACTGTATACCAATGATATCTATCGTCAACATTCAACTGCTCACATATTTTCCTCGACTATCTGCAGGGAACATCATTGGGTTTACCATATACGATTCCAATACTTCTTGCAAATACTAAATACAATAAATATCAGTACTAATCAAGAAAGATATTGCCTGGCTCTATACTACTTACTTGCGTCACCTCATCGGGTGCCGTGGCCCGCGCTCCCGTCCGACTCAAGGAAGGCTAAAACCTAGAAGAAAACCAGCCAGAAGCGGAAGATAGACTCGAAAAAGAAACTATCGGTACTCACGAGAGGCGACATGTAATCACCATGGGAAATACGCTTCCTGTTCTTCTGGTCAATGATTCATTTGGCTTGTTTTGGGTAAATACAAATATGGACCAGAAGCATCTCCGTAGCATGCTATAATGTTTTGAAAGGGAAAAAAACTGCCTCCATACTCCTCCATACAACATTCGTTCACATACTTATTCTCCTTCTTTTGTGGCATCGCAATGCGTCAGCTGCAGAAGACCACGACAACGTCCTCTAAGTTGTTGATAAAAACGGAACGAAGTCGAGAACTCCCGAGCCCAGCACGATCAGCGCCCCCCAAGGACCACAAGTTGGTTTTGAATTTTCTCCAACCACAGGTTGGCCACAAGTTGTCCATTTTCTTCTCCCTCAATGTCAAAAAAAAAGACTCACATTTACATACACAACGTAATTAGAATACTGTCAATCCTTATCTGAATCCAATCAGTATACGAGGATCTTTTGTAGCTCAAAAACGAGCTACATGGAATGAATAACAATCACTCATAGAGCTAGTATGTACATTGAAGCAACAACGAACGACGAGTGTTATGAAAATGATTCTCAATGAAAAAAATCTACGAGGATCTTTTGTAACCCAAAGGGCTACATGGAATCTTCACCATCATCTATGTTGACATTGCTCTACGTAATAAACATAGTGCATATGTACTATCACTAAGGCTATATTTCAAGTGCTTTCTCGTTGTTAGGCTTAGAACGAACCTACGGGTATCTTTTGTAGCTCAGCGAGCTACATGGAATCACCATTCACTACCACATTGACATTATCATACTGACTTTTACAACAACATCAACAACAGTTCTTACCAAGAAAACATTGCATCATTTCTTTTTCTTGTACTAAGTAAATTATACCTCCGAGTTCTACTTCGGTACAATCGGATAGGACGAGCCTGCGTAAAGTCGGATTCGGATAGGACAATTATATGAATAGTATTTTACTGTATTTTTTTATCACAATCAAACTCCTCTCCTAGCTCTAATTCTATTTTTCCGTGGATTCAAATCTATAATTTAGATTAAGAGAGAGCTTTATTTCTGCAGAGATCATCTATCTCCGTTGGTGCCCGTTTAGGACGAAGAGCCGCGCTGCCATGAAGAGGAAGCACCCGCTTGCCACGCAGAAGAGGCCGACGCTGTGCGAAAAGCGCGAGACCCGCCTTGGTGCTTCTTGACAGAGTCTTCAAACTTTAACGCGGTCTTCTTCTTATTTCCCGCGAGCCCCTGATGCTTGACGAGAGGTAGAGAGCACCGCTTTTCCTCTTCGGACATGGTGCCATATCTCGTCGTGTCCAGTTCCATTTTTCCTGGGAGCTCGAGATTCGCGAAGCCTTCCGTTTTGCCCACCACTTTGAACACTTTCCCTTGAGCTTGATTTACGGCACTGGAAGATTTTTGCTCAGAGCCCGCCCCGCGAGCCTCCCATTTACCATGCAAAGTGAGAACAGGAGACCTCGGACTCGCCCCGGCCGCCAATTGAGTTTCTCTATCACACAGATCGGCGAGCGCTTCTGGCAAACGACTGGGGCTCTCGAATTCAACATCAACTGAAAGATTTAGAATTTTTGGCATGGTGTCGGTGCTAGTGCATATTTATATCGTCATTGTACTAAAGTAGTCATACTTTCGTATCTATCATCATGATGAGAAAGCATACTTACTCTCAAAAGGAGATGAAAAAAAGCCTGTTTCTATTATGCCAATAGAGATCTGCCAATACCATCGAGAGGTTGGAAAATTTCGCCAGGCTGCAGCTGCGCCTCGGTGAGATATCGCTTTAGCTCCTCCTTCTTCAAAAGAAAAGCGCTGTCTCCCAGAAGGTTTAAGAAAAGATCTCGCTTTCCTTCACCAGACACAGGAGAATTTTCGACAATACCCGCTGAGGCAGGAAGGTTCACAATCTCTGTTGTAGTGTGTTGTAACATGTGCTGTTTTCATGAAAGCTACAACAGACTCAGCACATGTTAGTAATAAATTTCATCTTGTTCATGACATACTCATACACAATCATTTGTAGGTCCCCGCTCCTTGCCTTGTTTATTAGCATCAATAAAGATAGAGATTGAGGTTGGTATTGAGCCGGTAAGTACCTTCCAAATTCAGCGACCCGATGCTTTCGAAGTGTGGACTTCCGTACCTTTCGATCGGAATACTTGTCACCTTGCTGCTACAAGGAATGCACTTCATGACGAGACCCCGCAATGGTGGCTGACGCAGAAGACTGTCAGACTCCATTTCCACCACACATCCAATCTTCGCTGTCAGATCAGTCGCAGTAAACAGCAATAGCATCATTTTCCAGTGTCCCGGCAGGAAATCGGCTTCCACCTCGCCAAGGACAACAAGATACCTGAGAGCGCTGCGCTTCGTTTCCGTGTTCTGTGAAGAGGCAATCTTTTGCTGCTCCGATTCAACTAGAGCGAATATACAACCCTGTTGAGCCCGCTGCACATTTTCTTTTGGGGCTTGCTCCTTGAAAAAATCGAAAACTGTTTTCGTGACACGACTTTGGAGGTCGGCATCTTTCTGCGGGCTCACCCTTTCCGAATGCAATCCACGTTCGAATATTATGCCCCCGTTGTTACCGTACCCTGAAAAGTTAGATGCTTTTCAAATGGATCTAAGAAACTGAAAGTGACATCTACTTTTCGGATACAGGAGAGGCTTGCAGTGATATTACTGATTTCCACTTCTAAGGCTACGCATGTTAAGCTCAAAGTCAATGCTGATTCTCTACCTTGTTGCAAATCCCGCACGATCTGCGCCCCTGGACTGCCTTGCGAAAGCCAGCTTTGAATTTTGATATTCCGCAGAAAACTAGGGATGGGGCAGTCGGGGCTGAGGAAGATGCGTTTCAGCGTATATTCCGTCCATACCTCCTCAATCGAAGCGGCGCGGCGTTTTACGACGCGATCATCTCCTGAAGCCGAAACGCAACGTTTTCGTTTCTGAAATTCGTTGGATTTTGTGATTCGTGTGGTACTAGTACCATGATGGCCCGCATTCCCGGTTCCTGCAGGATGTGTGCTGCTGTGAAAGGTCTTGGTCTTGCCGCCGTGGTGCTGAGTCACCCCAATGGACTTTGAAGACGCAATAAAAGGAGCCGCTGGTATGTTGCTGTTACCCTCTTCATACTGACACTTTCCACGAGCAACCAAACCTTGAAGATCGCCTGCTTTGGAAGGCGGTTGCTGTTTTCCCTTGTTCCCGTCTCCCTTAAGCGACATCACAGAAAATTGAAAAGACGGATTCTCGATAATCCACGAGTCCTTGTGTGAAGATCCTTGTAGAAGTTGACCTTCTCCTTGTCCTTGATGATAGCTCTGCCCGCCCGTAGCAGATGCATCAAAACTGGCTCCTCTATGGCCCTCCGTATTGAGTGGCCCATCTGTTCGCACGTCCCGACCTTTACCGGGATACATCTCCGCTACAGGTTGAATCGAGCCACCACCGTTTCTTGCCGATCCGACCAGTGTTCCTGGACGCATAGGGGTCTGCATCGTTGGAGAACATTCAGCAGGAGGCGGTGGAGGAGGAACTCCCTCAGACTCTTCGTCTTCCTCGGTATCGTGCTCTACCAACTCTAACACGGCTCCTTCCTGCGCATGTTGATCGTGTTGAGTCATCTCATGATGGTTCCCAGTGTCAAGAGAAGCAGATGTAGCCGGATCTTCAGGCTGGATCGACGGGAAGCACTCAACCGAATTTGTTTTGTCATCCCCAAGACAAGGCTGACTCGAGGACGTCTCGACAGCTTTAGTATCGTCCATGTTTCCGCCAGTAGCAGTAGGATCGATTTGTTTTTCCGACCTCGTGGATTCCTTCGGTCCTGTCTTCCCTCTTCTTGTCTGGAGCGACTAACTCGATATTCAGTAACCTCTTTCTTGGAGCAGCAGACGCTTCTCGAAATGTATCTATAAGTTGTCTCACAAGCACACAACCCACCGTCTTTGTTCTGCTTCTCAGAGAATTATATATTCTTCTCGTCGGTCTTGATCTTCTCGTTTCACGGGAGGTTTTGAGCCAGGCTTTCCAAGACACGAGCCCGCATCGAGTCTACTAGGAACTACTACCTTGCTGCCACTTCTCTATTATAGCACCTCGTAGTTCCTTATGTGACTTCGACTTGTTTGTAAGAGATACGGTCTTTGCAGACTTGAAAGCAACATAGATCACAAACACAAGGTGCCTTCCTTCGTTTAAACGTTGTTCCTGGAAGCATTTTTTTGTGAGTACTCGTTCATGTTAAGCATTAGTACACGACGCAAAGCAAGCCGGGTCAGGGATACTCCTAATCCATATGTGGATCGTTTCTCTTTTTAGTAGAGTAAGAAGTTGTCTTCTAAAAATTGCAATTCATTTTCACAGATCTGGACGAGGACAAGAAATGCAGTAGACAGCAACGCCAGGCAGAGGCGGGCGGCTATTTTCATGATCGGGTCTCTCCTCTATTTTCCGATTTTAGATGACATTGACAACAACAAGCCTAGAGGCTAAATGAAGAAGTAGATTTGGTTCCACAGAGTCGCAGATGCTCCTGTAACAACGACAACACGCTGTCAGGCAACCGAAAGCATGATGCCACGAGGCAGGAACCACGTGAGACTTACTACATCTGCAATTGGTCTTCAAAGTTTTGTTTTCATCACAGACCACAGAAATGATGCATCCTCACCGAGGCAAACGGAGTGCAGATGCAGAACTTTCTTCTCTGAACGAAATAGAAAAGAGAACCCAAGATCATTTTTCGCTGAAAATATCGCAGTAACGTTAATTGCAAAACGTCGGCGAGAGACTCCACAGAATTTGAAATTCATGCTTTTTTCATCGGAAAAGAGCAGAGCAGGGAATCGAGACAGCAAAGAATTCTTGACGCGCGTAAACAATTTGACCTTGGATCATCAGTCAAATTCGTCTTCCTACCACATATTTCAAGATCTTCTGTGTCCTTGCTTTACATTTACAAATTTCCACTTAATAGCGTCGTCCTTGCGAATTTGTTAGGCATGAAATCTACTTCGTTCACCTTGTGATACATAGATCAACGAATAATTCTCACTAGCCAGTTGAATGGCTTTTTGGGTCATTTGAAGGGTGTAGCCGTTGCGAGCCCATCCACCACCAGGACACCAGCCTGCGAGGAAGCGCTCGAAATCCGCGAAACAGACTGGCCACAGCTGTCGCCATTCGCGTTCTACATCGGATCTGTCCCCCTCTGTACCCTTTTCACCGAACGAAATTAGAGCAGGTCGTGATCCACGACCACGAACTACTTCTGATGTTGGAGTTTTTACCATCTTTACTCATCGCATTCTCATGTACTTGCTCCGTACCACACCGACGAACTACAAAGAGAAATTTAGGAAAAAACTTTTACTGTCTGTAAAACTACGTCATCAAACAGGAAGAATCAATTATAATGCGGCCTTGTCTTAACTGGAGCACACCTTCGCCTACGCCTGCGTCAAAGTTGAAGAACTCTCCAAAGTAGAAGTCTAACAACTCGTCTGCATATTTCATCATCTCTCGTTCGGATAAACAGCTGCTGAGGCAATACGCAAGATCGCGGACACCTACACCGAAACCCACGTACTGGAAATCGACGGCGGCCACATCCGAAGCCAGTTGTTGTTCACCTCCTCCATGTCCATCGTTGCTCGTAGTAGATCTTGTGTTCTTGTCGTGTTTCCCTTTTCTCGTCTTTAGTGATGAGAAGCAGAAATTCTCTACCTTTGCGTCACCATGGACAAGCGTTTGCCATCGTGCGCCTTTAAGTTGGGCGTCCCAGGTTGCTGCATTCATCCTCAATGGGTCGTCCCGACGCAACTGCGCCAACTCGTCCGGCCGCATGTCGAGATGCCAGTAACAACCGCAGGACCATAAAAGACTGCGCATTTTCTTGTTTTTCTTGGACATTTTCGCGGTTACAGGGTCTCCGCCATCAGCCCCCTCTTGGGTCGTCGAATCGAAGAGAAAACTGCGGTGAAAACGCGCAAGCCAAGAGATCATCGGCCTAACCGTATCAGCTGTCAAGTAGTGCTCTCGTCCGGCGAAGCCCGCGGCGTCTAGGTCCTCCAGCACGAAGCAAATCTGCCCCTCACTGCTAGGCTTAGCTAGACCAAGAAGTTTACAACGACCATGAGTTTACCCTTCGAGAACATATCTATCAAATACTCTTTGGCCAAAACTGCGATAACTGCCACAAGGAGCTGTGGGTGTCGGTGTGGAAGACCCGTAATACTTCTGACGCAAAATAAGAGCACCCCTCCGAGCATGCTGTAACGGTATATATAATTACTTCTTTTTCTTATTAAAAGGATAAGAATGACGCCTACCTAGTAATGTTACAATTACGCTGCTACTTCCATACCTCATTTTTGCCCGTCTTCTGGTCCTGATTCGTGACAAAGAGGCATCGTGGCACGCGGACCGCAGAACCAAGTTGCTTCGCGAAGTGCTGATAAAATGCACTTTCCACCTCGTAGGACCGCACCTTGCGCTGGTGGCCGATATCTCCGACGCCAGCATGTCCCACACCTCGAGGTGGCGCCACATATTTGATGATCACAGAAGAGGACGCTGCCTTGTTGGCGTGCTTGTCGTCCTCTGGAGGCAGTGGTGAATTCTTGAGGCTCACGCGCATAATCTCACCATATCCCTGCCACAGCCGCTGCACCGTGCTAACCTTCCCGACGCTAATTTGCTGACCCAGGCCATCGCGGACGATTCCTTCGATCACAGAGGACGCAACGAGGACCATTTTCTACCACATCAGAAAGATGTCTAGCATCTAAAATTTGTACTCATTTCGATAAGAAAATTGAGAGGAAGAAAAATTGTCACAACCACAACTTGCTCAATATCATGAATATCCTACGCATACCTCTCACTTGAATCCCACAGGAGAAGTAACTAATCGAAAGTCGGCACGGAGCTTGTTCCTTAAAGGGCATGCTTGCATACCATCGACGAATATGATGTTTTTCATGATCCCTTCTAGTTCCGCACACCACCGCCAGGGAACACAGACACACACACGTCCGTCTCATCATAGGAGAATATCGATGCTACTGCAGAGACGAGCTGTCTTAGCTTCTTGAAGATGCCACTAGTTCTCATATGATCATCTACTATTCACTTCTGTCCCAAGCCCGATGAACGTCTTATCTCTACGTGAAAAGAAAAATAACTGTCTTTGAATTCCCTTAGAATTTCAAACAAGTCTTTCTAGTTCTGGATTCAAGTGAAATGCCCATCTATAGTGCTCTTGCGCTTCACGAAATTTCCGTTGTTCTTCGAACGCGATTGCTTTTTCCAGATACTGATCAGCCAAGCGAAGTTTTTCTTCTTTTGCATAATTCGTACAATTTTTAATATTAAGGCCTCCGCGATCATCTTGAGATTCTTCGTGTTTCCCGAGCGGAACTTCCTGTTCCCTGTGGTACATGACATCCGTGCGAATGACATACTTGGATCCACCTTGAAGAGGGGCGCCCTCATGGAGCATCCCATTTTGGAAAAAGACAAGAGCAGCTCCAATTTTTGTGTTCGGGATCAAAGGATGAGGACTAGAGCTCCTGGGCATCGCCTTCTCTGCTGCACGTATCATCTCCTTATCCGGGCGACCCGAAGAGCAACATGAAAACAGTGGGAATGAATCCTCCTCAACAAGAGGATCGTCTTGATTCTCCAACTGCATTTCTGCTGCTCCCGGTTTGATGCTTGCGAAAATTCGGCACCGAACCTTACCAGACTGTTTCCCGGGAATGAGGCTCGTGTTCTCCTCGTACCCACCACAGAGAAAGTGGATTTCGGTCTCCCCATCGTCCCCATAATGCGAAAGTAAATTCGTTTCGCCCCCGGTGAAATCGTCATTGAGATACAACAGTACCGTGAACATGGAATACCGCATCTGATGAGTGTCCGGATCCTTACTACCAAAGGAGCCGTCGGAATGAGGTAGAAACGCCTGGCCTGCCTCTTTGTAGAGCAGAAAACTAAACCGGTCGTTCAGGCCTGTTGCCGTCCAGCGTCCGTGCCAACGTCGTCCCTCGAGGTGGACAAATGCGCGCTCTTTCTCGGGTAGGGTTACAGCGGAAGCTCTATCGACCTGCGCGTCTTCGGTCGTCCTGGATTTGTTGGAAGCTGCTGTATCCTTCACGTTCGACGTCTCTTCGTGTTCTTGCCGAAATATCGTCTTCTTTGCCGTCGTAGTCATAGTACAACTGGAACTCCTTAATTTACCCTGGTCGTCGTCAAACGAGGTTTTAGCTATTTTCGAAGAGACATGAATTTCCTCTAATGCCATCTTCGCTAAAAATGGTTCCAGCCTTTCGAAAAGGACAGAAGCCAGTCGATTCGAAAAGTACAATTTACGGTCGCTTTGTCGTGTAGCATCGTCAATCTTTTCGCGGACAACCCCATCTTCATCAGAATCTGCGTCCATCTTCTCTTTCAAAAAAACGCACTCCTCGCGACTTAGGAGGTTGTGAACAAGAAAAGCTAAAGTCGTGGTCCCATTTGGGCGAGTGCCCTCTTCGTCCACCTTATCATCGTGATAGTGATTCCGGTTGTTATCTACTTCTTGGTCTTTCCGTTGCGGCTTCACAAAAACCTTGTTCTCCTCGAGATCGCCACTTCGAGGAGTTTGTTCGGTACAATCAGTGTCCAGAACTACATCTTGGATTAAAACGTCGCAACGGATTTGCCTCAATTTTTCTTCAGAGTTTGCGAATAACAACATGGGAAAGTCCAACTCCACACGATCCGAAGCGTGGATCAAGTTTGCTCCGAGACCGGTCATCTTTGTGTCTATTCAATCTCGATCAACTGCGCAAATTCTGTCGAAGAAAGAAGAGTGACAAACCAAGCGAGATCAAGATGAAGAGTACTAAAGCAAAAAGTAACTGTAACAAGTGCTACTACTAGTTAGCAACAAAAAAAAAACAGAAATACCGATGCAATCCTGCTTAAATTCTACTTATTCATTTTCATGACTCGAAAAACGGGAAGAATAGTACTGTCATAGACTCAGGGTGCGAAGATAGAAAAACGCTGGAATTTATGCCAAAGCAACACTAATCCGCGTGTCTGATAGGAGCAAAAATCCGAAGCAAGTCGTATTGATTTTCTAAGAAAAAGTCAAATCCTAAAGCTGTGATCAGATATATCTGTTTTTGTTAGATTCTCGCAGAACGAGGAGTCTGGCATTTACTTCTACAGCTACGCCGCTTATAACAATGGAACGATCGATACGAAAAGCCGCCGTCGAACACGCAAGTCATCCTTCGACTTGACCCGCACGACGCAAAGTGCCGAGAAACGCGTGTGTGTTCTCACGCAGCACATCTTTGCTTGCACTACCCTTCAATTTCATACACAAGCACTTCAAAAAACACAAAATGTTACCGCTAGAAGTATTCAATCTACTAGGAATCAATGGAGGTTATTAGTGAGTTACTATATCGAGAAGAAGACTGGTTCGCAAACGCGGTTTTTGCTGTGTTGTCGGGTGGGGTTCACGGCTTTGGGGAAGCAAGACGCTCTTTACACTTATTTCGTAGGCAAATTCGCGGGAGCATCAAAAGTTGGGAGCTACATGCTGTGAGTGATTCATTCGTTGACGGCGCTGTTGTACGAGACATTAACATCACATGATGTTGTAGAGTCCGTCGCCTCCAACCACGCAATTTTCGAAGAACTTCGCGGCCTACTGCAGCACTGCTTCATTGATGAATCCTTACAACTAGGAAGAACTGCCTGTGCAAATTACTACGATCCGAAAAGCTGCATCAAGCCCATTACGAGATGTACTTGTCTGCGTTTGCAGCCAGCAACTTGGCAGATGCTTTGGCATCGTAGAAGATTTCGTCGATTTCTCCGATGTCTTCCTGCTCGATGGCGTCTCTTCCCTGGGACTTCGCGATGATAATGGCGGGTGTGAGAAGCTGAGAGACGTATCGCAAACTAGTGTTCAATCCGATCTCACCCAAGGCCTCTACTGCGTTGTCCGCGATCTCAATCTTCTCAGTTTGCGCTCGTATGCGCACAATTGTCGCGATTTCTTCTACTGAATAGGGTAATGTGCGCACAATAATCAGACGGTCCAGCAAATCGACCGGCATACCGTGCGGTGAGACGATCTCCGTGCCTGAAAATGAAAAAGAGAACAAGGTTCTCGAGTCCAAACACGACGTGGACAACGAGATGGTTTCTGGGGCGACCAGAGAGACTAAGAGTGGCAGAACAGAGTCAAAACCTAAATCATATGTAGTACCTCTGATGGTGCAAATTCCTCTGTTTGTCGCAAATATTATGATGGGACTAAGCGTCGACTCGAGTGCCCTGTTAAGGTACGTGAAGCACTCTATATCGAGCATGTGGACCTCATCGATAAACAACACTCCCGGCACTAATTCCGCAATACCCTGATCGATGTACCTGTGTTCAGTGGCTGAAGATTCAGCTTCAGGATGGTCGAGAGAGAGAGATGTTATCCGTGAGGACGTAGAAAAAAATCAGGTGAGATCGCGTACTTCTTTATTGTAGATACAACGCCTATCTCAGGCTCATTCATTCATTTACTTACCTGGTCTTGAGGTATCTTTTGACTTAGATCAAAAGGTTTTGCATCAAGTACAGATTAATTATTCAGTTCTAGAAACCTTTTTGGTTTTTGAATTCTAAGAGTTAAATTTATGAAGTAAACGAAGCCGAAGCAAAAGTATCGGATTCGGAACCGGCTGTCACTACCTGTTAACGACTTTGTTGATCTCCTTTCGCAGCTTGTCGGTAATCTCCGTTTTCCTCTGCTTCATGAATTGCCCCATCAATGACACGATGTCCTGGCCGCCTTGTGGCTGTTGTGTGGAGGAATTTGGATTTGTGATGGATGCATTGGACTTTGGTTCTATTAATTTCTTGCTTTGATAAACGACGGCACATCATGACTGATTAAGACTAACATCTTACAAAGTCGATCATAAAACTGATCTTGTTACTCCCGCGCACTCTTCTCACACTATAATCGAGTTTCCAGTGCAACAAGTTTCAAAAATACCTTTGCATTTGCGGCATCCAAATCGTGCAAGGTAACGTCCTGAACAACCTCTTTCTTTTTGTGCACATCGCCTTTTGGTACCTGTTGCAAAAATAAAGAACAAATTAATAAGAAATTTCAAATTTCAACATCAGCCAGGAACTTGCTCAAAAGTGTATGCACATGTGAAACTACAACTTGAACGTTCTTTTGAGATAGTTCAGAAGTACCGGAACATACTCCTCAGCCTCAAGATCGAACTCTGCGGCGTACGCGTCTGACCTGCCGACGCGTTTTACTGCTCCGGTGTTTGCCTCGATGTAAATAACGTCGCCGATATTAACTTTTTCTCGCTGTAAGCCCTCGAAGATCGAAGGAGCTAACTTCAGGGTTTTTGACCCTTTCACGGTCTTCAATCCGATCATCACAGAGGTAACTCGCTTCTCGACCCTGCAAGAAAACGAATAAAGTGGTATTCATCAACTGAATAAGGATATGGTTGTAGGACCCATCATGATTCTATGCTAAGAATTTGTAGGTCTATATAAAGGCGAAATTTCGAAAATACCCTCCACTTGGATCTGGCTTTTCCTCGGGTGTAAGCTCGATTACTTCGCCTTCGTAGACCTCCTTCGTTTCTTTAATACGGATACCGATCGCCCGACGGCAGTTTTCCATCAAGACTTCGGTCTTTTTCACTTCTGACGAGTACACCTATGTAAAACGAGAATGAGTTCAAATTTGACAGGAAAATACCTTCAGTTGCTTCTTGCTTACAAGATTTCTCCTGTAATCCACCAAACTAACCTAACCTCCTCCATCACAATATACGGGAGTTCTGCACCGTAATCTAACTACGTATCCCATAATTTGAAGTAACTAGATATATGAAATTCTTACCTCACTTCCCACCATCGGGCAGAAAGGCACTTTCGCGCCGAGTTCTGACGCGATGGCCAGCGCAATGGCTGTCTTACCCGTTCCCGGTGCGCCCGCTAACATAAGTGCCCGGCCGGCCATTTTCTTGGACTTAATCAAATCCACGACGATGCCACCAGCCTCTCGAGCCTTCTCCTGTCCGACCAGACCACCTGCGATCATATGAGCAGTGCCATCCTCCTTCAGACCGAGCCCCTTAACGTGCGAATGCGACGCGACCCGCGACGCCTTCGTCGTTGACTGGACCTCCTCGATCTTCATCTTGCTTTATCTACTTAGAGACAACTTGGAGGTCGTTGATTTTGATTAGCGCTTGTTAGTCAACCTGGACGAAACTAAAATTCTGAAATATCAACAAGGTACAAACAGTAACAACTTCTAAGCTTGATGTTAAAAGAATTGATGTCGCCTCAGTCGCTTATCTTATCACAATGCATATGCTCACCGTCACCGTCCGTTGCACTGTCTCGGTGCGTACTAGAACAACCGTTATTAAGTATGAGAACAAGTCAACAAGAAATTGATAGGAATGGGTCATATTGTGCGCGCCTCCTTTTGTACATTCTCATGTCTCTCCGGTGTGATCTTTTTCATCTCTTTCCCCGCGTCGGATGAGGGTTTAACCAGAACTCTATGATTATGATTTTTGTACATGTACTCATGGCGCCCACTTTTATCTACTTGGTCCTTGATGTGAGTCCTCGGTTTTCTTTCTCTTGAGCTTCTTGTAGAACAGTGCTTGTTGTAGTACATCTTCATTTCTATAATAGGAGATCTTCAACACACGCATTCCCTTATTTTGTGGTCGACCGGGAAAAATCTTGTAGAGCTTTTTCTGAAAATGAGCTTTTGTCTTAGCAGTACTAGGATCAACATTTTTTCATCGAATCTGGAGTTGATGCCTTCCAGTAAGACGCGCTTGTAAGAGGAAAGGATCTCGATCTCGTATGTTACAGATACAATTTTTCTGCTTCGTCGAATGATTATGATTCTATGAGAAAAATTCTAATGATGAATCATCAAAACCTACTACAACTTGTTCTTGTCTTCCATCAAAATATGTAAAAGACGTAGCAGATCGTTTCTCGTTTCCATTACAATATGCTACACGCCACTGACTTTGGTCCGCGGCCACGCTCTGGACGGCCACGCGGTTCACCATGATAAGTAGTGCGAGGCCCGCCGCGATCTCCACGTAGATCCATGTCAAGGGAGCAAGAGTCCTGGGCTTCTTGCATGAACAGGTCTACTCCAAGATCTAGTCCGCGCACGAACTCGGCTTCCGTTAGATAAACGCTCCGCCGGCTGAGAACGTGCACGAGCGATAGCCCGCCACTCAGCTGATTCGCTGTCGCAGAGGACGAAGTTTTCGCTGTGCCGCTTGCTCGCTATGAAAGAGAAAATACATGAATCTAGTTCTCCTCATTTGGCGGGGAATGGAAAGATGTCCTAGAAACTGCACCGTATGACGATGAGCAACCTGCTAAGTAAGCAAAGGTGTGGCGTGGAGATCAAATGGTATAAACATAAAGTTGAAGACCCACCGGTCGCGATCTTGTGCCTGAGTCGGTTGATGACGCTTCCATCTGCGCCGACAAGTGCTTCGAGCACCGTGATGAAATCCCCCCAGTTGACTGATGGAACACATCGTCCGGTCCGTGCTTCGACTACCTTTGAGGATGAGGATGAGGCCGATGACATCAAAGTCCATAAGAACATCTCCATCCAGTTTGGATACGTGACGTAAGGGTAAGAACAACATTTTTATAAATATTTATATATATAAGTACTCAACGCCTCTCGGATTGTATCTCGACACCAGACTGTGGGAAAGAAACAAACAACAGTTAAGTTTGAGTAGTTGTACCTCTGCTCTTTTCTTGGAGAGTCGCCGGAATAGGTCGGCCGCGTTATGCGCGAGATACAGACGCAGCGTTGGTTCTGTTCCATCGATAACAGCAGCAAGAAACTTTACTGAGTCAAACAGTCCGTGCAGGTCTCCACCGAACAATGCATACATTAGGAAAAGAAGCTTCAACATTGAGTATATATATGCGCCAGGGCGCGGGGCGACGGCCCCCCCCACCCTCCGGGCCCTGGGTCATCGGCTTGCTTGCTCTTGCGACCGTGGCCGCCTCCGACCGGCGGCCTTTTACCCCGGAGGCCTCCCGCCTGCGAGGGTCAGCAGAGGCCAGGAGGCCCCTCAGGAACACGCTGAGAGGCCCAAGGGGAGGCCCCTGCCAAGTTTTGACGCCTTCCCCCACTAGAATCCGCGAAAAATCCGCGCGGAAAAGCGCGCGCGCGCGCCACCACAGACCAGACCACAGAGGGGGGGAGGGGGCGGCCGTCCGGCCCTGAGTCATATATTGATTGTAATAAAACCACAGTAGTAAACTAAGCCAATAGAAGCAGATACATAAAAAGAATGACTCTTCACTGTTCATCAAGGTCGATAAGGCTAAGACATTCCTGTAACCATAAGCAAATGATCCAGAGGCCGTACATACAACTGCAGAAACTCGCTCTCCGTTATCGTCGTTCCCGCTGGCGCAACTGCCCGTAATACGCTGACAAAGCGAACACTATCCAGTGTCGCACCCGCGGCCACCTCCTCATCGCGACTGACGCTTCGCTGCTCGAGGATAGGTGGTCTATTGGTCGCACGTTCCGTATCGGAAGTGGAAGCTTGGTCATTTTCATATCGGGATTTCCATCTGGTACCTCCGACTCGATAGCGCCCACCAGACCCACCTGATGCAGCCGACCCTGCGTTGCATTGTTGGGCTATAAACTTCTGCCCCTCTGCGTTATCGTAAGTCTGCACATACCATGCACAGAACCACTGAAACGAACGACTAGATTAGACGAGGGTCCGGTGGATACCGAAAAATCAATATAGACTACCGTGGGTGCTCTGTTTTAGTACATAAACAGCAGGGTCTGATGATGATGAAGTTGAAGATTGTGAATTATTAGGCATCTCACTCACCATAACTGTTACTCTGGAGGAGTGATAAAGCCGAGCTCCCTTTCGTGGTTTCGACAGCCTCAGGAGGCACCCATGGCAGAGTTAGGCGCGCCCTTGTTGGCGAGCGAGGCGCGGAGCTGGGACTACTCGCCATCTTCTGACATTATTTATCCATGTTGGACGACGAAAAATCAATAATTTCTCAAACCTGATGTAAGCATCCGAGTACCTAGGAGGCGAGAAGGATCTTGATGTTGATTTTGATTCCGGTCTAGAATGATGATCGGATCAAGCTTTTGATGCTTATTTTTAGACCTAGTTGTTGTCAATCGTCGTCCAAGGTCGCTAGTACGACGAAAATCCTTGACTTTCAGAAGGATCAGTGCTGACGGTCCACGTCTAAGTCTAATTGACATCAAAATCAACCATCTAGACATCTTCGTTCTGGTCTCAAGACCACTGGCGTTCACATTCGCGTTAGACTCGCGCTGGCGGAGGAGCGCTTCCCACTAAGAAGTTGCAGTTGGCAACAACTCCGATCGAACACCTACATGAGCATTTCTTGAGTCTCTAGTGAGAGATTTCCAGACGCTATCCGCTTTTTTCTCCTAGTTGTTGTACCTATGTGTCACCTTAGGTCTGTCTCGCTGCAGACCAGGAGCAGTAGAAAATACAGATACCACAAAAATCAGTGCCCCCACGGATGAAATGACTCCATTCAATGAAAAATAGCAGTTCCCGAAAGAGCCTCTAGAAAATCCTGATTCCAGATTCCATGGAGTGCCCGACGATCACGACGTGCTTCCATTTCATCTGCAAGCATTAACAGGAGCATTCGTTAAAAGTTTAATCTCGAAATGGACATTCCGACAAGCAAAATGGGATGAAAGCATGCTGTACCTCAGTATCTAGAGCGGGTACACAGTTGTTAACAATTGGATAAACAAGTCAACGGTTCCAATAATTGAATCTCAATCTCTCGTATCCTTATACGCGATATTAGTCAGATGTCATTTTGATTTCCATGATCTTCATGGATGATCCTGTAGTTGTGTCGGTCCATATACATCATACATAAGTATCTTATGAGTATGCAACGGCCCTCCACCCGCGTGAACACGTTTCCCAACAATGGCCCGACCTATTCTCATATAAGTTGAAGCTTTTACTGTTGAGACAACTCGATTTTCTGGAAAATTGTATGCTGAGACTGAGCCCTCCTTAGAGCAGTACTGGCATTCCCGGGCAAAGCCATTCGTATATATCCTCATACCCAAGATACTCTTTCGGGAGTCGGCCGACTACCGTAGCCGCTTGCTGTTCGAGGCTCGGCGCTTCGCGTGATAAGGTCTCAAATATCATCTCCATGTCCCAATCGTTGTACCTGAGAACTGCCTCAATTCAATACTTACTTTTACATACAGGTTGAAATGAATCGCGTCAAGCAATATGTCAAATCTTCAAAGGCAAAAGTCGTTACCCGAATCGAGGCTCCTTCTTCACCATGCGGCAGAGGTCTTGAAACTCTTCCTTCGTCAAAGCTTGCTGATCTCGATACATAATCGCGCTTATTAGAGGAGACTCATTCGAATTTTTGAAGAGCAGACGAAGAAGTACGTCGTAGTTTCTTGTTTTCTATATTTTCAACTGTATTACGAGGAGAGAGTTTTTGCAAGCTGTTCTGGCAGAAAACAATGGTTCCATAAAAACTGGTCTAGGAATCGATCCAGGGACTCCCGCTGTGTTAGTCGGTGAAGCAATTGTCCGGTCTTCAAAGGGTCTTCTGTCTCTGGCATAATCCTCTTTCCTTGGTGTTCCCACACTTGGAGTTTTCTCCTAATACTATTCAGCGCCAATGCGCGCTGGCCACCTATTCAGGAGACGAAAATTATCGATTTAGAAAACGACGTGGTGAAGTTCGTGCTCTGCAACTGTAGATGAAGCACGTATGACCAAACTTTCATGAAATGAATCTACTTCCACTTGGACTTCTAAGTAATATATCAATGTGGGCACCTGCTGCGAGATGAACCCCGCCGACTCCGCACACGAAGAACGCTGAAGCGTAAACGAGCGTCTGCAGAAGAGCGCTTTGGGTGTATGGATTTACCATATTGAAGCAGTTGCACCCTACAAAGATGACAAAAAATCCCTGAGTTAGCGCTTGACCATTTTCATTCTGTGAATCATGTCCAAAAAAGTGAAGAACCGCCCTTGGCGGCCCCTTCCCGTTCTGTATGATTTGCAGATGATGCAAGGGAGGACGATTTGATATTGATTCTGGTCAGATCCTAATTACGGAATGATGGAAAACACCCCTTAACTTTCCCATCAGCCTGTCCAACAGCTTTGCTGCCATAAACAATACCCGCTTCGCCTCAGAAATCGTGTCGTTTCCTCCTGGTTGTGGTGGCGATGGAGATGCTGATACATACACAAATGCAACCTAGTCGCATTCGGAACTTTATCTTGAATAGCTCGTTATCTTCTGAAGAAGAAGCTCGATTAATACTGTGGGAAAAACTATTTATATATAATGTCTTTATCAACATGCACCATATGGATTTATAGTGTTTAGAAAATTCAAATTGTATTTGTCTTCCATCACCAGGATCTTTATGACTAACTACTCACTTGAGACAAAGAAAGGGCTATAGAAAAGGTCTTTTGTTATTGTTGTACCATGGTTCACTTCTATGAGAAACATGATTCCACCGAAAACTATGAGGTAAACTTTTTCCAGCGTCATCACCGGCTCTGGTATTAGATCTTTCCTAGCGAAATCCATCCAGAGAGGCATCACGGTCATGTTCTACGACCACGGCCTCGAAGTCGAAAATCATCCTCTACAGAGTCGGTAGTACCAGAGTCCAATACTGGAGAGTCAGTAATACTCAGGAAAAGTGGCTAAAAGATAAAGACAAACCCTTCTGTAGGAGCTAGTGAGGCCTAGTAGTGTTTTCCTCTTGAAGATGAAGATGCAGCGGCGTGGTTCTGAAGATGGATTAGGAGGGAGCCTTAAGAGTAGAAACCCTGCCGGATAATTTACGATGCAGAAAATCGGAAGAATCACGGTAACCGCCGCCGCAACCAGTACTAGCAGATGCAGTAGCGCTTCCACTTTCTCTTTTGGCAAGAATGAAACAAGCCAGGGAGCAATTGTAGCTGTTGCCGCGTACAGCAGTTACACATACACATACATCACTGTTGCCGCGTACAGCACTTGGTACACAAACACATGCGCATGCGGGGTAAGTAATTGGAATTCTTCTAATTCAGTGGTTAAAACCAGGAGGTTTATGGAATCATAATCGTGACGGGACCACGAGTATTGGTGGTGCAGGTGGACCCACCCCACCAGGTAAAACCTCTCCGCCAGGTCCCGTTCCGGCTACCTTTTGGTAGCCACTACTGCCGCCGAACATTGCGGCACGGACGTCGTTGACTGCGTCACAACTAGAAGTACAGTTATGGGCGTTTCCGATGAATTGACTCGTTAATGGAGGGATATTACTGCTCCAATGAATATGATCGAGTTCAAATGCGCTTCTGCGACTACAACCACAAATTAAAATTATTCTGTATTGATGAATATTAATTACAACAATGGCAATAAATTACAAAAAAGTGGTAACAAGCATGCTTTGCGTCGCAGCTAAAGCCAGAGCCGAAGTATTCTAATTATTATTGCATTAAATATTTTGTCCAACAACTTTTTGTTTTCATATCTAAGAAACATCACAAGTGCGCCGCCTTTGTCCCATTGCTTTTAAAGATACGATGCAGGAACTTTCGGTCTGCTCTCACATCTTGGACGTAGTGGTGGGCACCCTTTTGCTTTTCCTCACCTGACTAGTAGAGAAGCCGTGCTATTTACATCTCTGACCGCTCTTGCATCACTCATCTTCATCACATGGTCACTAAACGCTGAGTAAACATCGAAAGTAGGTTCGCACTTACTTTGCGTCTTCTTTCTCCAAGGCATCCGGCATGCAATTCCATGCACCTCTGAGGTGATGTGACTCTCGTCCGAGTTACAAACGTAGAGGCCACGCTATTTTTATTTGCTTCTTGCAGTTCTGTCCTCACTGTCGAGCTTTTATCAGGATTGAATAAGAATCAAGAGCTGCTTTTTTTTCAGGTCATCCTCGAAATAAAATACATCTTGTCTTAAATTGAAAAGTCAGCAGAGCCTCCAGCTGTAATAAACGATGTTTATCACTGGGTGACGTGTTCGACCTCTCCTTATTGATTTGAGTAAAACTTGTTCTTGGTAATAATGATGAGGAATGGACAAGACGGCGTTTAACAAGGAGACCAGCAGTTCTTGGATGTTGGTAATCATTATGATGATTGTTCCTAACTCTGCCAACGTTGTGTGACCTACACACACGCAGGGATGGCCTCCTCCGTGGTAGGTTCCTGTATCGGTTTCCTTTGAAATCGACGGAGCAGTAGCTACTTAGTTGTACCGACGTGTTTAAATGATGCTTCTGCAAATAGAAAAATCCATTCTTGCGAAGAGATATTTGATGTGAAAATGTTGTTCTACAAAATTTGTTCGTGAGTATTGTGATGTTAACCTGACAGAGACTTCACATCCTACATTGACCCCATCAACAGTTAGTCGACATAATTAGGAGTCAAGAATAACTGGTACTGAGCGCTCATGCAAAATATCATTTCTACATTGTAATATGATTTTTCGACGGACGCTCTTTCTTCAACGAATTCATTCTTGACCCTGCACGCACAAAGATGTGAAAAGTTTTAGCTTTTTGACTGATCTCAGTGATAATTTTTTTCGAGTATGTCATGTGCAACTAGTACTTCGAATTATATGTTTTCTGAGACGAAATGAATGTTGTGAAGCTGAAAATATAAAGAACCACAGTCGAAGGAAAAATCCTTAGCGATTGCGGTCGTAAGGCACGACAATGCTCAAAAGGACAAGATTCATAAAACAAGCAGGTGACAACTTGGTGTCGGTCGTCACAGTGTCGCTCTCCTTTCCTCCCTCAGGCTTATGTCGTACAGTTACAGTTTGACTGTTAGCGACCAATGCAGTTTTCCCGTAGAAGTTCAACGTGTCTTTCAGCGGCTCATTACAGCCGGGCACGCCATCTTCAGGTGCGAGGCCAAGGCTGAGAAGTGATGCAGAAATGAAGTAAATGATATGCCTAAATATTCATATTTTTTGTAGTTGCGGATAAGCACTACGGGAGTAGATTCTTACATCATGATCGAATTGAGTACTAGGTCTTCTAGGTACGAAGTTGACGTCAGATAAGTAAATGAATGGTATCAAGTTGTTGGTGAATCACGACACCGCAGGCAACACTTAGCATACATCGCGCGCAAAAATCTTCGTCAGTGCGGCTGTGCATGGTCACAACTAGCGCGAGTCTGTGCGTGTTTCTCATATTGATCGCAAGCTGATGACAATAGGAATGCCCTCCCATCCAAAATTTCCCATAACTCGTCCCCTCATGGGAACCCTCTAGGTGCCACAGAGAGGAATTAAGAAGCCACAAGTCATTTGTCTTCGCTTGCGTCGTCGGGGATGTAGCACTTTGGTGCTTTCCTTGTGCGTCCAATTTAACAAAAACTGGCGTCAATAAAGTCTGTCTGTGCTGCTGTTGTGGTGATCCAACGCGGGTCAAGGAGTGATGTGCAGGGAAAAGGCGTGAGGTAGCCGTCGCTGATGTAGCTGCTTTAGGTCACCGCGGGCACCGAACCACAAGGCGGTGTTTAAGTAGTCTTCAACATCACATAGATACAAAAAAAACCAGCGAAGGTTTCTTATTCAAGTCATACCGTGAGAACACAAAACTATACGAATGAGTGCGCATTATGCGAATACATATCCAGTATCTGATGACAAGGATGAAGCAACGAAACAAAGAGAAATTATTATTCTAGGTATTTACGAAAAATTAACTTGCTTATACTCGATCGAAAATGGCCTTTCCTGAATGTCCGTCGGCTGTTGACTGGCATCTCCCCCCGCCGGTGGAGCGGCATCCTCTGCCCCATCCATGGGTCGTAAGTGCCGTATTGGTCCACTCGACAAATTCAAAAATAGGTATCTGGCGTATTTCGAGTTACTCACCAGATAATCCAGCATGCTGCTCCCTTGTTTACCAACCACTTTCATCTGAGTGAGTTTTGAGCGATTACGACATCATTCATAGACATAGTACGCCTAAAGTAGAATAGCCCAAGATAGAAAATGAGCTCAAGCCCAAGACTCAAACATTAGTCACTAGAGAAGAGTAAGCTTCAGAAGATACCAAAATGCTGCCGAGTGAGTGAGCGAGTGAGTGGACAGTGAGTATGGGAATAAAGTCGCGAGTGGCAAGTGTTGGTTCACAGATGAGAACTGAAGCAAATCTGAGGTAAAACCCGAACCATGAATAACATAAACACTCACACCGTAGTACCGTGCAATTCCAATCATATATAATTAAATATTCTATCTTTACTAATGATCGGCAAAAGTCGAGGTCTGACGTCAGGGGTTTAAGGGCGAGCAAGGAGAACCACAAGGGGCACAAATCAACGGACCAGGACTCTCAGAGTTTTAAGGGGAAAGCCAGGGAATCCCAGGGTTCCCAGGGAGGGCTACATCGCGGTCGGGTCAGGGTTTGGCATCTCAGGGTTTGCAAAAAGGGGCACAAAAGTCAGGACCCAGTTCTCAGGGTTTTGCAGGCACAAACGGCGTCAGGGTTTGGCATCTCAGGGTTTGGCATCTCAGGG